AAAATAACCTTGGTTATTGTAAGACTTGTGGGTGAACGTGGGACAAACGAGGGTGGAAACGAGGGGAGGCGAGTGAACAAGGTGAGTAAACAAAGACGAATGGGTGAAGACAATTGTTTATTGACTAGACTGCTGTGAGTATATGAACTCGGGTTTTACTATATAGTCTATCTTGTCTTATATATATCAGAAGAATAAAGGTCCTGATTAGTAATCTATGGTTCTTGAAGTGCCGCCTTTCCTCATCCATTCTTAGACGCGTCTAGCGTCACATGACAGTACTAATCAGAGCTAAACTCTGACAGTTATTCAAAAATTCCTACGCACACGACAGTGGGCGACGGCCATGGCAACTGAACACACAATATTTCACGAGCATGAAGACACATACGACTTTCTGTGGTCAGTCAGCGGAGGACGACATTCGCCAATTGATCAAGCATCAGTCTGCAGCCAGAAATCATCATGCATGGACTTGTCAACAACGAACGAAACAATTTATTCAGCAGTGGGAAGAAGTGGAGTGGCGATCCAGCCTTGCTATAATACATGAGAAAAATCCGCCAGGGGGTTTTTTCACCAGCCTTGCGGATTGCAACCATCGATCCCACAGGATCAAGAAAATCCATGGTATGCTGCCAACCATGCAGTACATGCACAGGTGGAAGCCGAATCTGTATACCACTGACAGATGCCAAGTGTGCCTTACCATGGTGGAGGATGCCCAGCACCTCTGGGTCTGCAGAGTCACACAGAACAGACGACAGGAAGAATGGAGAAAGACACTTGATGGGGTTCTAAGTCTTGGACGCACCTTGGTAGATAAGGCGAGGAAAAAGTGGTTGTGCGACATGGAGGAGGCAATCAAGGATGGTCGACAATTCACACGCACCGAACCGAGTTTTACCGCGTGCGAGTTAGACACCCTTTGGTGGAGTCTGCGTGATATCCGGGGAGTGGAAACGATGGTGGATACGCGAGATGATGACTGGATAAGGCTGCTGGAGGAGCGGCGAGACAGGGACAATGGTGGCGAGGACAGAGAGAATGTCCATGAGGAAGAAGGAGAAGGAGTGAGCAGTCAAGAAAACGTACAGCAGGCAGCACCGCCTACCAGGCTATGGACAACGACAGACATATACCACGGGCCCGTACCAAAGTTCCTGACAACGGATTGGGCGCTACTCTTGAAGACGTCGAAGAGCATCGCGGCTTACCTGGTTGGACGTTTTGTAGAACGAGTTGAGGCTTTTGGCCGAGAGGAGTTATGGAAGGAGCGATGTAGTGCCACAGTGGCATGGGAAAAGTCCGAGGGCATATGCACGAGGATGAAGAAAGCCGGGGTCCAGGTAGGAGGTGAGACCCAGGGCTTTGTGAGACAACAGCCCCAAGAGGAGGTTACGACAGCGGCGAGGAGGAGAGCAGACAGCCGCTTGGTGGACCATCTCCAGGGAAAGGTGGTGTTGAACGAGATGGAGAGAGGAAGGAGGATAAAATTCATATTGGCCCGTGATCTTAACTAGGAGAGGACCCATCGGACCCGACAGGTTGCGTAGCGGTTTTGGGCCCCGGCTCAAGTATTAGAAACCATACGACTCAGAATGTGCACCATAGGTATTTGGTTCCTCATTTTACATTAGTTTAGTGGGGGCCTCTTGATAGCTATCTTTAGGTAACTATCGGCCGGCTGACAGTCCAAGCCGAGGCTTGGACAATGCAGCCTGTGGCACGCCTGCACGCCTGGGGGGATCTGGCGTCAATAAAAAAAAAAAAATAAAAAAAATAAAAAAAAAAAAAAAAAAAAAAAAAGTTATTCAAAAATTCTTCCGATCCTTCGGGTCTTTCACGTCGCTACACGCGCATAAATCTAGTTGGGGAACACCACTGCAGACATAGCTGTAACAGCAGCGACAGCAGTAACAGTTTCAGCAGCAGCAGCAGCCAGTGGAGCAAACGCTAGGTATCACCCATACGTCCATCCTAGTCATTTACCGGTCACTACCACCGCCATCCTTCCACAGGACAAAACACAAGTTGCGGCCCCCTTGGTTTTCAAGGAAACGATATTAGAGAACTTGACTATCATTATCAAGCGACTGCAAGGGATGGACGAGAAGTTCATTTGCTTCGCAAACGATCTGAATGGACGAGTCAAGAGCACTGGGGCATCAGCAATCGCAACAACTAACATGGTAAATGCAACAGTAGTCATATACGTGGTATATATATCCGTGCACAGCAATATTATTAAAGGCAGTTCTTGTTTCCACTCCCCGCCTTGTTACAGTAAAGCATTTGGACGAGAGGATCATATCATTATCATAGCGAGCCAAGAACGTACAGAAGATAGCCAGTCGACCCCATTACAATGAGGATGCAATGGTGAACATGGTAGAAGCTTTGAGCGATGTGCCATCTTGCGTTCAGGTTTTGAGAAGCATGGGACATAATATACGCCCTGCCAGGAACACAGAGATCGCAGCTTCCAGTCCGCCAGTTTTTCGCATATCAAAGATCTCTTCAACACCCTACCTGCACTTTCGACGCCTTCTAATGCTATTGTACTATTGCTGTGATATAGATGAAGGAGCACCATTCATCATACCGGATTTATCAGAAGCTAGTTCAGTTTACTCCGCCTGCACTCAAGACACCCCTTCCCTGTCCATCGACTCTCAGAATCTGCCGGCTAACAGCGACGAGGAACATGAGGTTAAGGCCACTATCATTGAGAACATCATGGGTAAGGTGGCGGACCAAGACTAGCAAGACCATTAAGAGGCCGAGTGTGATCATGAACAGTGATATTGTAGGAGTGGGGGGTGGTGGGGAAAAGAGGGGTCCAAAAAATAGCAGCGAGAATAGCAGCAACGAATGAAGTCCGTAATACCATGAATTCATGAATTGGCAGTTGTGCTAAGCAGTGCATAGCCCGGCTTTATGACTGCATGATCCCTTCCCCATAAAGACTTCCCTGTCGAATAGGGCAGCATTTCAAATGAACTGAGTGCTCTACGACGCCCAAAGTGCTGCGCCTAATTCCGCTGAGGTTTTTTTTTTAACAGACTCACATGAACATGAGATACATGGTACCCGAAAGTCTTGAAGCATGTTTAAGGTAATATTCTCCGTAGTCTTTTATAGACATTTGCTATGTAGATTAGTTCAATAAATTATACTTGCTTGGAATCATACACTGTACACGCTGGCACTTCTCATCCACACAGTTGGAGCTGCACCTCTACACTCCATCCCAACATGTACGTACCGGTTCTTGGCACATTTGAGGACTATCCATCTATACACAGCAGAACACGAGGATACGTCGGTAGGCCCATGAAAACGCGACGCGCTATTGGGCAACGCGCATGGGTTGCCAAGAAATAAAAATCTGCTATTTGACAACCCCGGTTGCCAAATAGCATGCTAAATGGGACTGTTAAACTAGGGGGTTGTCAAATAGAATAGCCCAATGATCTACTTTGCAACCTGGGTTGTCAGTCTTATTTGACAACCCATGCGGAAATCCATTTGCCACGTTGAGCATGCAAGTCAATCCCCGGAAGAACCCCATGTAACTCGTTTATCCTGAAAATCGGGCCTATGGCCTAAGTAACACCTTTCCTATGTTTACACGTCCGGCTATTTCACGAGAGGTCTTCTTGTTTACGCTCAAATTGCCTTTATCTTCGGCAAATGCATCATGTATTTTTTCAAATAAGAGATTGTCAAGTAGGCTATCCTACCCTCCTCAAAGACATGAGATGGATTTATTACTGTGGTCTGAAGGAAAGCTGCAGCTGGGACAGAAAGCAAATAGCAAGCTGCCCGCCTCGACTATGTCGCAATGGATCCATATTCCACAATCAATGACCGCATAAGTGGTGAACCGATGACCCCTGCTCCCTACGTGGCCTGTTGTATGATGATCATGAGCCTTCTTTTCATTCTTTCGAGAATGCTACTTCGCCCTGTGCAACTGGAAGCACAGAAGTCACGATAAATAGGTTTATGCGGGATTAGTGCTCTCGAACGCATTTGATAGCAGTAGACCCATGGTCCTGTATTTTGTTGCTGCATCGAAAGAAAAGGCAAATTTCTTTGCGCCATGTAATTTACAGCTACGGCTTTTGTGTGGGTCTAGGCGCTGCAAGCTCATACAAAGATGAATGCACCTATGCGAGTTGCCTGTCGTGTAACGCGTCCCGCGTCTCTTGATCGCTTTCTGAATGCTGTGCGACGCATGATCTCCTCTGTTCATTTGTGATGCATTTTCCTTTTTGGCGCATTCATGCAGCGGGACAACTACAAGCGGGCAGTTCTGCAGGTGTCAAGGGGGATGAAGCGTGCCTCCGAGTGCATTGCAGCTACACTCTGCATGTCACATTCTCGACACATACAATGAGTGAGCCGGATCCATTTTAATCATCTTGGATTCTATCTACTGTTCATGATGTGATGATGTGTGCATGGACTGAAGTATGCAGTTACTCAACAGATATGTTCACATACCAATGCGAGGTATCATCCATTGGCTGTAATTTTTGCAAGTACATCTGCAGGGATAACTCAGTCCGACAACCAATGGGAAGTCCTTCGAAGGATGCCTGGCTGGACGGCTTGAGAATCGGGTCTTCAAAGTTCGAGATCCACCCATGCCGCCCAGGAGCCCAGGAATGAACCCGCGGGGAGGCTGCGCAGAGAATGCAAGAGAGGATCGGTCAGTCTCCAAGCCCGCCGCTCTTTGCATTGTATTTTAACTGGCGACAGCTGTTCACATGAAAGAAATACCATGGAGTTCAATTACAATGAGGATGAGCATATAGAGCAGACTCCTTGGTCTGGGTTGACTCGCCTACCCCTCCTTCGGGATTGCGGATGGTGATGGATCCCCTGTCTAGATTCATCGCATCGCAATGACTGTGGGGCGTATGATCAGCTCTTGCTGTTGTGTTTGGGTTGCTCACTTTTGGATTGTTTCTTTGTGCATGACCTCTCTATTCATTTATTCATTTTCGTCTCTTGCCTCCCTCTTTTCCTTTCTTCATCTCTCTTTGCCCTCCATTCCTCCCCCATAGTATCTTCGTCCATTTGGCAGCATGAAGTTCGGCAAGGCCCTCTCCAGGAATCAGGTACATTGGGCAACCCTCCGCATTCTCAAAATTATAATCTGGGATCAGAAACTACACATCGTCCTTCATAAATCCTGCCTGCCGCCAACCCGGCAAAATACCCAACGCCTCTGAACACGCAAACGCATGACCCTAATTGAACAATGTGCCTTCAACTCCTCTACGCCAGATCCCTGAGTGGAGCCGCCACTACCTCTCCTACAAGGGACTCAAGAAAGAGATCAAGAATGGCCAGGAGGCTCTTGTCAGTGGGGAATCTTCCATGGACGACGTTGTCACCGGTATTATATTATATTAGTTTAAGAAACTCTATTTCGCCCGAGCGATGTACACTTAATGCCATCGCGCAACGTCGTGATGGTTGCATCATGCAATGAACTTGTGAATGGAGCCAGGACACAATTGACCGAGTGGCCTATCTTCGTCTCTTTCCAATGCTATAGCGTTCATCTTCTACTTGGACAGAGAGGTCGAAAAGGTCAACAACTTTTTTGTGTATAAGCGTTCAGAGCTCGAGCGAAGACTCCGCATCCTCTCTGAAAAGTCAAGGCGTCTTAATCCCACCATCAGCGCCGCCACAGCTGCTGGGACGCCGGCCGTACCAACTTCAGCTTCAGCACATGCAGCAATTTGCGACCCAAAGACACCTTCAAGACCAGGGTCCAAAGAGCGCCTGGACCTGTCAATTGTGACCACGCCCAAGGGGTCTGTTTCAGGAGTAAGCGGAAACGCTTCTCTGGTCCCGCCCTCGCCCTTCATCAGTGACCCCGAGGCCGATGCAGAGTGTCTTCAAGCTATGGTGGATACCAAGGAGATGCTGTCGAAACTCTCGTGGTTCGCCGAAATGAACAGAAGGGCAGTCGAAAAGATTCTTAAAAAGTAAGCCATTGAACGGCGTTTCCTCGCCCCACCTATGCGGCTGGCACAATCGCTGAACGTGTTCCTTGGGAGTGGATTGTATTCAGCCGTCAGTTTCTGGGGTCAATTGTCGCCGATCCGATTACCATCCTTCCGACCCATTAGAATTTACACGTGTGTGCTGTGCGCGTATCATTTCTCTGTTCATTTCATCCTGACGTGCCGAATTAGACGCTAAACATTCTGGGTTGAGAACGACGCAAGGCATTATTGTTTATCCAAATGGATCGGCCCCCTCTTTTGGTTCCTTGCATTTGAATGATGGCAGAATGACACCTTCTAACTGGTACTAAATGTGTTTAAAACCAACATGTATATCCTGTTAGGTTCGACAAGCGCATGGTCACGGTCAGCCGCGAAGGCTATCTGGCTACAAAGATCAGCCTGCTTCCATTTGTATTTGACGGTCAGCTTCTGGAGATGACTGTGACGATCGACGTCCTCATCCGGGAGATGAGGGCCGTGGTTGCAGATCATCCTCCGTTCAGGTCCGGACTGTCTCCAAAGCGCGCCAGCATCGAGTCCCGCATGGGATTGACAGAACAACAGATCGGAGACGCGATGAAGGCCGTAGAGCGCGACGATGTGGACACTCTCAAGGCCATTATCGATACGAGGTTGAAGGAGGCACCAGAATTGAAGGATGTAATTTTATCCTCTGCGCAGTCTGGACGTCTTGGACAAGTAAGATGCCTGATGTTTCGTTTTAGCGATCCACTAGCTGTATGCCCTGAGAAAGGATAATCGAACGTGGCCAGTTGCTTTTCGCAATAATAGCTTCCAAGATCGCTCTTCAGGAAAGCATGTGAAGAAAAGGCGTTCCGGTGCATTACTTGGATCATGTCTTTCGGAGCTGGAACCCTTATGGTCAATGTCAACGAGCAAACTGTACTTCACAGACTGGCGATCGAGGGCGGTAGCTTTACAAAAACGACCGAGACAAGCGACAACATATCTGAAGTTCAGGCCAATGGTTCAAAGCACCATCATCAAGCGCCCGTGCTCCGGGACGATCCCGAGTTGATTGTATTTATCCTAAAGCAACTCTCGACCTGTGCACAACAGGATCCCCTGTGCACATTGAAATCAACTGGGGATATCTATGGACGTCGCCCCTTGCACTACGCGGCCATGCATGGCTTCCCCAACATCACCAGGGCACTCATTAACGATTTAAAGTCCTCTGGGGAATTCATCAGCTTTTCAGATCCCTACTGGTTTGATACCGACGGATTCACTCCCCTTATTTACGCGGTGTCGCGCGGCAAGGCTAGCGTCTTGGAGATTCTGGTTGAGGAAGGTGGGATTCAGGATGTCGATGCAGTTACAAATGGTAAGTTACACTCCTTTGATACCGGAGATCGTGCACACCGGGCAATGATTCTGACTCTCCTACTTTCTCTATGCTACATTCAGCCTACGTCACCCATCCTTCTCTCCCCAAGGTCCTGCCCTCGATGCCCAAGACCGTCCTCAACCCCTTGATCGGCTCAGAGGTCAACCTGCATGCGGTATATACCTACACCCCTCTATCGATTGCATGTCGCTTGGGACACGTTGACGCAGCCAGGCTCCTTGTACAGTTTGGCGCCAACTTGAATGCCCAAGACGAGGACGGCGAATCCTGCCTGATCATCGCCTCCAAGAACGGGCACACTGAGTGCGTGAGGCTGCTGATCTCTGGTGCTGGAACCGGAGCAGGAGCTGGAGCCAACCTAGAATTACGGGAACGGTACTACGGATGGACCGCATTGCATCTTGCAGGTAAAAGCATTGCTATGAACAGCAAGCGAACCAACACACATGCCAAGCGACAGCAATACTTAAGTCGCGTGTTTTATATGTTGTAACTAGCTATCGAAAACCATCCTGAGGTTGTCAAGGTTCTGCTTGATGCTGGAGCCAACCCCAATGTCTACGACTATTCCTCGTGGAATCCTCACGAACATGCCGTATTTGCCGCCAATAACGCCTGCGCAGCTCTGCTTCGCCCAGTTTCTCGCACCCTCGATGAGAGACAGCAACTGTCGAAGCTGAATGGAGGCGTCGAATTGGGACAGGCAACACCGACTAAGGGCAGCCCATCGTTTACTCAGCCCATGCTCCAAGGCGCCTCTGGTTCTCAATCACCAAAGTTCCAGCGATCCGATTCGCCTCCAATGTCGAGTAGCAAAAGCAATGCTAAGTTATCCAAGACTGCGCAAAGGGCATATGGACACAAATATCTGGAAGAAGAGTCTCTGATTGTAGTCACCCTGGGATCAAACGATTCTCGCAGTACTGTGGAGCCCATCGAACTCTACCTGAATGGGGATAGCCATTCTTTCTTGACAGCCAGTACGGCTTTTTCGCTCGAGATCACAGCGGAAAATGCGACGGCAGGAGAGAAAGTCATAGTGGATTTGCCTCTCAAGGATTCGAGCTATCATGAGCAAATTGTGTTCTATGCACCCAATCCAGAGGAAACCATTCTTAACTTTTCGGTGTACCCCACATTTGGCTCGTCAAGCAACAACCTGGTTGGACGTGGAACAGCGCTTCTGTCCAGTTTGGACAACTTGCGTAAGGATGTCTTCAACCAGCATCCGGCTATGACGTCTCTGCAGGGGATGAACATGACGGTTCCTATCTTTGGTGTCGAAAAGATGAATATAATCGGACGCGTCAGGGTCGAATTCGCGGTCGTCCGTCCCTTCAAACACGAGAATCTTAAAGTCGGGAGCAAGCACACGTACTGGAAGAGCCTGACGACAACGGTAAGGCGAGCGTAAGCTGACCCATAGCTCTACTCATTTTGACGATAGTCCTCGACTCTAGATTTGATCCTATGTTCAGTTGCTCATGTTCTCTTTCCTATGATATTTTATAGGTTATTGGCCACCGTGGTCTTGGTATGAACAGGAAGGTATCGAACCTCCAGGTTGGGGAAAATACTCTCCTGTCATTTGTCACAGCCGCCAATCTTGGAGCTGAATATGTCGAGTTCGGTAAGTTCATACTGTGCGGTATGGTACGACGAACATTTCGCGATATTTATAACAGATCCCATTCATATTTTTAACCAAAAATAGACGTTCAAATGACAAAGGACATGGTCCCCGTTCTGTACCATGACTGGACGGTGACGGAAACCGGATTGGATATCCCTGTCAGCTCCATCACACTGGAGCAGTTCCAGAACCTCTCGACTAAGAAGAGGCGCGGTCACCACGACAGCGGATCGCAGCCATCATCGCCAAAACCGGACCAGCCGCGAAATTTGTCATTAGCCCCGCCACCTTCTTCAGCGTCGAAATCGGTCCTTAGCAAGCCCGAGCTGATAAGGAGGTCCACCCACGACTCAGAAAATGATTCCGTTAGAGAGAACAGCCCGCTGACAACACGGGTGGTGCGGTCAAACAGTTTAGGAGCCATGTCGAAAATGAAAGCCATATCGGCAGGGACAGAACCTGCCAATCCTGCGGCCAAGATGAAGGGCAATGGTCTTGGGACTATTCAGGCACCGTTCGCGACATTGAAGGATACGTTTGTGGTATGGGCCAAATCTCCCAATGGCCCACCTCAGGCTCCAGCGTTCGGTTTAAATAAGAATTGTACATAGCTCAATCCCTGCTTATCGCTTATTTATTTTTAATTACTAGACGGTCCCAACCAGCATTGGATTCAACATTGAGGTCAAGTACCCTATGCTGGACGAAGCCGAGGACGCCAATATTCCACTGTACTCGTTTGAAATGAACCGATTCGTGGATCGAATCCTGCAGGAGGTCTATGACCACGACCAAACCCACCCGGACCGCAATATCATCTTCTCGTCCTTCCATCCAGACATTTGTCTGTTGCTCAATATGAAGCAGCCCAACTATCCTGTCTTCTTTTTGACGGACGGTGGCACCTCTGTCGTGGCCGATCGTCGCTGCAACTCTATCCAGGGAGCTGTCCGCTTCGCCACCTCGATCGATCTGCTCGGTATTGTCACACACAGCTTGCCGATCATCGAGGCACCCAACCTAGTCAGAGGCATCAAGGAGACAGGATTGCTGGTCTTTACCTATGGCGCTGATAATAACGACGTCGAGAACGCAAAGTTACAAAGGAGGCATGGTGTTGATGCTGTTATTGTTGATTGTTTACTGGCTGTCAGGAAGGGACTACAACAATCAGAGTAGAGGATCGGTTGGACATTGAAATCAGAGAGAGAGAAAGAGAGAGAGAATTAGACAGGGTAATAACTATATTTTAGAGCATCTTTAACTACGATAGACTAGTATAATTGCTTTCATGTCGAATTCATTTGTTCGCAGCATTGGTATTTCACAATTTATTTTTTTGAGGTTGAATATAAAGCGTATCATTCCAGGATCAGCAGCTCGCCGACACGACCCATAAACTCCTGAAGCGCAACACGGACATCTGTCCGTTCGACGCCCACTAACCGAATCGCCAATCGGAAGTAATCAGGCAACTCTTTTCGCAGCCCCTGGTACTTTCTCTTGTCCGCCTCTGCTGATGTTGCAGTTTGTTGACGACCTCCGTTGGCTTGACCCGTCGGCGAGGGCGATGTCGTGGGCGAAGATCGCTTCGACAGCGAGGACGAAGGGGATGGACTACCAACCGATGTCACCATCACCGCATTAGGCCACCAGATTGGTGTCCTCTGCAGCTCGCGCAATACCATGATCGTTAGCTGCGACTGGTTTACAATCACGTCCTTGGGGTACTTAGTAGGTTCGCTTAGCATGCCCAAGTACCTAGCCACGATCAGTTTTGATTCCTGTACCAGGGGCTCCAGAACTGCCTGAATCTCATCCTCTGCATCGTATCCTTCTCCATCTCCAAATTGACGGTAAAAGTCAAACAGGACCGACACATACGTCGTCAGCGCCAAATTCTCCTGCTTAAACATGTTGGGCATCTGCTGGATCTGTCCAGACTTGAAGAGATAGTGTCGGAGCTCGTAGTTGTCGTTGAACGACCTCACGAACCTATAGGACTTACGGAGGCACTCCAACCACCGATGACGAAGTCCTGTTGGCATGCTGTGCAGGAACCGGGGCTTGGTCAATGGACCTGAAGCGGCTCCTTGCTGATCAGAAACCGATGCGCCCGAGAACGAAGACGAGCGAGCGCCAACAGCCGACTCGCGGTCGCCCTGCACCTGTTGAGGCTGGACCTGTGCTGGGTTCGATGGCGCAGAAACGTGGTGGGCAGCAAAAGGCGACGACGACGAAGGCCATAACGACAAGTCGATCAGAGCCATGTCCTTGACGAACGTAATCGCCACTAGATGGATCGCGCACTTGGTCACTGTCTCCTGGAAGTCAAACTTGGGCGCTGGCGCTGAAGCGGTCGATGGTGTGCCCTCATTGACAGCGGCGCTTTCTGTGACCTGCGTACCGGGATTGGCGCCAGTATCTAGAACCATCACCTCGTGCGGCGTTGTCATCTCAAATATCGTCTCCAATGTCGATGTGACGAGTTCCCATCGTTCATCGTCAAACATGGCGCCGTTCTTGATGACAAGCTGGCTCAGGCAAAAGATACCCATCTGTCCCAGGTTCTCACTCTTCTTGCTCACCAACAGCGTGATGAGTTCGAGTAATCCCTTTAAGAAATCCGTCTGCGCATAGAAGACCTGGTGGTACTGACGAGAGTAGAGGTTGATCATCAGTCGAAGCGCCTGAATCCAGATAGTCGTTGTCAGGTCCCGTCTCTTGTAGTCAGGATCCTTGAGATCCTCAAAGATGGGCATCAACACCACGCGATAGATCTTGGACCAATACTGCGATTCGAAAATCTCTCCAGAGCCGTTCAAGATCTCAAAGAGAGTCACTAGGGCTCTGGATCGGACATTGGGTAGTTCAGAATCGATCACAACACGAGAGAGCCCGTACACGATAGGGAACCATTTCAAGAAGAACATGTCCTCATCCTCCTCATCGACTGCACTCTCTTTGGGCTGATTCTCTCCCGAATGCTTCCCCTGCTGAGGTTGCTCTTCCTTGGCATCCGCTACAGCCCTAGCCTCTAACCAGAGTCCTCGAGCACATTTCTTAAGCAGGACCATGGCGCCGTTGACGATCTCTTCGTCATAGTTGAAACAAAACTCGACAAGGCAGTTGACGTAGTCGACAAAGCTCGTCTCAATCACTTCAAAACTGCTCTCATAAATCATTTGTACAATCCCGAAAGCATTCTCGACGAGAGCGCCGTTGCCGTGGGTCGCTGTCCTGCCAAAGACTCCAAACATGGGCTTCCATCCTGAACGAATATTGCTGGCGCGAGCCGTGATCATCTGTCGAAGACTCTGGATGATCAAATCGTGAATTGCTGCCGAAGGGTTATTCTTATAAATGTGTTCAAAGGGCCTCAGCAGTTCATTTTGTGTGTTGAAATGCGCCAGCTCATCTCGGGCCAAGAATTTCATCGCAAGTTGTCGTAAGGAATCGATCGCAAAAGTGGACACGTTTGCGTTCGAGCTGCAGCCAACGGCGTTAAAGTACGACTGGAGGATACGCCAGATCTGGGTCCATTCGAAACGAATACGGACCATGTTGTAGTCAGCTATAAAATCGCCGCAAACAAAATAACAAAGTATAAAATCGAAGTTGTCAGCATCTCCTTCAATGGAGTACAATATCGATGCCTTTGCGCGGGTCAAAAAGAAGGGAAGGGGTATGATCCATACCAATTTCAACGATTCGCTGAAGCATGTACATTCTAGGCGCGTTACGGGATCCCTCAACCTCATCCAAGGACACAGCACAGATGGACTTGAAAAGATGAACAATAGCATCTCCGCTCAATGAGGTGCTGTTGGCGAAAATCTTGTCGATCGCAATAATGGTGTCCTGGGACTGGAACTCGTTCATCATGGCAGATAGAGAAGTCTTTCGTCTGGACGAACTCTGAGGGATCTGCGAAGGTGTCGAATTGTTCGGGGAGTTACTCGAGGAGGTGTGCTGATAGTCAACTCCATTGAAGCCCTCGGTCGAAACCCTTCCTCCACGGGGGATCAGTTGCAGTTGCTCCATGGCGCTGATAGTTTTCAAGATCAAGGTCCAGTTATTTTCTAGATACTCCCCCATGGTGTTGGCGACCTTCAACAGGGTGCGAATCGCCAGGACATTCTTGGGCTGCATCTCGCTCACGTGGTTCATCCCAGTCAGCTTGGCCAGTGACGAAATAAACGCATCGCGCTCGACTTCCATGTGAAAAATGCTGGCGATCCTGATGGCATTGGTCACCCCGCGCAAACAGAGATCAATGGCCTCGGCATTGATGGCTGCAAACTCGCGCGATTTGGGCTCAGTCTTTGAGGCAAAGATACTGGGGTCGATGGCCTCCTCGAACGCCAAACTGAGAGTTGCCATAGCTGGCCAGCAGGCCACGGCAAACATGGGCTTCACATGCTCTGCATGGGTCGCATTCCTCCAGACGGCTGTGCTCTTGACGCGTCCCTCGTTGCCGGTCAAGAGAGCGCGGGCATTCTTCTGCATCTGAGAGATAGCCATGTCGTACATCTCCTGACGTTGCTTGGTATTTCCAACTGGCGCAGCATTCGACTTGCTCGCCTCTCTGGCCTGTTCTTCCTCCAGCACGATCTCGTTAGTGGAGATGTTGTGGAAAATCTCGGCTAGGTACTCGTCAGGCAAGTTGCTGTTGTCATTGATTCCACGGTTGTTCTTGATAAAGTCAGCGACGTCCATTCTGCGCTTGACGTTATCTGAGTGCTGATCCGTATTGAGCATAATGACCGAGAACGCAAGGGTATAGGCGGTATCAGCGTTCGCAAAGACCTTTGAGTTGGTGTCACAGTACCGGTCAGCAAACTTTTCCATCAGACGATCAATCTTTTGCGATTCTCCGGGAAGACGGAAGGTCTGCAGGAACATGCGCAGAGCGTCCACAAATCCAACGCCAGTAAAGTCAAGACGATCCACAAATGCGTGCATGACCTTGATCGCCTTTTCATCTCCGTCACCAATGTATTCACCGATCGCAGCCTTGTCAAGACTGGGTGTCGTCATCAGGTATGCGGCGATAGACTGATAATCGTCCTGGACAAACCCTTGCTTGATCAAAAAGTCGAGACCCTTCAGGGGTTTGCTATTGAATAACCGGACTCCCTTCAAAAAAAGCTGCTTGCGTGTCATAATTTCCTCGAATTCGGCAGGATGATCGTCTCCCAAAGAGTCCGCAGATCCAACAGTGCTAACAGAAGTCGAAGACATGTTGGAGCTCGAGCTTTGCTGAGAACGCATAGACATGGCGAGCAATGGGTTCTTGGAGATGATGACTGGGTGCGACATCTTGTTATAAAGACCGGAAGGTGATTGAGCAAATCTAGGCGAAAGAGGTAGACCTCCTGGGGGGCTGTCAACGTTGACGGTATCTTGCTGCGGTGAGGCTGGTGCAGGGGTTATTCCCATTTCAGCAAATGTATCGCGGGTGTGTCCATTCGTGGATGCACTGGTAGCAGTGCTGACTGCTGCTGCAATCGCCTCTGGCAAGGGAAGGACTGCGCCGACATCCTTGGACCAATCCACCAGGGAATCCAGGACAGATACCATACACCTCAGCCCTTGCACGGCCAGTCGACGGTCCTGAATCAATGTCCAGGCGTCCTTCTCGTTTAACAGCAGCTGCTTGCCCATCATGTTTCCAACTGTAGCCGAAGCATTGACCTTTCCTCGACCCTGGGCGATGCGCGACAGAGAGTTGACTATGTGCTCGAAGATGGACGCCATTGAAAAGTCGCAGTCAAAGTTGAGATAGATGTCGACAAGAGATTGTGGGTTGGAGCATATCTTGTGCAATCCCTGCAAGACCATCTCCTTTTGTCGCATAGTGGCGTTCGACATATCCAGAAATTTAAGATAAAATTCGTTGAACAGCACCTCGACCTCGGCCTTCAATTGGGCTCGGTAATACTGGAGCAGAGTAAGGAACAGCGAGAGCGAAAACTCGAAGAGTGTCTCGTTGGCAGAGACGCCGTTCTGAGACAGGGAGACACAAAGATATTGTCGCACGGCGCCCACAAAGAGATTGTCCGACTGGAAAACAGGTCCAGAGTTGTTCATCATGGAGAGAATGAGCTCCAGGACAAGTGCACGGCCACGGATCGATAGTTCCTCCTGCTGTGCATTGTTGGGTGTGATGTCGGCCCTGAGCGAGAGTTTGCAGAGGAGCCGGAAGGTGAGATATGCATCCTGTCTAGATACGCGGCAGGCAGCAATTGCAGCCTCGTGGGGAGTAGGTTCCTTTAGCTTGTCGGGTTCTGGGGTAACGACTGTCGCGGCTGATGCGATAGAGGGAGTTCGCTCGAGAACAGGTGAAGAAGGAAGGGGGATGTCGCATGGTAACTTTTCGACCGCCTCTTGGGCATCCCGGTTCTGCATCTGGCTATGCTCCTGATCCTGGTTCTTTCCAGTCTCGGGTTGGGCTGTGGCGACTGTTGTCTCTTCCTCGTCCAACTGCATCTCAATTCTTGTTTCCAACTCGGCTGCAGCGATGATGCGCTTCTCTAAAGTCTCCTCTTCTACACCTGGCGCCGGTCCAACGGGCGTTTCAGCTCCGTCCTCTGAAAGAGATTGCTCCTGAATAACGATCGAATGCTTCTTGAGTGTCTTTTCGAGATCCCTGAGACTGTGTGCGTCCGTTTCCATTTTTGAGATGACGAGGTTCACCATCTGGGTCAGTCCTGCCTTGGCGGTGGCCTGCAGAATCGGAGACTTTGCCCAGCAGTACATATTGCAGCTGGTCTGGATAATTTTTAGGAGCGACGCGTGGTGAACGTGGCATGTTGACGATGTCACGATAGTCAAGAGAATCTGAGAATATCAGTTGAATAAAAAGAAAAGGAGACGTCGCGTTAGAATGAGATGAGGATCGGACACAGAGCGATGCACCATATGCGCCAGCTACTTTGGGTCGCTGTCATCATGTTTAATGTTTGAAGGCTCAATCAATACCTTTATGATTTGAAGCTGAACATTGTCGTCAATGGTTCCAGGACCGCGGTAGGTCATGCAGATCGTGTGGACAATCTCATCCAGCAACCGTGGAGGATCAGGATAATGATCCGGACCGACTGTGTTTGCGCCGGGCAGGTTAGGGGCAAGGTGGTCGGTGGGATCTGAACAGTCGATATGGCTGAGGTCGTTCGTTTCGCTGAAGGCTGCAAACTTTGGGCGTCCGATGGCAGATGGAGGAACGGGCGTGGTGCGGGTGGCGGGTGGGAGTATCAGGGGCGCATCGCCGGTGAGTTTCCCGTGGGCGATCAGTTTGTGAAGGGCATCAAGTGCGAGGACCTTGACCTTGTTAGAGACTGATGGAGCACATGCCAGCTTGAAGACGACCCAGTATTCTTCTGCATCAAGCGAGTCGAATTCAATGGAGGACGAGGCTTTGATCGCACTATTACTGGACTCTGTTGTTGTTGCTGTTGTTGTTGCTGCTGTCGTCGTTACTGAAGGTCTGGGTTCATCGATACTAGCGGATGGAGTGGGGTTGGAGATGGACTGTTTGGGGACGGATGACGCTGTTGCAAGCTTGAAAGCTTGGAGTCTTTCCATGGCGCCCTGGGCAGCCTCGACAAGGTCGCGCTCCTTGCGGGGATGAGCCTCTGCCAAGAGTCGCTGTAGAGCGAGTTCTAAGCTCGACATGGCTCTGGTTGAGGGGAGGGATGGGGACGGATGGGGAGGGATGAGGAGGGATGGGATGGGATGGGATGAGATGAGATGAGAGAAGAAAAGATGGGATGAGATGAGGGATGATGGGATATGTGGGATGAGATTGGAGGAGTGGGGTGGAAGTATTAGTCCCGACGAGTTTTATGAGAAACGAGATATGACTGGCTGCAACGTGTTCTCTCGACGTGTAGACTACTGTAGACAGTCTGTGTGCAGTCGGACACGCCACCACCACGACGCGGACTAGCGCTTCGGGCGGCCTGCGTAGGAGGGGGCGCCCATGCCATGGCAGACAAGGCCCGTATGACAACATAGCAACGTGGACAGCAAAGACTGCTCCGGCTCTTTATTCTGCCCGCTTTCTTCCCCTTACGTCGTATGGGCTCACTCTGTTGTCTGCCACTCTGTAGACTCCCTCCCCCGCATGTGCCCCCCGCGCCCAGCGCCGGCAACCAACAGCCCTCTTGACCGGCCACATCCTGCCAGCAACATCCTGTCCTCCTGTCTTGCGTGTGCGGTGCGCTACCTTGGTCCCCCACTGGCCTGCATGTCCAGACCTGCTCCTTATCCTTCGTGCCCTGCTGCTGCTGCTGCTGCTGGCTGCTGGCTGCTGGCTCTCTTCTCTGTCGACGCCAACAGATCAATGAAATAAATGGGTTCATCTTGTTTTTCCTCATCCTCTCTCATTTGAACACACGCACACGCACACACAACACACACACACACGCTCTCTCTCTATCTCTATCTCTCTATCTCTCTCTCTCTCTTTCCCTCTCTTCTCCATTCATCTCCCCCCTCCCTTTCCTCTTCAGCTTCATTTTATTTCGCACCAATCGACTTGCCACCAGTCCCTCACTGGGCAACTTCCCTCTTCTCTACCTGGACCCTGCCCTGTTTCCCTCTCCGCTTGCTACACGCCACCCATGGCTTCTCCGAGGCAACTCCGCCTGGCCCCCACACTCCCCTTCCTCCTCCTCCTCCTCCTCATAACACTCTCGCTCTCCTCCAACCTCGCCCATGCCGACATCTTTGGGTCGTCCGTGCCCAGACTCAGCTATGACCGCATCTCAGTTCGGAACAAGCCCTCCTCTATTGACTCTGCTGATATGATCGTCGGCGGTGCCAACATCCTTGCAGGCATCATCAGCCAGACAGGCACCATTCCAAAGGGCGGATTTTCGGTAATAAGCAAGTTGCAAAGTCCGTGCCGTCATGAACATTGAAATAAAAGAAACGAAAAGACTCCTGGACTGGTTATTAACACGAGCACCTGTTTCATCCATGGATATAACAAAGGCAATCCTGTTCGACATGGGTTACGCATGCACACCAGGTTTCGACCCCAACAACACTCTCCCTCCACCAGAGTTTTACGGCTTACCACGGATCGCCCTGATCCGACGAGGCGGACCCACCTCAGACGATGCCTGCACCTTCCGCACCAAACTGCTCAATGCTCAAGCCAACAGTTCAATTGCTGCAGTCGTTTACAACAACCCAGGCTCGACTGCCCTCGACGGTGCAACTGCCGCATTGAACTCTTCAGAATCACCTTTGAGCATCCCTGGGATGCTGATTTCGTACGATGATGGGATGATGCTCAGGACCCTGCTTCAGCAGACCCAGGATAGCGGCAGCGTCGATTTCTACAACCGAGTGAGGATCACTATGAGCGTCGACCAAAAGTTGCCCGTCGTCTGGGAGTTTGTCCTGATCGTCGTTGTTGTCCTGCTCGCGGTCTCTTTCACAGTTTCTGGTAAGGAGAGAGCCAAGGGCTAAGAGAGAAAGAGAGATTAATTTGGGTAATTTGGCCTAATCAATCACATGAATGAATCGATCGCGAAGACGCACAAGCGTCCCGTTGGTTGCAAATCCGTAGTTGGCAGGAACGGCGGTGCTAAAAAAAACACGTTCTCACTAATTATAGTCGTGCTACATTGTCGTCTGTACGCATTACGACAGCGCATCCGCATGGACGCCCTAGCGAGAGGAGCAGATGTTCTGCCCAATGGTACCATCCGTATGAGAAAACTCACCATGGACAAGGCAGCACTGGATAAGTTACCTGTCAGGATCTATGGTCAGGACCATAACGCATCTAGCTCGGAAGAGGAGGCGTTGACAACAACAGAGGCAGCAGTGGCGCCCGTGGGTACCGTATCATCAGCATCAGCTACGGAAGAGACGACAGATGAAACCCATAGGAATGCTGGCAGCGGCAGTGGCACAGGACTGGACAAACAAAACGATACTGCGGAAAACACTGGTAACGGCAGCTCTTCGACTTCGCCGTCCCGCGCCAACTCTCTCAAAGGGTCCATTTCTGGAAAGTCTACTCGATCCCTTGGAGCAGTCGCTGCAGCCACTGCTTTGGATGCCAGCTGCAGCACTACGCAGCAGACGCAACCGACCTCAACATTGGCAGCCACCAATAACCCTACTCCTGTACTGGACGAAGTGACCAGCGACACTTGTGCAGTTTGTCTGGACGAGTTTTCAGATGGAGAGGAAATTCGCATGCTGCCTTGTCGCCATGAGTTCCATTGTGAATGTATCGGTAAATAGTCAGATATGCCTCTTTTATGATGTCCAGAGCCGCTTTTTTTTTTTTTTTTTTTTTTTTTTTTCCTTGCTCTTACTTACGTTTATATTCATCTTAGATCCTTGGCTGGTCCGCAAGAGCTCAACATGCCCACTATGCAAATACGACTGTCTCCCTCGAACCGTAGAGGAAGAATCAGGGCACGGCGAGGATGCCCCCATTGTGGTTCCTCATGACCGATTTATTGAGTTTGTCATGGGACCCGAATGGGTCGCATCCAGGACCTTACAAGGACACAATGGCACAAGCGCTATTGATCGCGTTGGATATTTCTTTGGCACAATCCACGATCGCTTGCGCGGAAGGCCTCCACGACCACGGCCAGGCCCGACTGTGCCTCTCGCATCTGCTCCTTCGTTGCCAATGTTCAGCGAGTCGACAAATAACAGCCAGATGTTTCAATTGGATGAGCATGGTCAAGTGCCACTGCATTTGATTACACCTCGAGGCATATCTATAGCACCGAGAGCGGCTTCTGTAAGGGCATCATCATCATCATCATCCACTGCTCCAAGCACAGAGTCTGTGGCTAGATCGGTTGTCGTCCTAGTTCCAGCACCAAGTTCTGTACAGCAACATCCAGCGCCTGAAACAAACGCCTCCACATCCACACATACACCTACAGCTACAGCAACAACAGCAACAACAACAACAGCAACAACAGTAGACATACCCGAAACAGTGGATGAGGAGCTACAGACATCGTCTTCTACTAGAGCTACACCACCATTGTCCTCCAGTTCATCTGTTACTGTCGATATCCCATCTAGTCATTAACCCGAAGCTACGCCATAGGCTACTTGACGGCATATCATATCCCTGTATCCTTTGATCTTTAATAAAACCTCAAGGCTGCTTCGCCCAACACGAGTAATTTCAACAAAAATATTTTTCCCTAACTATTCATTGACTAAAGAATATATGACAGTTTTGCTGACTCAACAAAAAAGTGAGAAGACACCATCCCACGAGTTGAGCTTGGAGAACCTGGGCATCGATCCCAGTGCCTCTCGCATGCTAAGCGAGCGCTCTACCATTTGAGCTAGATCCCCGTACTGTTAGGTTGTCCGATGCTGACACTATTATATTTCTAAATTTCTATTTTCCATTATTTCCAATCTTAACTCACTATTTCCTGTCAAATTAAGAAATAACATGTCCACGACAAGCGCTCTGTGCACACGTTCTTCAGCAGTGCTGCTGATACGTCCCAGAGGACACATCATATTAAGAAGCTGCATGGTATGCTGCCTACCCTGAATACCATGAAGGCTCGCCACCCGAGTCTATATCCTGACCGTGTCTGCTGCGTCTGCGATGTTCAGGACGAAGACAACCATCACCTGTGGACGTGCAGTGCTACTAGAGATGTCCACAAGGCGATCTGGCGCGAAGGGCTACAGCAGATTGATAAGTGGGGACGAGCTGCAACGACCGAATACAACAAGAACAGCAAGAAGCAGCAAGAGCGTGATAGGATCCGCGCTGGAGCCGCCGCTGCTGCACCGAAACCCATTCGATGGGTTTGTCCTAACAACGAGACCCACATCCGAGGTCTATCCTGTATCGCCGGGACCCGATCAATGCTCAAAGGCGACGAGTATCATGACCGCTCTCCGGATCTGACCTGGAGCATCAGCGATTTATGCCGTGGCATCACACCCGTAAGCCTTATCAAGGAGTGGGGCAGTCTATTTACCTCGCCATCGTCGATTGCGCGCCAGGTCATTCACAAGTTCGTCGGCTTTATTGAGGAGAAAGCTACGGAGCTGATCTGGAAACCACGCTGCAAGGCCACCATTGCTCGAGAGCGAGAATGGGGGATCACAGCCAAGATGAAACGAACTCCATACAAGGGACCGAGAGGGGACTGGAGTGATGGGTATGGATACATTAGCGACGATGACCAATGTCCGTGTGGTGCATTACTCGCTGACCATGTAAACGGGAGCTGCCCTGGCCCCCTGCTTGACCCAGACGCAGCGGATCGGACGCTGCTGGATTGCCTGCAAGGGAGGAGGCGGTTGACAACCATGGAGGGGATGGGGAAGATACCCTTCTTGTAACAAGGTGTTTTCAGCTTTTAACACACTGATGAGGTGTGGCAATTGTTGCGCAGGCCCTAGGGGCAGGCCCGGGGAATGTGACCTGTCTTTTGGCGACTGTGGATCGGTTCCGCTTTGGTGGTGAGGACAGCGATAGTAGATCTTTGCTAGTTAGTCTGATAGATTCGCAGAGTCAATTGACTCGAGAGACAAGTTGTTATAAAAAAAAAAAAAAAAAAATGTCAAATTAAGAAATAAAAAAAATAGACTATCCTGGTTTAAATCTCTGATTTGAAAGGGAGACGGTTACTTGCAACGGAGATCCAGGAAGGTAAACGGACCGCGGATTATAGGGTGCTACAGCATTGCTTGGGGCGAGGGAAGTTGGACATAATAGAGGGTTTATTCGGTTTAAAAACAACTTTATTAACATTGGATCTGGATTAGGAGACGTGTATCGCGCAACAGGTCACGCAGGAGTTAGGTTAGGCTAGCTATGCGACATGGGTTATGAATTTGACGCCTCAAGCCAACATAGTTGGTAGGGGATGCGGCTCTGCCGTGCATGGAAGGCATCTATGGCTTCAAGGCCTTTGCGGACCATGCGTCTTGTGCTCATGGGGATTTATGTTAATAAAAAAAAAATAAAAAATAGACTATCCTGGTTTAAAAAAAGTCCCATGTCTATGAGGGTTCTCGTTAATAAAAAAAAAAAAAAAAAAAAAGACTATCCTGGTTTAAAAACAACTCCATTAACATTGGATCTTGACTAAGTAGACGTTTTTATCGTTAGGCTAGACCAGCTATGTGACATGGGTTATGAAATCAAGGCGCCTCAAGCCAACGTAGTTGGTAAGGAACGCGGCTCTGCCGTGCATGGAGGGCATCTATGGCTTCAAGGCCTTTTGCGGGCCATGCGTCTCGTGCTCATGTGGATTTATGTTAAAAAAAAAAACACGTAGGAACACGGGGACAAAGTTCTACCGGGCACTGAGGTCTTGGGTTATACAAACTAATAATGATACGGACGGACAGGTTCGCCGTGTAGCGTAGCTGCTTATTCTCTACTCATGTCGCCGAGGATCCTTTGTCTGTTACATTAATTTGGAGCGGAATGTTATTTTAGAGGGAGCGACTCTGCTTGTCAATACTCACTATTAAAGTATTACGGATCTAGAATGTAAGGCATGAATCAAGGCACAAACTGCCCTTCAATTTGTATCAAGGGCATGGAACACCAGTGTTCCGGAAACAGACGAAAGAATAAAAAACTATCAACTTTCCAAATTATCAAATTAATAAAATATCAAATTAATAAAATTAAAATCAGTCCTACTTGAGTGAAGTGCAGGATATTAGTGGCGAAGGTAGGATTCGCATCCAGAATATAAACAATTTATGATATTAACACGGCACTGGCTCCGCTAAATATGTAGACAAAGAGAACGGCGGTAATAGACTTTATCAGACCTCATCAAATACAACAAATAAAGATGTATTTTTTTTATTAAATATTTTATTTTTTTTGATAACTAGGACCCACGGGGACATGTGGGCTTTATTAGCGTGATACTATCCTCTAGGGACCCCTATTGCTAGAGACGTAAAGAAAAGTGGTATCTAATAAACAGCTTTTGCCTCGTCAGCATGAGTGGTGACTCGAGGAGCCCTGCTCCCTACTTGGCCTGTTGTGCACGAAGGTCATCCTCTAGCCAGTATCCACTGTCATCAAAGCCTTGCATCTGCCTAGTCGCTCCATCAGAGTCAGCTCCAGCTGCTGGCAAAAGCCCTGCACTAGGCGCCTGTCCGCCTCTGCCCTGATCTCTTCCATGTCTGTTGCTGGTCTCTGACTATGGGCTGATCCCATGAAATTACTTCTGTTACGGTTGTGCCCTCCGCCACAAGTGCGTCCTCTGGCGCGTTTGCTCACAGAAGTGATTCCACGCTCTCGTTCCCAGTCCACGGTGACTTTGCAACGTCTGTTCCAGATCTCAGTCCTTCCTAGCTCCTCGATGGCCCTGACAAAGCGCGCGACCATGTACCTTGCGACTGACTTTGACGTCTTGAACGCTTCTGCCCATTTCGTAGTAAAGTTCTTTGGTACCAGTCCATGGTACAAATCCTGAACGGTCCAACTTGCTTCACTGCTGTGCCTGCTTTCGTCTGTCTCGTCAAGGTTCTCGTCCGCGTATCGGATGGATGTATTTTTTTTATTAAATAAAGATATCAGCCTTTTTTTTTTTTTTTTTTTTTTTAACATAAATCCCCATGAGCACGCGACGCATGGTCCGCAAAGGCCTTGAAGCCATAGATGCCTTCCATGCACGGCAGAGCCGCATTCCCTACCAACTATGTTGGCTTGAGGCGTCAAATTCATAACCCATGTCGCATAGCTAGCCTAACCTAACTCCTGCGTGACCTGTTGCGCGATACACGTCTCCTAATCCAGATCCAATGTTAATAAAGTTGTTTTTAAACCGAATAACCCCTCCATTATGTCCAACTTCCCTCGCCCCAAGCAATGCTGTAGCACCCTATAATCCGCGGCCCGTCTACCTTCCTGGATCTCCGCTGCAAGTAACCGTCTCCCTTTCAAATCAGAGAAATCACCAACACTACGTTGGTGTCCCCGATCACCGTTGCGTCCTCCGGCGCGTTTGCTCATGAAGGTGATTCCAACTGACTTTTCCCAGGCGACAGTGTCCTCGCATCGTTTGTTCCATATCTTGGTCCTGCCAAACTCTTCGATCCTGCTCACGAACTTTGTCACCATGATCGTCGCAATCCACTTGGTGGTGGTAAATAGCTGCTTCCAGGTCTCAATGAGTCCCGTTGGCACCAAACCTCGGTATAAGTCCTTGACCTCCCAATCTGCCTCACTCTCCGGCTCCTCTCCTTCCGCAACCCGATATGTCCCTCGTCTTTCTGCTGTCCCCTGAATCCACTGCATTGACTCCCAGATAGCCTTCGTTCCTGTTGCCGAGAAGTTGGGACAAGTCGAGGCCTTGAAATAAAGATATCAGCCTTTGGGGGTTTTTTTAATTTGACTTTTTATTTTTTTATTTAACATGGCCTCCGAGAGAGAACAATCAGTGCTGGTTTCCTAGTGAATAGTCTCTGAGACTTGTGTCTATCTGGCCCTAAATCTTCTAGTGTGGCAGTCGCACCATCTCCAACAACTTCACTGTAACCTCCCTAAGCGTCCCGAGGTCTTTCTCCTGCGATCCGCTCGGCTAGCTGGCAGGCTCCTCACCTGCAAATCTGCCAAGACCATCTCTCCAATTGCAACCTGTACATCTGGGAGATGGTCTTGGTTTCTTGAGAGCACGGAATCCGTTCTACTGGCTTGCGAGCCGAATCCTCTACTATTGTAACATTTCCTCCACCTCCTCGTCCCGTCTTTCCTCCACCTGAGGTCACTGGATGTGAGCTCAGATTAGCCTATTATAAAGTGGGCCTACTCACTTTTGAACTTATACCTGTAACCCCGGCAGGGGTAGCTAAGACGCATGCTGCCAGTGCAGTGGAATAACTTGTACACCCTGGTGTATAGCTGGGAAGTTCTGAACCAGCGCCTCTCGAAGTCCGGAGGCTAGCGCAAGGGCGAAATTTATTCTGAGCATTATGTCAAGCGTTAAGGAAGGGGAAAGGAAACCCACAACGATTACATGGGGTAGTGCCACTCAATGTGGGGGTCGCCGGGGAAAGGAAACCCACATAACTGAAGTGGGGTAGTACGCCCGACTCATGCTCCAAATAAATTTCTATGCGTAGCACATATTACTGTGCTTTAACCAGGGCTCGAACCTGGTCCCTTCGCGTTACAAAGGAGGTGCCCTGACCAGTATGCTAACTGAGCCATCGGGCCTGGGTTTTTTTTAATTTGACGGGAAATAGTGTAATTAGGGTTGGAAATAATGGATATAGTAATTTAGAAATATAACGGTGCCAGCATCGGGCAACCTAACAGTACGGGGATCTAGCTCAAATGGTAGAGCGCTCGCTTAGCATGCGAGAGGCACTGGGATCGATGCCCAGGTTCTCCAAGTCATCTTACCTTTCTACATCCTTGAAAGGATGTTTTTTATTATTGACACCGTTACTGGAGTAAGCTGTGCGCTGTATCGTTGATTTTTTTTTTTTTGGAGCACAATTCTGTTAGTTCTAAGCAATAGTTTACGAGTGCGAGAGCCTTATACTCGACTACCTCCTGCAGGAGATCTATGTAAGATATTTTGTGCATTTGCCGAAGATGAAGGCATCCCGAAGCGTAAGAAACAAGCCTCCTCATGAGGTATGAAGCAAGCGAGGTGTGAACGCAGGAAGGGCACTAGTTGGGCCATAGGCTCGATTTCCTGACTAAATGAGCTGCACGGATATCCTGCGGGAATTGACTTTGGATGCTCAACGTGGTAACTGGATTTCCGGATCGGTTGTCAAACAGAATCAGATATCCTACGATGGGATACCAGCTCAGTCTGGATGCAGCATGGCTGGAGAAAGTGTCTTCAGAAACGACTGGACGAGACAATTCTTCGAGGATTCAAATAATGGCGGGAAAGGAAAGGAGAAACCACAGTTTGTGCAACAAGGATTGTCCGTGTTATTAGACTTGTACGGAGAATTGTCTAGAGACGCTCAAAGGGTGCAAAGATGACGAGCAGCAAAGAGAATCTCTCACACGACAGAAAACTCCGAACAAACCCTGCCCATTCACACTCCTGTTCTCATTCGCCATCCAGCTCCACTCCATTTCACTCCACTCCACTCCACTCCACATTACAAGGCGAATTACATAACAATGAACAGTAACCAGGGCAACAGGCGGGGGTCCATCACTAAGGGCTTCACCTTCCCAAAACCATTGTCGACAGGAGCGGCGAACAACGGCTACCCTGAGTCCACCCTGACCAGCTCCCTTTCGCCCCCAACGCCCACCCATCCACGCAAGAAATGTAATTTGCACCTGCAGAAGAATAGACAACATGATCGGTTCTCAACCCCCTCTCGGCATGTGTGTTTTGACCTATTGTTTGTTGTGCCGATCTGTGCTAGATATCATTGGCGTGTGCGCAATGGACGACAAGGCCCGATCCAAGCCCATGCGCAACATTCTTGATCGACTGCTGAACAACGGACCCTTTGAGGCCATCATCTTTGGTGACAAGTGCATCCTTGATGAAGGTATAAGGACCTCCTATTTTCGACAAAGTGATGTAATAATTGATGTCCTTTAGTGATCATTACCCACAGAACAATAACCGTAGCTCTCTTTTCATTTCACTAGATGTCAGCACGTGGCCAGCATGCGATTTCTTCATATCATTCTTCTCAAAGGGCTTCCCTCTTCACAAAGCTATCGAATATGTTAAGCTCAGGACACCCTTTTGTGTGAATGAAGTCGATATGCAGACCGTCCTCTGGGACCGACGACTGGTGCTGGAGATTCTGGAAAAGATCGGAGTACCTACGCCAAAGCGACTGACTATGGATCGGGATGGAGGCCCTACACTGGACGACCGAGTCCGTCAAAAACTCAAGCTGCGTGGCGTTACTCTAATGGAAAAGCGACCTGTTCCAGAGTTCAAGGTTATTGACCAGGATACCATCCAGATTGGCGATCAAATCCTGGTAAAGCCATTCGTTGAGAAACCAGTCTCGGGAGAGGACCACAACATTCACATCTACTACCACTCATCAGCTGGAGGTGGAGCGAGACGACTCTTCCGTAAGGTATATCATTGTCATTTTCGCTAACGATGTGGTATCGGCAGGTATTCTTGAGTTACTGACCTCATGTACGTTTTGGAACTAATTATAATACAGATAGCCAACAAGTCGAGCGAATACGACCCAGATTTGTCCATGCCTAGAACAGACGGATCGTACATTTATGAAGAGTTTATGGATGTCGACAATGCAGAGGATGTCAAGGTCTACACTATTGGCGATCATTTCGTGCACGCAGAAACCAGAAAGTAATGATCAGTATCCCTGAACTTGGCCCCTTTCTTGAAGTTGAATGCACAGCGTGATCGTGCACGACTAACTCTCGGCCTCTTTCGCCTTACTATAGATCTCCAGTCGTGGATGGACTTGTGCGCAGAAATACGGATGGAAAAGAGATTCGCTATGTTACGCAGCTCACGCCGGAGGAGAAAAAGATGGCAGCCGGGATCTGTAAAATGTTTGGTCAGCGCGTCTGCGGATTTGATCTGCTTCGAGTCGGTGGCAAATCTTACGTGATCGATGTCAATGGCTGGTCTTTTGTCAAAGGCAACAACTATTACTACAACAATTGCGCCAGCATTCTGCAGGAAACTTTCTTGCGTAACGCCCATCAGCGTAAACTTTCTGAAGTCGTCTTCCCCAAGGAGCTCAGCGCCGAAAATTCATGGAGATTGAAGGCCTTTGTGTCTGTATTCCGCCATGCAGACCGGACTCCCAAGCAAAAGATGAAGTTCTCTTTCAGCTCCGCACCTTTCCGTGAACTTCTCAACGGTGGCGGAGAGGAGGTCATCATTCGGCAAGCCAGGGATTTAAAGCTTGTCTCGGCCGCTGCCGAACAGGCCATGAAGGAGGGTCTTGAGGACACGAACAAATTGATGCTGCTCAAGACCATCCTGGACAAAAAGTCAAACCTGCCAGGAACTAAGGTCCAAGTCAAGCCAACTATCACCAAGGACGAGGAAGGCAACTCTAAATCGGTTAAGCTAAAGATTATTGTCAAATGGGGAGGCGAGGTATGCAGCTGCACTTGTGTTTGCAGACGTCGCTTTCATATGTACGTCTTCACAAAGGAACGTTATAATTTAATTTTTACCTACTCTTGACCATCTAGTTTACGCATGCTGCAAAATATCAATCCAGAGACCTGGGAGACAACCTTCGCAAGGACTTGCTGATCATGAACAAACACGTCCTGGACGATGTGCAGATTTTCACTTCCTCGGAGCGACGCGTTCGCGCCACAGCAGAGCTCTTCACTCAACGTTTCCTCGACATTCGCGAGGTCCCCAAGGACATGCTGCTGATCCGCAAGGAGATGCTTGACGACAGCAATGCCGCCAAGGAAAAGACCGATGCAGTCAAGAAGGAGCTCCACGACCTCTTGCAGCCTGACCATGCCAATGAGATTCAGCAAATATGGCCAAAGGGCGCCGAGGCTCCGGGGCAGCTAGTTCAGGATATTATCGAGTCCATGCGAACACTCCGCGATGTCATGCGCAGGAATTTCGAGCGCCTGGACGTGACCACCCTTCAAAGGACGTGGTGTTGCTACGAGAGCCCTACATTGTTCTTTGAACGTTGGGAAAAGATCTTTGGGGAATTTGCGGATGGTGAACTAAAGGACTTTGATCCATCTAAAGTCTCGGAGTTGTACGACTCGCTCAAATATGATGCACTCCATAACAGGGCCTTTTTGGAAAACATTTTCGTGGACAAGGAGGCAGGCACTGGGGTGGGACCCATCAAGGATTTGTATGCAAAGGCCAAGATCATGTTTGATTTTGTATCGCCGCTCGAGTATGGAATCAGTGAGACAGATCGGCTGGAGATCGGGCTATTGACTAGCTTACCGCTACTCAAGCAGGTTGTCGAGGACCTGGAATCTGCAAAGCGATCCGCTACCCCATGCACACGGCTTTACTTCACCAAGGGTAAGTAGTACATCCCTTCATATATTTGCCTGTTCGGGGCGTTTGAGGGTCTGTTACTCGGAAACTCATGATTGCCTTACGCGTTTTTTACTTTTGTAGAATCCCACGTTCACACGCTGTTGAACATCGTATATCTTTCCGGTATACCAACCCGCATCAGCAAAAGCGAAATTCCAGAACTCGACTGTAAGCGGTGTCTCTAATTTGCTCTTTTTTTTTTTTTTTTTTTTTTTGCGAGTGAGTCCGTATTCTAATCCACACTCTGTTCTCTGGTCGTATCTTCTCTTTGACAGATTTAACCCAAATCACATTCGAGTTGTATGAGAGAAGCGGCCCCGGGACACCCTTGAGCTCCCCTGTCAATCCAAGCATCTCCACTTCGCCGCACGGTCCGCAATCACCTCAGTCGCCCGAGTACTCACTTCGTATCGGATTTTCACCTGGCGCAGGCAACCCCAACATCCTCGATTTGCAAATGGATTCGAAGCATTGTCTTTCAGTCATGCCGCGGCGCAACCTGACCGACCACCTGCCCCTCGACGCAGCTCTGCGGTATTACAAGACTCAAGTCCGTAACCCTAAGTATAAGAGCGTCAACCGACGCATCCGCGAGAGTCGCATGCTTGGGCACAAGTTGGTGGTCGCGAACGAGGGTGAAGAGGAGGCCCTGATCCACGACGAGGCGCCTTTGATGGTCGTTGGGTCTCCTATTGGTCCCAGTGGCGTAGATTTGCAGTTTGCGAATAGAACAGCAGGAGCAGACAATTCGTCCAAGTGAGAAAATCGAGCAGTATTTTCAGCATTTTCAGCATTTTCTCGCTTAAGCGGATATTAAATTAGTAATAAAATAACTGAAGCATGTATTAGGGACCTTCTCGCATGGGAATTTGCGTTGTTGGCCTGCAAATAGACCCGCTAAATAAGGCCGGCCAGTGAGCTTAACAAGGAGCGGGGAATATGGGAGGATATATAGGGGATTGTAAAAGAAGCGGACGAAGAAGAGGCAGTTCAGATGATTATGACGCCCTCCCTCTCTCTCTGAAGTCAAGCCCACTCGTCCAAGAAGGCGACAGAAAATCGACCCCGCAACAACTTCAGGATGCGAGCCGTCCAGTACGAGAAGCAGGAAAACGGCTTGACGATGCATACAGCCAACTACAACACACTTACTCCGAGGGTGAGCCTATCTCAGGTTCCAGCATCCATATCTATGATTAAAGTGACGAAAGCAAGAAGTTGCCAGATGAGGCGAGACATGCGGGTCCACCTCTGTGGGATATGTTGCGACAGCGAGCTTCAGGAACTGAATATCGAGTGCTCGCGGCTCGACTGTGATGGGTTTGAAGGATATAGAAGGCAGGTTCGGACACTGCCCCTCATATCGACTGCACTTTGATAGGGACGCTGTTGGCGGGGAAACATCAGCCGCGTCTGTATGTCACAGCTGAACTAACAAAAACGCCCGACAAAGTTCATGCGGACCCCGGTGCAAGCGCCGGTGGCACCACCAGGCCTCATAGAAATCGTATCACTACCACTACCATCACCACTACCACTACCCATAAGCACAAAGGGAAGGCTTCGGTCGGTTTGCAGCAGTGGAGCTCCAGGAGATCCAGAACAAATGGCAGAGGTCGAAAGCAAACCTCGGGGGAAGGAAGGGGGGAGGGGAAGGAGGGAGGAGGAGCAACCAACATGGACGCCCCATATGATCGCGACCCAGGCCAGATTGAATAAATCAATGTTAAGACTTGCTGCCTTTATGAAAAATCTATTATCATATAAAAAAGGAACATTGGAGATGGTGGTTTTGCGAATGGGCCAACCGGGTAGAGATGAATGAGATATTACGAAAAAAAGAGCTCGTACTACAGCCCCTGACATAGCTCCCAACCCTTTTCCGCGTCGCTCTTCTTGATCACAAGGCCACTCCTGTGCTGAGAGGATCGGCGACTACCACCCTCTTCGCCGCCGCTGCCACATCCCGAGTCCGAGCCATCCGAACCGTCCTCCCAAGCACCGTAGGCGACACGTCCAATGTCGATCAAGAAGCGCAGCGCCGGATCAAAGTTTACAGTCGGCCGGCGTCTCTTACTCCTCGTAGAATTCGAAACCATCTGCATCATTGCCAACATAGTCGTCAATTCATCATCGAGTTGACGGCGCAGATGCACTGTCAGGGGCAGCAGCGTTGTTCGAATATGATCCAGGATCTCCGACTGTGACATGTTTTCGTCCCCGCCTTGGCCTTCGCCTTGGTTCTGCTTGATCAAACTGCTCAAGGCTTCGACTCCGCGCCACAATCCAATACGCGCCTTGATCTCAACAAAGCCTGTCAGGTTCATAGCGAAGTAGGCCACACTCAACAATGCCTGATCATTGTCTTCTTCCTCCAACCCGGAAACGGCTTCAGGTGCACGAACAGGTCCCATTGGCACCTTGGCGGCAAGAGCCCGACGGCGCTCGCTCAAAAGTGCCCATGCCTTTTCACCGCAGCGAACACTAGGTCCAGCCATACCGCGTCTCAGGTAGGCGTACTCGAGTAGAGAATACACAATCACTTGATCATAATACTGGAAGTCGAGCTCGGTTTCCTCGCCATGCTGATGCGGGCCTGAATGAGGATCACGGTTGTTCGGACGCGTGGTCAAATGGTGACGAGGATGCATTGCCATGATTTGTCCCATCAATCGATCGCCTAGCTGGGCCGACTGCTCGTCCTTAGCAAGCCAGAGCTCCGAAATCTTGCCAACCAAGGCATACCAGTGGTGCCGGGTGCCGGGCAATGTTGTACGCACCACATCATCAAACTTGGCGACACGTTCTGAAGCTTGAACAGAATCCAGATCATGGGCGACGGCATTCAATCGGGACATGCAGTCGACGAACGCATCCTGAAGCACGCTAACGCTTTGAGTTTGAGCGACAACTAAAGTAGGAGTCATGGTCTGGTACAGGACCGCCTCTGTTTGTGGGTACTCGGCGCGACCATACATTGCGCTTTCAATCTCGACAATGCTCCTACTCCAAGCAGTACTTCCAACTTCAACCTGCAACATGCTCTCCAGCCATCGGTCTTGACTGATACCCGAGATCTTGGCCGTATAGCGGGCCGATTCCATAAACTGTTGTGCCACAAGAGTCGCCAGAGGATTTGCGGCCTTGCGTAGCGAAATGTAGAAGGCAAGGGCTGCCGTAGCGGAGACACGGGCAGGCGGCTGTCGACGAGCGTTTGTGTACTCATCCAGGGTCCTGACGATGGTGTAAAGAAGCATGAAGCGACTAACGGAGGAGCTTGCTCCACCAGACATCTGTGCTTCCACGACACGAGCCCAGATATCTGGACGGACCATATCTGTGAGGTCGGGATAAATTCCAAGTCGGATCCAGAGGCAGCGCCACAGTTCCAGGGACAGCGCGAAGAAGAGTCTGAAATAGGATGACGGAATGACTTTAGGTACAAGTCCAGAAAGCGTCGTGTAGACTTGGGTAGGCGACGAAGACTTCGGCATCACTGGGAACTTGGACTGAGCGAAGGAGCCGCGACGCGAGTACGAAGGCCAGACCAGGGCCAGGAGACACCCCATAAACAAAAATGCGCGAAGGGCCGCCCAAGTATCCCACGCCACAACGCCAAGTGGGTCCCAGACGTTGATGCCAACAGTGCTGCTAATCGAAGGAGTGTTTCCGATGACTTGTGACGAAGAGCTCATGGCGCGACCAGCGCCCTGGCCGTCATCCATAATGACTCTGTTGACTCCTGAGCCTTCCGGAGAACTAAAAAATGTCGCGCACATAAAGACAGCCATCAGAACACGACTCGTTCCCGCAGACGAAGTCGACATTGGCGGCGGTGTGGTAGGCTCTGCGTTGGAATCCTCAGACGAAGACTCGGGCGCTGGCGAAGATTCTTCACTGGAGTTGGCGAGTTCTGCCTGATGCTGTTCCATCAGATCAATGCCTCCAGGGAGCGAAGTCAAGAGTCGGCGTAGAAGTGCATTTTCTGTCTTTGTCGCATTCTCCCGCTTCTGTAGAACGATAATATATTCCGTTGCCTTTCTCAATATGGTCGCCTTGTTTAGCTTGGTCGCTCTTGCCACACCGTCTGCATCCTGAGGCTCGTCATCGTCATCATCATCCTTTTCATCCTTGGTCTTGATGTTGCAGAGTGCAGGGACAACATTTTTCAGATCATTGATGCGATCATTGATATTGTTGCGGTATCGACGCTCAATGGCGTTGTGAGCGACCTTCTTCTGCTGCTTTGTCGGCTGAGGCCCCTGGGCGCTAAGAGGTGCTGGTGTCGGTGCTACAAGCGCCTGAGGGGGCTTGAGGCGAGTGATAGGAATCTTTTGCTGAACAGACTGGGGTTGGCCTGGCTGCAATGGCTGTCCGGGTTGCGATGATGCCGAAGGCTGTTGCGGAACCACTGTTGAGGATACTGCTGCCGTAACTGACGCCGCCGCTGCTGGAGACATTTCAAGACCGGGCATTATGGTTCCAGTAAATGTCGAGTCGAATCCAGTAGGGGTCAAAGGCACTGTTGGCGGGAGCACCATCTTCCAGAGAGGCTGTCCAAAAGGAATCATCCCTGGTGAGGCGGGTTGCGTGATCCCAGATGTTGGTGTAATTGGCAGGAGTGGCAACGATTGGAAGAAGTCCGGTGTGGACGTTGCAGACAAGTCAGCAGATGTCATTCCCGGGGTTGTTGAGCCAGCAAGAGACGTGGGGAGCTGCAATGCCAATGTCTGGGGCGAAGGTGCTGTAGATGCGACCGACACTGAGGAACTGACCGACATCTCCATGTCGCTCTGGTCCGATCCTGCCTTTGAATTCTTCTTTGCCCTTGGCTTCTTTGGGGCTGTTGTATTCCCGGCTTTGGTGGTCGTGGCAGCCTTTTTAGATCTCTTTGCAGCTGCCGGCATTGAGGTCTTGGCTTCGGCATCAGTGCCATCATCCATGGACTGGCGCTTCGCGGATTTTGTAGAGGCCTTCTCTGACTTGATCTTTGGGGTGGACCCTTGCAAGGCAGCAACAGCAGGTATAATAGCACTGCCAGATACCGATGACGTGGACAGAAGCAAAGGAGAGAGCATGACACCGTCCTCGCCCGAGGACAATGTTCCAGGTGAGGTAGGGAGCATCAATGTATCCGACTCAGGTGAAAGTGCCGAGGTCATCATATCAGGCGAACTAAAGAATGCACCAGAGTCAGAGGGGGATGTGGCAGCAATGGCGGTAAGACCAGAATTGACAGCACCAGTTGTAAGAATATTGGTATTGGTATTGGCACTGGCCTGGGCGAGTGCCCAGCGAAAGGCTGCCAATTGGGTCTGAGAATTGAGGAGCTGTTGTTGTTGTTCCTGTTGGGCTTGCAGTTGTTGTTGCTGTTGCTGCAGCTGTTGCTGCTGTACAGCATTCGAGGTGAGAAATGACTGGAGATGGAGCTCAAAAGAGAACGGCGCCGTGTGTTGCTGTTGTTGTTGTTGTTGTCGATGTTGCTGCTGCTGTTGCTGGTGCTGTTGCTGCTGTTGCAGCGTGAGCTGGTGGAGGAGTTGCTGCTGCTGTAACTGCTGCTGCAAGTTGGCGGCGGCATTGGCATCGAGGGTCGATCCCGTGGTGGTGTACTCGTCAAAGTAGGACTCGCACATGAAAAGATCCTGTATATCGTTCGACGCAGGCGGAGGCGCCCCAAAGAGCGGGTTCCCTGCCTGAAGAAACATGGAGGCGGATCTCAATGGGTAGCGATTCGCTAGAAGGATGGACTTGATGGAAAAAAAGAGGTCAAGCGTGAAAAGGGGGGGAGCGTTAGGTTAGTGGGAAGGGTGTTCCTCTGGGCAAGCTGGCTGTTGAGGAGCGGTAATAGTGGCGCACACCTACAGGGTATGGCTTGAGGAAGGGTAGTGTCAATGTATGTGTGAAAGTGTGTAAGTACGAAAGTGTGTAGGTATGGATGTGTGTAGGTGTGTAGATGTGTAGGTTGATGGGTCTCGAGGATGGGGGCAGAAGGAAAAAGGGGATAGTTGCTGCTGCTACTGCTGCTGCTGTGATGGATGAAGAGAAGAGAGGGAAGGAGAAAGGAAGGCAGTATGACAAAGGTGACAAAGGAAAAGAGAATGAAACTAGCGCTCGCTGCATTAATCTACATTCCCATATCCTGAGGCGAGTCAGTGTCAAAGATGCCCAGAGTTTAGTTGTGGATTAGTGAAAGAGACAAAGACATAAAAAAGAGGTGATGTCCTGAGAGCCAATCAGAAGCGAGGAACGAATCGTTCAAGTCAGGAGCGAGCAGTTTTGTCAGACCATTTCGTTTTGGGCGCAAACGAACCTGTTCACCTCGCTAGGGATTGCTGTGTACGTTGAGGTCAATATGGCCTGACTTCCAGCACTACTTGAAGCAACGAATGATCAGCGCTGAGTAGGGCGTGATATCCGGACGCAACTCTTAATATGCATTTATTAGATTAATATAAAGTAGTACTACCGGCTCTAGACAGGACAAGCATTGTCTCTCTAGTTGGAGACCTTGATGCTAACCAAAATATTGGTGCTGGTGTCCATGTCAGGCTTGGTGTTTGCATCGCATCGGCCTTTAATGTCTGTGCAAGGCCCTGATACCAATGAAGAACTCGCCACGTCTTCTCGAGCAGTCGGTAAGCACTTTGTACTTGTAAAAGTTGTCCAGGACTGGTGCAAACTCCTCCTCGAGGTTCTTTCGCAGGTCCAGTACCGCCTTGGCATCATCCAAGTCCTTGCATCCGGACTTGCACACAAACTTGGGGTCGATCGTGCTCGCATTGTTAATGCTCACCTTGGGTTCGTTCTTGCCATCGGTAGACTCAGTTGTTTCCTGTGGAGCAGGAGCAGATGTCTCGGGCATGGGAGCAGTGGTCGCAGGGATAGAGGCAGGAGCTTCAGGCTCAGCAGCAGGGACTTCGGGCATGGAAGCAGGAGCCTCAGGTTCAGCAGCAGGAGCCTCAGGCATGGAAGCAGAAGCCTCAGCTTCAGGAGCGCGAGTGTTGGAGGTTGATACTTCGGGGGCCGGCGCTTCGGCGGCTGGCGCCTCAGACATAGATGGGGATGAATCTACGGAAAACTCCTCCTTGGCAGGCGCTGGCGCAATCTCTGTATTGGTCATCTTCTCTGTGCAGTCCTTGGACAGATCCTCGGCATTGATGTTGGTCTGGATATGCTCAAGCATCACCTGAGTGATCTTGCTATCCAGCTCCATCATTATCTTCTCAACCTCCTCTTCCTTGGACCACGGAATGTCCATGTCGGCATCGGATGTGACAGTCGTCTTGATCACACGAGCAAGTGCCTCGGACGAGCAATCCTCCTTAGCCTTCTCGATATTGGACTGGATCGTAGTGTCCAGGACGGACTTCTTCTTGCCCAGCCCCTTCGTGCTGCTGGTGACCCTGGAAGTCGTCAGGTCGCGCACCAGGTCGTCGAGGCGAGTTTGAGCAATATTGGCATAATGCTTCGCTGACACGTCGATAATGAGATCCAGGGCTTCTTGGTCCTTGTGGCTGCACTCGCCGCAATGGCGCTTGGCGATAACAGAGGACGACCCGATATTCGCCTTTGTCCTCGTGCCTGTGTGCGTAGGCACTCGAGCAGCCATAGGCGCGGCGGATGCGACGGTGGCGATTGCGGCCGAGATCAAGAGGGCACAGGTGGAGAACTTCATTGGTTTAGATTTGTTAGTGTGGGCGCTTGCTGGGATGTGTTGTGCGGTATTGGATAGGAAGACAGCTGGGTGCTCGAGAGAAAGGGAGAGGACTGAAGATGATGTTGGTTTGGTCAGGCTGGGATATGGCCTATTTATCTGTTCATCTGGGCTGAGAAAGACGTGGCGGCGGCAAGGGACCGAGTGGCGACAGGACAGGCTGATCGAGGATGGTTCCGGATGCCAGTCAGGAGCGATATCAAAGCAGGACCACAAGAAACCTGCTGGCTGCTGTGCGGTGTTCCGCGCCATGCCGTGCGGGAGTGTACTGCACCTCATCACGCCCGAAAAGCACGCGCTGTCCCTGTTATTCTACAGGCTAGATTCTCAGTTCCACTTTCTAGACGACGACAGATGGTGACCCTTGGAGCCGTCCCGTTCAACCTGGGTCTCTTCTATTTTTACCTACAGAAGTATCTCTGGCATCTCTGGCATCTCCAATGAACCAACGATGGCACATATCCTGTCTCTCGAAAAGATAAGGAGGAAGCAGAACGTCTATGCAGGAGTCAATTCGGGGTTTTTTCATCAAGGGATACATGACCGAATAGATCAAACTTGGAACGTGGAAAAGGAATGTAATGTCGAATAGCGACTGTAAATGGAAGATTGCCCATCAAGTCTGACAGCAATCTTGTTTCCACGGGGGATTGTCAAGAGGATTAGTAAGTAGAAGAGGAAGTAAAGAGTCTTAAACAGGTACATAGTCTGCAACATACCTTATCTGATACTGAGCTGTCTGAGTTTCATGCATACACTGCAGGTACCTCAATGAGAGGGTACTAGACGCGTTTATGTAGACTGCATTACTCTATGTTGCATTGTATAAATAAAAACACAGCCTTCATATCGCTTGGTTTTCTTTGATAGGGGAAACAGCTCCAAGGATACGATACCAAGGAGATCGTATCAGCTCAGTTTTGCCACTTTTCGCTCTGCTCAATGACCGTTTAGGGTCGAAGATGGGCTGATGGATGAGCCAGCCTTACTAAAAGAGCGTCTTTGACCATGGCTTTGTACGTATAGGTCAATACAGGGCTTTTTCTGATGCAAGGCAAGACCATGGACAGACCTGGTCTACTGCATGACTTGCTATGTCATGCAAAGCATATTATATATATTCGTATGGATACACTCAATGCTATGTACTCTGTCTATCCATGTACTCAGCAATGCCTGGCTTTGGTGGCCGGTATCCGTACCAAGCGTTGCCACTAAACGGCCGTTTGTACGACCGGTCCGCGGTATGCAGGGGACAAAGGAACAACGGCCATTGGGTCTCTTGTCTGTTAATTCTTCATCTTTCTGACACATTCCTCCTTTCCTTTTCTCTCCACTTCTCTTTTTTTCTCTTCATTCTCTTCCTCCGCTCCCTTGCTTCTTCCTGCAGTCTTCAGCATAACTCCTTTCTCGCTTCTTACCTACCTGACTCCCTTGTTCGAGCACCACTATTGCATCTCATAAATTATATTTAACACCTTGTATCCATCCATCGCCATGGTTTCCAAAACACAATCACCCCAGTCCTCGTTGAATGACGACTCGCTATCCGCGGAAGCTGATCATTACCACACGCCCTCTTTCCCTCTTCATACCAACGACAACGAAGGCCACTTTAAAAGCCCTGACTCCTCGGCCATCTCGATTCTCTCTGCCTCAGGGACACTAGTCTCTTCAGATGTCCGGCAACACTCTCCTTCCACAGCCTTGCCTCACCCTCTTTCCCGCACCTCGACCGCCCACACCTTGACTATGGCACAGTCCCTGTTTGACCCTGAGCCCTTTAAAGCCATCCTGAACGAACTGAATGAATATCTGGAGCAATTCGATGCATTAAACGACCAGATCCTGGATGCAATGACCACCTACTGCGAGAATAATTTGGATATGGACTTGATACCGGGATCGTCTTCAGCTGGGCACTTGCCCGGACTCATGAGGGAACACCAATCGAGGGATCTGGAAGAGCACCGTTGGTCCGCGGCTCAGTCGATCGCCGATCTAATATTGTCCGCGTGGCCTAGACTATGTAAGACCGTCACCTCCACATCCCCCGACCCGCTCACGATGCAGATTCAGGCGCAGCCTCAACCACCGTCGCACCACATGATAAAGTTGAACAAACAGCGGACCAAGATTGCCACACAGCTCAAAAATGGCATTGTCATTTTCTGTAGTGCTCAAAGCCTTTTTCAGGAGAGGGCTCAGCTAGTTCTTGACATCTATCAGGTATAACAACAAACATTCGCTGATATCCTCCGAGGAGAAAGGGAAGAGAAGAAGACACCTATCCTTTACATCATTCAAGTGCTAATGGGACTATACATCGAATTGACGGATTTTTTTTAGGACCCCACTGAGCTCGAACGTGATGACCGCACTAGGACCCTTCGCAGTCGCCACTTGAACAGTCTATTATCGAGCACCCTCAGCACAGCCGTAGGGGATCAATTAGCACGGAAACTCACGGAAGACCAGGAGAAGATGGCATTGATTACGGAGTCATTGCAGGGCGTCTGGTTGGAGATCGTGTTTTTTCTAGAGAGCTCTGGTCCGAAGGGTATCGTTACACACGAGTCTTTTGGGCGAAAGCTCCTTCGAATCAGCAAGACGAAACGGCAAGCACTCAAAGTAAGAACCCCGAGCTGAACCAATTGCGTTGCACTACTTCTGACAGATAGTATTCTGGAGCTAACCAGCTGTGTGTTTCCGAATTCGTTTTGCCTTTTAGACCCTCCTAAAGAGCTGGTAGATGCGTAGGCGCCTAGTTTTTCAATAAAAGCTGTGACTTGTAAACATTTGTGAAAGGACGTACATGGAGTCTTTGTGTAGAGCAATCACAATCAACCTGAACAGATCAAGTTGACGGCGTGGCATCGATGGCGAAATGCGTCCAGGTTTTCGTCCGCTCCCAGTCTGGGGTAGCTCGCGCTTTCTTAACCAAGCCTAGTGCATCGTGGCAGACGCGCTACGTTCAGACGTCTCACGGCAGGGATTATAGTACCAAAACTAGGCCGACAGAGCTGCGGTATATAAATACCCATCTCGACACAATCTTTGCGCTCTCGACCCATCCAGGAAAGGCTGGCATCGCTGTAATTCGAGTATCGGGTCCACAGGCCGGGACAGTACGTGGATGCAACTCAATTGGCACGCATTCTACGGTATGGACTATACATATTTGATACCGGTATTGTAATCCTAAACAAAGCCGCCGTCAATTGAATCAAACGGATAGGTGCTAAGAAGCATGACCTCAAAGGCGTCGCCATTTCCTAAACCAAGACATGTTGTCACAAGAAAGATAATTTGTCCACAGACAAGCGAGTTGTTGGATAAGGGCATGGTTGTTTGGTTTCCAGGTACGCGAAGAGTTCGATCAGAAATGTCTACGTTTGTGAATGTTGCCTCGAAATCTTTCCTTAAATCTTTTTATGTCATTTGGTATTGGAGAGTAGGCCCTAGGAGTTTTACAGGAGAGGACAGTGTCGAGTTCCACTGTCATGGAGGCAAAGCTGTAGTGGATGGTCTATTGACAGGAATCGGGAATGTTGGAACGCAAGTGCGCCTAGCGGAAGCCGGAGAGTTTGCAAGAAGGTTTGTATGAACTGCGATATGCATGTTTCTACGTAAGGCTTTTGGTTACTCTCATAGGACAGCAATGCCCTCTCGATAGGACCTAATCTTCCCAACCGTTTTAATCTTCAATTAGGGCATTCGAAAACGATAAACTGGATCTTACAGAAGTAGAAGGACTAGCTGATCTACTGAATGCAGAGACTGAAGCCCAAAGGCGACTCGCTCTGCGACAGGCAGATGTACGTGAGAGGTTTTAACCGTAAACAAAGTAGATAACAAATGTTGCCTGTGTTAGATATTGATTCCAAGAATTGATCTTAACGCCTTATTGTGATCACTAGGGAGGACTGAAGAACTTGTACGAGGGATGGAGGACGCAACTGATCCAGAGCATGGCTCTGATCGAAGCATTGATTGATTTCGGAGAGGACGAAAACATTGAAGACGACGTCTACGATAACGGTGAGCCATTGGGACAAACTATTAATGTCTTGCCTGTACTTTTGTATTAATGATGGCTCGTTTTAACTCTTACACGTTTATTCCGAAAAGTGGTGACGAAAGTTAGTGCGCTCTATAGCGAAATCAAAAGACACACGGACGATGATCGATGCGGCGAGATTCTAAGGGATGGAATCCATGTCACTATCCTCGGACCACCTAATGCTGGAAAAAGCAGTTTCCTTAATTTCATTAGTAAGTTTTCTTTCCCTCCCTCTCGTCTTGTCTTCGCTCCAACAATTAAATGGCAATCTGATATGGAATATTCCCGTCTAATAATCTTACCTCTTACTGTAGCAAAACGGCAAGCAGCAATCGTATCCTCTATACCAGGAACGACTAGGGATGTTGTTGAGGTCTCTCTCAATATCGGTGGCTACCCTATCCTTATAGGCGACACTGCCGGTCTTAGGTCATCACAGGACGAGATCGAGATGGAGGGAGTTCGGCGAGCACAGGACCGTATTAGACACGCAGATATCAACATCGCAATCTTGCCTGTCACTGACTTTCTTCCTGATACTCTGGGGAAGGAGGATAATTTAGGCAGCTCTCATAGCAGTGGTGTCGATCCGATAGTCCTGCAGGCCATCAGAGACAACCCAAAGACTATGGTACTGATTAATAAGATGGACCTGTCGAGGTCGGATGTTCAACAAACAATGTCCGGTATTTGGTCACAGTTATGGCCAGGCGCAGATCAGGGGAGTGAATCTGGTAGTCGAAGTGACAGTGACAGTCATGGCAGTAAGGAACATGGAGAGGTGAACTGCAGTGACAGCAGATCCAGGCTATGGGCCATCTCATGTCAGACAGGAGAGGGAATTGGATCGTTCCTGCAGGATTTTATCAAGACCCTCAAGGACAAGTAAGTTCATGTTGAGCTGTGGTTCGAAAAAAAAAAAAAAAAAAAAAAAAAAAAAAAAAAAAAAAAAAAACGTCGCTATCAACAGTGAATGTGCTTACTTTTTTAATCCCCCCTCCTCCTTTTTTATTTTTTTATCACCGCTGTTTAGATTCGAGACGAGTCTGACAAGCAGCACATCTATCACCCAGTACAGACACAGGAGGCATCTCGAGAACTGTCTGCAATCCCTTGAAGCATTTCTGAGTGCGTAGAATTATATTATTTTTTTATCTCAGCCTGTGCTCAAGCGAATGTTGTGAAGAACCTTATACCTTTTCTGTTTTATTTTTTAACATACATAGATCTCGGTGCAGGTGATATTGTTCTTGGAGCAGAGGAGCTTCGCCATGCAGCCTCAGACCTGGGCAGGATCACGGGCCGTGTTGATGTCGAGGAAATCCTTGACGTTGTCTTTAGGGAGTTTTGTATTGGAAAATAGAGATAGAAGAGCCATAGACAGTGAATGTGCCTTGCAGTAGATGGTATGGTAAAAGAGTGCAGCAAAGGCATAATTCGTCTAAGCGTGATGGGATCAAGTAATATGTCTCTACTGCTTTGTGTTTGAGTCGTTAGAAAACTGGGAATGGGTCGATTACAGAAACATATGGCGGGAGAAGGGAAGATAGTAGCCAAGCATGATCCTTACGTGAAGTCAGAAAATATATGGTCGTCATTGGGATCAGCGCCTGTTAGGCAGAGCGGCGGCTGAGGGAACCACACCACGACCACGGCTATAAGCGATCCACGCTTCATGATGTTTGGGACGGTTAGCATCTGCCGGTATTTGTCTGCTTGATCTGCTTAACAGCTGGGGAAGAAAGAAGGCAACATAACTTATTGTAGTAGATACCCTTTTTTTTCCTTCTCCTTCTCTCGTTTCTTCTTCTCTCGTTCCTTCTTCTCTTCGTCTATTTGCTTGGAAACCTCCGCTCAAACACACTCAGACGGGTTGCAAGTGATACCTTCTCCTCTCCCTTCCCACTTTTTTCACACCGCCAATTTTATTTGACACGCGAATACTACTGGATTGTGTCCAGACGAGAGCCATGACATACAATCAATCTATGCACCCACTTCACCCTGCAAGCGATCCCTTGATAGACGGCAAGCCTGCGATTACCGTCACACGCGCCCACAGTGGCCAAAGGATGTGGTCTGATCCCGTTCTAAAGACGCGGCGCCCAGAGCTAGCCCAAATACGACCTTTTCTCTCCTCCTTATCCGGCATGTACTCCACCAGCCATAGTGATGCTATCCTTTCCAACAGGACAGTTGCCCCTATTGCAGCAGCAGTATGTCGTGATATCCCGTCACGACCCCTTCCCTCGACATTGATGGCACATCACCGCAATGGGTCTACCAACCTCAGTCGGTTTAATAATAATGTTATCAACAGTCTACGCGATCTTGACCTCTACGAAGACGATTACCACGTACTGGATACATATTCAATGCAGTCAACACCAAGGTTGATGCAACAGGCGCCCAAGATGCTGATGCTCGATGACTATAATCTCATATCGCTCGGATACAAGCCGGTAAGAGGAATAGCAGTGCTCATTTGAAGGAGATTATGGACGACCAAATCATATTTACAACTTCCATTCACTCTAGGTGATGTTGAGGAGGCTATCATGGGTCAGTCTGACCGGAATAGCCATAACAGCATCTAATGTACTCGGCGGAGTCATTCCTTTATACGGACTATCAGTTATTAATGGGGGGCCCGCCTGGGCCACTTGGAGCTACATCTTAGTAGGTGTCATGTCGATTGGTGTCAGTTTGTGTCTTTCAGAGCTCGCATCCGCATATCCAACGACAGCAGGCGTCCATCATTGGGTCTATCAGCTGGGATCCGCTAGGAGACGTGCTTATTTGTCTTGGATGGTGGGATGGTTTACGATCGTCAGCGCCGTAAGTCGTCCTCATTCACTTTTTGTGTTGCTAGAGGATATGTCTATATATTCCATAATTTTTACAATTGCATTCTCGCGCTGTTTAGGTATCGGTGACAGCCTCTTTGGCATTTTATTTCTCATCGATACTGAGCCAGATCTTACTGGTGGTGTACAAAATCGCATTGACACCAGCTACGCTAGTCATGTTCCATATTGGCGTTCTGTTCGTTTGGCAGATCCTGAATCTGCTCCCTGCTCGAGGGATAGGATATCTTTCAACCCTCTCAGGTAAGCGATAAGAGAAGACACAGTTCCAGTTGAAGAATAGGTACATGCTTGCATGCTTCTGTAATGCATGGATTCTTTTCGATTAACTGACTAGATCGATTTCTACAGGATTTTTCATTGTTGCGTCTGCAGTAGCGTTAATTGGCACGATCTTGTCGCTAGCGAAATTCGACATGTCCATGGGCCATGTCCCATTTACTGCTTTTCTCAATTATTCTGGAAGCTCCAGTGTGGCATATACCGCCCTCAGCAGCACGCTTATGGCCTCCTTCGTGTTCTGTCCCCAGGACACGGTCGTCCGCATGGTGCGTTTGCCGTACTGCTCCATGATATGCATTACCTACTAAAACGAAGAGAGTAAAATAACGTTGAGAGTAATCTGCCTTGCATTACAGGCAGAAGAGAGTAGGCACCCTGAGAGGACCATATCTCGACTGGTTGTTGGATCCACTGTATCAAATCTCTTGTTCGGGCTCCTTCTGATCATCGCCCTCAACTACGGCATCGCCAAGCCCATCAAGGGCCTTATGGACGAATCGGTCCCAAGTGCCAGAGTCATTTTAGGAACCATGGGTCATTCAACTGGTACAATTTTCGTGTTATTGGTGCTTGTAGCCATATTCTGCACGGGATTCATTCGTCTGGTAATGGCAACGCGAACCGTCTACGCGTTCGCTAGAGACGGTGGCATTCCACGCTCTTCCTACTGGAATCACCTTCATCCCCAAAGAAAGACACCCGAACGTGTCTCGTGGTTGGTGACCGCCACATGTATGGGCTGTATCTTTCCATTCTTCTGGGGAAACACAGTCGCGTTCAACTGGATCGCCAGTCTTGGTTGCATTTCAGCCAACGTTTGCTTTGGTAAGATCGTACGTTTCTGATGTCTCATTGGATGAGAACGCGTCGCGAACTGGTCAATTAATCAAACTTTATCCGTGATTCTCTTTCGTAAAAAAAAAAAGTGGTCCCCCTGTGGATGCGTCTCACACATGAGGGAACCCTTCACTATACGCCTGGCAAGTTTATACTCGGGCGATTCTCCAGACCTTTACACGCTATTTCAATCGCCTGGCTTTTGCTCCTATCGCTGTTCCTGATGCTCCCCTCAACCCTTCCATTGAGCAAGAACAACTTTAACTATACGCCAATTGCCATCATAGTGCTGGCGTTCCTGTTTAGCGTTTCTTGGTTCAAGGCCAGGACCGATTTCACAGGCGAAGCCAAGGGCGCCAGTCGAGCTTCCCATCGCATCTCCTCTCGCTCGGCAAAAGATTTCTCTCAGAACAAGCAGCAGTCCAATTTTGAATGTGATGCGCTCCAATCCATAAGCTCTTTACAAAGGCCTCTACCTCAAACAGGTAGACACGAACACAAGCACCCTAGTTTCGAGAAATCAAAGACATCGTCGCGGCAGGGGCACAATTTCGGGACTAGCGCCCAGACAACGACAGTTAGTCGATACTATCCGCAACAGCCACTACAGCAACAGGAGAGATCGCCATCAAAGCCCAGAAGTGACCACGTCGCTGTGGCCATAGGGAACCAGCACCTAGAAGCAGAGGTGTCGCCCGCTGAAAGTCCCGAAGCAGGAACATCAAGATTGTGTCAACAACAACGCTATGGCCAAACATCCAATTTGACCATGACCAGCATTGCATCATACCAAAGCCATCCGTCCTCGATATTAGGGATCCCCTTCTCAGAGTCGCCAGAGATGTTGCCCCGAGAGTTCCCAGTCATGAAATTGGATCCATCATCCTCTCCATGCTCACCAGCCGCTACTACAGTAATTGTTTCTGTTTCTGTTGCCGTACCAACGCCGAAAAGCTCCGTGGCTTCGGATTCATGGCCGACCAGACCAATCGCGGCGAAATTCAACCCCTGTGTGGTACCTGAAATGTCGATCACTCCACCGCTAACGGACAGTGTGAAGATGAGTTCAAGTAGTAGCGCAAGCAAGGCTGAAGTGCAGTTGCCGCCGACAATTACATTCAACTACGACACTTCCAATAGCATTACATCGTCCTCTGAGACGCCGCTCACCACTCGCCTTCCTCTGGATGCGGTCGACAGTATTTTCAAGCGGGATTTGAGTCTTGGACAGTCCGGAAAAATTCGTGAGATTTTGGGACAGAATGATACGCTGGACAGGATTCGGCATAGCAAAAATAGGGCACCGACACCATATCCAGCCAGTTTAGTAGATGTTGGTGATGATACGCTGTCAGACCACACCTCGTCCACGAGCATAGATGGACCACGCTCGTTCCTCCTCACCAGTCCTTCAAGCCTGCGCACTCTGCCCAATGACGGAGATATGAGGAAGGGGTTAGCCGCCGTAAACAGAGATGATTCAATCGAGGGTCTTCTAAGGGACCTGGGTATTACATTTGCACCTCAGAAGCAAGCTGCTTCACAACTTTTGGTCTTGGCAGAGGTCAATGGGAGCAACGCAGGAGATGAAGGCGCTATTAGAAAAGAGGGTGAATCAAGGACTGGGAATCATGGTTACGACGCCTCAGATGGGTTGCATTTGTCTGGAATGCTTCCGTTGAGTAGAACACCGACCATGCAGCGCAGCGATCATGAATATGGTGCGTCCTTCAAACTTGATGATAGCGACGAAGAACAAGATGAGAGTGACGAGTCGAATGATAATGATGTCCATGGAATTATCATCACAGAGGCCGACGACTCCTATAGTGAAGAGTACAGCCATCAGTATTCCGTTATCTCCAGACCGAAATATCGAGTTCAGGTGATATCTTCTAGTAACGCGCTTTTCGGTTACCAGCGAAACCGTCCCACCACCAATATTCCTTATGCTAACAAGCGAACGAGAGATCCTACTCCGCTACCTCGATCACGCCATAAAGGAGGACGATGCGATTCAATGGAGCGTATTCTAGGTACGCATCGCCAGCATCACCAGCAACAGCAACAATCCAGAGACCCTGTCCAGGAGCAGCTGCAACGCTCCAGAAGCGTGGCTAACTGGGCTCAAGAACAGGCGCGTATCCACGAAAAGCGGATCAAGCATAAAGCCAGGACTCAGGCGCTGAGAGAGCTGCGGAAACAGCATCCAATAGCCAAATTGGCACCGTCAGAGCATTCAGGTTCCTCTGGATCCTTGCATATGTCGTCTTCGTCATCTTGGTCTGCATCATATTCCCGCTCATCTTCAGGAAAAGAAGGGCCCGGAAAAAGAGTGAATCAGTCGCAGAAGCAAGTACGAGGCGCAGAGGTCATGGAGTCATTCCAAGAAGATTATCCACTCGAGTTGAGTCGCTTGGATATTGTGATCCGCGAACAGGAAGACGAAGACGAGCAGGATGAGTTTGGGATATACACAATCACGGACGACATGACCAGCCCGACGGTAGAGACCGAAAGCCTTGGAGCTGGTGTAGGCAGACCCTTATTTCAAGTGTGAACTCTTGTTATCCGACAACAATAAAAAAAAAAAAAAAAAAAAAAAAAAGAAGAACGCGTAGGATGATCCTGAGTGTCCTTTTTTTTATTTTTTATAATAATTTGTCTCTCGAGTCGATTGACCCCTGCGAATCTATCAGACCTCACAAGTAATGATCCACTACAGTCGTCTTTTTTTTATTTTTTTTTTATTAACATAAATCCCCATGAGCACGCGACGCATGGTCCGCAAAGGCCTTGAAATAAAGATATCAGCCTTTGGGGGGTTTTTTTAATTTGACGGGAAATAGTGTAATTAGGGTTGGAAATAATGGATATAGTAATTTAGAAATATAATGGTGCCAGCATCGGGCAACCTAACAGTACGGGGATCTAGCTCAAATGGTAGAGCGCTCGCTTAGCATGCGAGAGGCACTGGGATCGATGCCCAGGTTCTCCAAGTCATCTTACCTTTCTACATCCTTGAAAGGATGTTTTTTATTATTGACACCGTTACTGGAGTAAGCTGTGCGCTGTATCGTTGATTTTTTTTTTTTTTGGAGCACAATTCTGTTAGTTCTAAGCAATAGTTTACGAGTGCGAGAGCCTTATACTCGACTACCTCCTGCAGGAGATCTATGTAAGATATTTTGTGCATTTGCCGAAGATGAAGGCATCCCGAAGCGTAAGAAACAAGCCTCCTCATGAGGTATGAAGCAAGCGAGGTGTGAACGCAGGAAGGGCACTAGTTGGGCCATAGGCTCGATTTCCTGACTAAATGAGCTGCACGGATATCCTGCGGGAATTGACTTTGGATGCTCAACGTGGTAACTGGATTTCCGGATCGGTTGTCAAACAGAGCCAGCAACCCAAGGGATCATAGCTGAGCATGTAACGTAGAATGTCTTTAAGACTCAGGGGGTCCATATGAGAATGAAGACAAGCGGAAGTGGGTGGAGATGAAAAGAACAAAGACAAAGTAAAGAAAGAAGCTGTTACTATCGCTGGTGGGTCTATACATGCACTGCAATCAAAAATGATGACTCTATCTTCAGTCTGTGGATAAGAACGAACGCTACCCTTGGATGCAGGATGCGAGGTCATACACACGAACCAGCAGCAGGAGTAGGAGCAATAGTAGCAGTTGCGCGGCGGGGCAAGGGCAAAGGGTGGACGCAAGCAAGCAGCCCCTATACAAGAGCAACAACCCCGGGATCGCAAGCTAGCCTACCGCTTGTCTAACTTTTAGTTCCGAAGATTTTCTCTTCGGTGACGTAATTTCAGCGAAGTGCGAGCCACTTCCTTGCCGTTTTGACTCCAGTCGTTGTTCTTCACTCCTACTCTCATATTGTGTCCCCAATATGTTCAATGGCACAGATTCGAGGAAGCACTTACTCGAGGACTCTCAGTTGTCGAGTCAGTTCAGTGGGTAATTACCAGGACGCGTCGTGGATTCAGCTACACTCTCAGTGGATCAATATATTTTTAAGAGCTCAACGACTAGTTACTCATCTATCTCCTTCGAATTACTTGGAGCTCACCTTAGAGCGCCGAGCTCAGGAATCTATGCAGACGACGAGAATGTGAAGAGAGCTAAGGTGGAGCAGGGATATCCCTTGACAACCTTGAGTAGTGATTCGTTGGCATTTCAGGGCTCCTCTACTGCTCAGGTATGTTCGTTTGGTTCATATCACTGACTCGTCGCTTCAAGTGAACCAGTCAGATCTTGTAGCGTCCGGCACAAAATTAGGAAATGGGTGTCGATGTGCCAGAGGCCATTGCGGCTGTTCACGGACGACCTTCGCCTTTAGCACGGCAAATGTGAAGTGGTGCTGGCGAAGTGCTTTGTTATATTTATTTGCTAACAAGGGTTATTTAAAAATTGTCTAGATACCATCACAGATGATCGATGCTTCTATACAGGGTGTCAATGGGAGTCGGAAGTTGGGGATGACGCGTGAACAATTAAAGTACTGCAGCACTATCGTCAAGGATCTCAAGAAGCATCGCGATTCTGCACCGTTCTTAGTTCCTGTTGATCCCGTGCTTCTCAATATCCCAGATTATCCGTCTATCATCAAAAGGCCTATGGATCTGTCCACGGTCGAACGGAAACTCAACAGCGTCGAGTACGAATCCGTTGATGACTTTGTTGCGGATATCAACCTGATTTTCTCGAACTGTTACATTTATAACGGTACCGAGTCAATTGTTTCTAAGTGCGCTTCGAATCTGGAGGCTGCGTTTAATAGGCTGTTACGCCGCATGCCAAGAGAGGTGAGTTGTTGATCAAAATGCTTGCTCTTGCCTACTCTTTTTTTTTAGCTAGTGCGCATCGGCCAACGCGTTCTAATGTTGATCTCTTATGATAGAACAATAAGTCCGCTACAGAGACAACCGCCACGAAGGAGACCTCCAAGAAAGTGCCTGCTGCACCGAAGCCAAAGAAAGAATCGATCAAGAAGGAAGAAAGAAAGGAACCCAAACTTGTACCTCTTCAGCTCGTCACCCCTTCAGCAACAGGACCTTCAGCTTTGCAATTTGAGTCACCATTGGATACATCAGAGGAGCGTCGACCGAAACGTGAGGTCCAGGCACCCTCAAAGGAGATTCACACAGGGGTTTCGTCCAAGCGCAAGGGATCGAACAGGTGGAAGACGGATCCTCAGCTGCGGCATTGTCACGCAATCTTGAAGGAGTTCGCCAAAAAGTCAAATGCAGAGTTCATGTATCCATTCATGGAGCCAGTCGACTGGGAGGCCCTTCAAATTCCCGACTATCCAAGGATCATCAAGAATCCCATGGATATTGGCTCTATTCGACAAAAGTTGGAAAGCGACCAGTATGACAACGCAGGCGAGTTCGAAGCAGACGTGCGACTTGTCTTGTACAACTGTTACAAGTTTAACCCAGAAGGTACCGTTGTCAACTCCATGGGACGAAGGATGGAGCAGCTTTTTAACAACAAATGGGCACAACTCCCTCTACCACCACCCACACTACCATCAGTCGAAGAGGTCGCTGTTGATTCCGAGGACTCGGACTCCGAGGATTCGGATTCGTCTGGTATGTTTTCATTACTGCCCTTGTGAAGACTTATTTTCAAAATCAAGTGAAAACCTCTGTTTGACATTAGTTCTATTGGTACTATTTTATAGATGATAAGATTGCAGAGATGGAGAGACACTTGAAAACATTATCTGAGAAGCTGGAAACCATGAAAGCGACAAAGAAAAAAGAGAAGGGTGATAAAAAGTCAACAAGCAAGGCTCCGCAGGAAAAAGTCAGGCCAAAGGTAGCACCAAATCCACCAAAGTCGCCAACAAAGAACCGACACAAGAAGACATCCTCCGCAAAGAAATCTAGAACTGTACATACCAGCAGCGACGAGGATGTCACCATTACGTTCGAGCAAAAGAAAGAGCTGAGCGACAGGATAAACGACCTTGAAGGTGACCAGCTTGCTAAAGTCGTGCAAATCATCCACGACAGCATGCCTCACTTGCGGGATGTGAGTGCCACGTTTTACTTTCAAATTCATATGTTAAACACGCGTTTTGATCCTCCTGACTTACTAATTCAGTTCTTTGGATCATATTGATAGAGTGGAGGTCAGGAGGAGATTGAGCTGGACATGGACTCACTGGATCCGAGGACATTGTATAAGCTATACCAGTATGTCAGGAGCTCAACCAAACATAAACGACCTGTACCGAAGAAAGTGGCAGTACAGTACTCCGAGGAAGATGCTACCAAAAAGATTAATGAGCTGGAACGGAAATTGCAATACCTCGACCAGCCTGCTTACGGCAAAGGTAGGTTACGTGCCCCATACCTTCTCCGTGTCTCTATCTTATTGCGTCTTAATTGGTGCGGAGTGGCATGTCCAACTCAACCTCTTCAACCCATTTTCATGTCTGCAGTTCACGGCACGAGCAAAGGCGATTTTTCGAGCTCCAGCGACAGCTCTGACTCCGGCTCTGACAGCGATGATTCAGGTAGCAGCAGCGATTAGTTTTTTACACAGCCCCGTTCTTTCAATGATAATGGTGTTATCATGCATACCCCGGTCCACCCCCTGATTTGCTCTCCCACCGAAGCGCAACAACTGGACGCCACTCTACCGTCGGCCATCATACTTTCAAGTGACCAAAGAGTTTTTGTACATCGATTACTCTGCTCGTTTCTTTTTTTGGTTTATGGGATCATCAGGAATTCGAAACAAGGCATTGGGTGTTCATTTTGCGGTCAATGTCGATATGTACACACAAACATATCTTGTCATTCACGCTCAAAATATTCATTGATGTCCAGCATTTATGTCACATCAATATTGCAGACGGAAGACGAAGACCAAATAAACGACATTGCCTTCTCACCGGACTGACTTATTAACGATTAGATGCGGATTCTGATCATTTTTATTTTTTTTTCTTTTGTCACTTATGAACTCGCACCCATCGCTCACCTCGGCTTTTACCAACACTTAGAGTCCGAAGCTGAACCACAGGTACGTATGTTACTTGTTAAGACAGCGACCAACTGAAACGTAGTTCACGAGCACACTGGTAATCATCATCAAAACTTTGTAATAACCATAGATCTCATCGCCAGCTCCTCAGGCGGTCAAGTCGCCGGTGCCCATCAGAGAGAAAACCCCCTCAACCTCATCAAAAATCGGGCGCATACTCAAAAGGAAGAAGACGGACGCGTCAAGTCCACCCCCATCGCCACCTTCTACAAGAAAACCGACGCAGGAAAAGTCATGGCTCAATTCATCTCTGGCCTCCAAGGCTACTATGTCATTTGATGTTGCTACCCTGGACCTTGACGAGACAAAGGCATCATCCAAGAAGCCCACGGACGACAACGAAGCCTACAACCAAAACCAAAAAAAAAGCGATGTAGGTCCAGAACACAAATCACATCGAGTACTATGATGTTCTGAATTTACACTGACACTAACTCGTTCCATTTATGTTGCTTTCGTTGGCCGGCTCTTTTTTGCAGGAGATTACTCAGTTGGAAAACATGGAGTTCTGGGCCGATTTCACAAAAGATGACCAGACTGGCAAGACCTCAATTCCTACATCATCAAGGGACGGAGGCGCTAAGAAACCGGATCCTACATGGGAGCAGTTCCAGAGAGATATGAAAGCAAAGAAAGAGAAGGTGCAGTTTTGAAAGCGAGCATTGCAAACCAGAGCAGTCGTGATGTCGATTGGTATCTTTGACGATCTAACATGCATGCGGTTGTGAGTAATTAGGAGCAGCTGCTGCACGAGGAGCAAGTTCGTAAAGAGCGTGAGGCACGAGAAGAAAATGAACGTCGAAGACAGGAGGAGCGTCAGCGCCAAGAAGCCGAGAAAGAGCGCAAGAGGTATGTTATGAGTGGAGTGAGAAGCCTGGCAGCACACTGGATACTGTAATCTGACCATTTGCTTGTTTCAATTGAATGCACGCCCCATCAGGGAAATTGCTAGGGAAGCGTTCTTGAGGGAGAAAAAGAAGCTGGAGGAGATCCAAGAGAAGCGGAAGGAGAATAGGGAGAGATTACGTGAACTTCGAGATAGCGCCCAACCGCTATGCGATCATTTCTTGGTCATGCACGACTTTGAGCAATCGTTGCACAAATGGTATCGTAAGGACATGCGAGCACACGAGGAAGATGTGCGCCAGAGGGGTACGGTCGCCAGGGACGCTCTCGCACAGTTCCGCATGCAGTCCTACCAAGAATCGTCTGCGCCTATGGTCGGTTCACCTGGAGCTGCATACGGGGCAAGACAGGCGCTGCCAATGTCATCGCCTCACCCATGGTCGCCATCGCCTTTGCAGCCCCCGCCCCCTGCGCACTCGCCTCCCTTCCAGGCACCACCGCCACCACCGCCGCCTCCACCGCCGCCATCGTACTCTCCGCCACCACCACCGCCCCCACCTCCACCGCCACCCGCTCCATCGCTCCCGACGAGCGGCACGCATGCCAATGGCAGCATGACCTACGGTGAGGATGACGATATGGTCATAGAGGATGATTAAATTTTTTTTTTTTTTTTTTTTTTTTATGGCCAACGCATCATAATAAACCTGTATCAAATGCCATATGAAGACATATTACAGGACTCTAACTGCAAATCGCATGTCCAGGCGCGATTTGCAGTGACGGGCAATAGGATACGCGTGTATCCTGTTTCGCACTTGTTTGGCGGGAAAAAGGGACCGAAATAAAAATGGATAGTCACTCCCACAAAAAAAGAAAAGCATCTGTCGCGACTTCGTGATCATCAATCGCCCCCTGTCTGCTTGAACAAAGTATTAAAGATAAGAACACCAAAAAAATAGCGGGACGGCCGGTTGTGCATTCATTCAGCATGGATGAGGATACCGCGTTGCAAGAACAGCAACAGCAGCAACAGGAGTTACATCGGCTACAACATCACATTCTCGAGGGCGTTGCAAAATCAATAGAAACTGAGGCCATAGAAACAACAGTAACCGCCGAAGCGACTTCAGAATCTTCGCAGGAGCAACCGGCACAAGATGCACAGAGAGAGAGCTCATCTTTGAAACGAGCCTTCGCTGATGGCGACGATTCGGCCTCGAGCGAATCATCCGCGCAGCCTTCTCAAGCGTCTACTCAACCCTCCAGTCAAACCCTGTCGAATCAGGATAATGCAGCTAGCTCTGAATCACCTTCTCTGTCAAGTAAAAGGCGAAGAATCTCGGTAATAAAGTCAGCCTGTCATCTGCTCGATAAGTCCTCGAAGGATATACGGTCGCATTAATCCTCATTGTTGGAGTGCACGTTTTTATTCTGCGTTATCAATCTAGATGCCCGGAAAGTCCATCCTCAAGCCAATCAGCCAGGACGATGATGGAGAGCATGCAGGAAATCAGGATACTGCATATGATGCGTCGCTTGCAGATGACAGTGGCCCAGCTTCTGATATCACGGAGACTCTTTCATCTACAATGTAAACAGGACTTTTTATAGTATTCTTCAATTTACCTCACTTTGGACTGTATCGGGTGCCATTCATTGACTACCGTCGTTGCATTTTAATAGCGAGTCTTTTAAGCGTAATAGTAAATCCATTTCAAGACGCGTCAGTTTTGCAGCGACCGCCAGGATAAGGTACAAGCCCATTACACTGGCGATGAAGGCAATCGACTTCAATGGGCTATCTATCTAATCTGAGCATGAATTATGTCCGATAGGATGTTTGAACGCGACGAGAAGGAAGACGAACTCCCGAAGACAATGAGTTACTTGGAAGGCCTCAGCCCAAACGTAATTCTGAATACCCCTTTCACCTTTAAGAGTGGCTCTAGGTAAGGATATTACGGCGCGAGACCCTTTTTCATATTTACGAACGAAGACGTTCCCGTCCACTAGTATGCTTACATTCGGTTTGATGTAACAGCGAAGACGATACCAACAAAGCCAGCAACTCTACGGACAGCGTCAATTCAGAACACAGCTCTCAACGTAACGAACACACAGGGACATCGAATGAAAGCAGTGATTCTGAGAAAGAGTATGTCCATATCACATTAAGTATGGGTGTGTTTTGAGTCTTGTGAAAATGATGAGAGCCAGCTGCTGACACGATGTGTATTTATTCTCTACTAGGCGGAGCTTTGAAGTCAGCGTCTATCCTGGCCATTCAGATAGCACAGGAAGTTCAGGAACAGGATCCGCTCTCTTCTTGGGTTCGTCGGATTTTAGTTACGAAAAGACACCCTTTGACGACGGGGATCCGGACACAGGAAGCAGCAGTGAGGAAGAAAACAGCCATTTTTTCCCCGACGCCAACCTTATGAAAAGATCTTCAGGAATTGGAATCTATGGACGAGGGAGGGACAGTATTCTGGGTCCACAGATCGATTTGGGTCTAATGGACGACAGTATTCGTGCTTCGCAGCGCCCAGATAACTTGGATGATGGGACACAGGACTACAGCATGACGCACAGTTTCCAAAACCACAGGTCCTCGATCCCAGAGAGGCTGCCTACACCACCGCGGCCGCATCTTCAACACGAAGACAGTCAGGACTTCACCAACGATTTCACCGACTCACAGCGGTACAACGCCAGTGATCCAATTGATGCTGGAGCCTCGTCAAGGTCACCGCCCAAATTGGCCACGGAAGGCGTTCTTACGGACGAGATGTTTAACGCCGGCCTTTCACCCGTCCTGCTTTCTCAGGGCGATGTCGCAAATGAGATCCTTAAACTTAGAAATGAGTTGGGTTTGGATATGACAGAGGAATTTGCGAAGGGCGACAGATCTGCAGTGGATGAGGATACTGATATGGATATCACAGCACCTATCGGTGGTATCCAGGAGCTGGCTCAGGAGCTTGCACAAGAGCTGCCGCCCACAACTTTTCTGCAAACGGACGACAGCACTGCTATGTTTTCGGAGCTTGGAACCCCAATGGATGTCACGCAGCCGATCGGTGCAGGGATTCTGGATGTCAGTGGCAGTGAGCCTGCAGAGACTGGAAATGACTTAGATCGATGCGAGTTCAATATCGCCAATATACCATCCACGCCCACTAGGTCAGGACGGATATCGTTAGTTCTGGCCAACAAGAGCGACGGCATTTTTGGGCAACTTGTTCAGGACGAAAGCCAGAGTCGTGACAAAGAAAGCTTCCATAGCGAGCCCGCCCAAAACGGCCAGCCTACAGCACCTTCCACGCCACCTCCACGGGCCCCTTCATTTCGTGTCGACAATCTCTCACCACAGTTGCTCCCCCGTCTGAGCCTGGGAACCCCTGGTCGTTTCACACCAAGCGTCAAGGCACGGCTCAACATTTTCCCTGAAGTACTTGAAAAGCAGCTTCAAACACTTGAGTCCTCAACCCCAACAGAGCCAGGTAACCACAGCAGCTGCATAGCAGCAAATCGACCACTCTACAATCGTTTGTGCCTTGGGCTGACAGTTATGATCCCTGTGTTTATTAGTGTTCCGTGCCTCACACGTAAGTCCGGAAACCAGCAGCTTGGCCAAGCGGATATATCGCTATTCCATTGGTGCATACTCTCGAACTAGCGGCGATTTTCAGAGTCGACTCTCCGGAGCGAGTAATGATTCTCATCATACATCGACCGAAGTTCAAGATGAGGTCATGGATATGACTATCGAGCAGCCAACTGCTTCCGTCCAAAGCACCAATTATGGTATGGGAATGGCAGTATCGTATATTGCTATCATCTGGATGGCCTGCAAAGACACCCAGCTAATGGTATTAATGCTGACAATCACGGCCATAGATATTTTTAATGAGACACCCGCAGCACTCGATAAAGACACGGGCAGTGCCGATAGTAATGACAACGAGGAGGTAGACTTGACAGACAAGGGTAGAAACCAAGCTAGTACAGCTCCCGATGGCGGTCTTGATGAGGACTCATTTTCAGAGGTATTTTATTTACAACTATATCCAAACATTTTTTTATTTAGTGTGCACTGAGATTTACTTTGCCTTTGCTTGGTATTTGTATCGATGTTCGTAGCTTCCACCGATCAGTCTGAGCAAGTTTTTGAGTCTTGTCGGGATCTCATTCTTGGACCACCTTAACGCCAGTACTCGTCGTCGAACCATACCCCATCGGGGCGACGACGCCGACTCTTCCACAACGTACCGCAGTGCCGATTTGGTGAAGGCCATGGCACTATCGGTGCAGGAGCTGCACTCATACCGCGAAGCCTGTCGGCTCTTGAAGCAGTCCATTGATACTAGTCGCGCATTCGCGGACGACCAGGAGAAGAAAGTCAGCAAGAAGAACCCAGATTATTTTCGAGAGTTCCGGGAAAGCAATTCGGACACAAAGGAATTCATAAAGGATCGGTTCAAGATGATCAAGGTTCATTCCAAGCTAGAGACCAATGCAGCGTTCAGTATCTGGAAAACTGACGTCTTGAGGGTGCAGCAAGAAACCCTGGAGCAGCATCTCGTTGAACTGAAAAAGGTAAAACACCATTCTGTACGATATGTTTGGGATATCGTTAACAAACATTTCGTATGGCGATGTCTTGTTTATTAATTATCAGCTATCTACTGTAGGATATAACGAATCTTGGGACCATAAGATCCGCTCTGTTGAACGAGAAGGAAAAGGTTTTGCCAAGGCGCGATGAACTTCGGCGACAGTTAGAGGAAGCAACAGAACGCCAGCGTAGCTATGAGCTTTGCGATAAAGAGCAGCTTGCCAGTCTTGCTGAGGCGGCCGAGGAACAAGGGTAATAGATTGCTTCAATAGTACGTGGAGAGACAACGCAAGACTCGTACATAATTTAATGCCCCAATATCTAATTTCTATTACTTTCTTCATCTTGACGCAGATCACAGATCGAGCATTACGAATCTATAAAGGCCAAGAAAGCGAAGGAGTTGACTGACATCAAGGCTAGGGTGGAGAAACTGCAGTTGGCGGAGCAGGGAGTCAAAACTCGGACCGTTGCTGCAGAAAAAACGATTCAGGATAATCAGTATGTGCGAATTGAGGATCTTAATCGGGCCAAGGATGTTTTGAGCATCATCCAGGCAACTCACCATTGGGAGCCCCTTCGGCCGATTGTATCTGGCGAAGCACTCCGGCCTGGCAAGGCACTAGAATTCGTATATGACAAGACTTTGAAGATATCGATCGATATTGCCAAGGTCGGCCAAGACCCACGGGCTGTCCTGGTAGCAGAGTATAAGGAAGGAGACACGATGGATTTTGACTTGTCCCTGATGGACCGTCAACGACTCTCTATATCTGCACTCTCGCCAAAGAAACACGGAAATTTCCAAGAAGTGAGTATCTGATGCTCATCATTGCTGTCGGTATTCATTGCTTACGGAAGCTAATTAACTTAGCGAACTACGGTCTATGATTTCTTTGCATATCCACAGTACGTCGGTCTATTGCGGGATTACACAGACATGATCGCCTCCAAGTACAAGGCTGGAACGGCGATCAGCAAGGTCCTCAGCGACATTAGCCAGCTTTGGTCTAAGATCTGCCTGGTTCGTCGGGATGTCGAGCTGGTTAGGGCTCACCATGTGGTTGATCTGGTGGCTGGATCCGCAGAGAACATCAAGGAGCTTGAGAATAACAGTACTCCACGGCAAGTCGCCGGATCGACGCCGATCGTAGTGCTGGATATCCGAGTACGATTCACAGGGCCAATCGGAAGTGTACGGAGGAGCAGGGGACACAAAGAGAACGGCGAGCAGGAGATAGACGAAACGGGGGGCAATAGGGGCAGTAACGGCACTGAGCCTTCTGTTACGGAGCCGGTCAAGTTCTACCTATGGTTCACGTTCACACTGAATGATCTACTGAGTTTCCCGGGGCCCAATTCTTTTACGTGGCGACTGGAAGTTGTGTATGGAAGCATAAGGTAACGTTGGCTAAGTGGACATGTATGGGTTAGTTGAAAAATCTGATTCTCGTATTTTAGTCTCGATCCTGATGTGTCAGTTATCTTTATGTCTAACGCCGATAGCCTAGAGCACATTGCACAAACAATCGGGCCTATCGTTAAGAAAGGCGGGTACGACATCTTGCGCGAAGTCTGTATCAAGGTCAACCAACTCTTGAGGATTTGAAGAGAATCTCAGGACAAGGCACTCCTCGTATTGTTCTCGAAATAAAATCCTGTAGCGCCCCATCATCCATATTATGCATGAAAATAATGAGGATAGATTTTTATTTTGCAAGAGCTGATTTTGGGGTAAGGGAGAATTTGGATATGTACAGAGACAGTCCTGTCGCGCGGTCCTTGAATATGTCCATCGTCGCCGTCTCTACTTGTTGCCTTGACCGGACTCTTGGTACTTTTGGCCTTGCTTCGCGCTCTGAGAGTCCTGTGAGCCCTCAGAGGGGCCCGAGGCGCGCGAACCTTCACGGTCCTGGGAGACTGGATTCTCGATGATATTCTGGGCCTGCTTGGGGCTCTTTTGGGTCTTTTCGGAGGAGTCCTGTTCGAGACGGTTAGCAGAATTGGCGTTCATGGTGATGTGTTTTGTGGTGTGGTTTGATGGTGAGAATGGATATCAGCGAGGAGATTTATGGTCTTTATACGTTTTTTGTGGCATTTTATGTAACAATGACGAGGGCTGTGGATCTTTATCACGTCTTACAAGGTCGCTGATGCGGCAATGATGACTATAGAAAATGTATGAAAAGATAATTTATCAGATTTCAGTGCATGAATATTAACTAATATTATGTAACTTGATATGGCAAAGAGCAACACTGCCAATCGACGACACACATGAGCTCTTGACTGTAGTTACCCATTCTCACCTCAAGTAATAGTCGCGTCGCGCCTCAGTATGTTGTCAGGTTAAATAACCCTAAAAATATATGGTGGTACGACTTTACTGAGGAGGATTCTAGCCCTCAAATGATCTACAGCTTCCGTATCGACCCAATCCATGCCCATGCCCATGCCCATCCCCCGTATCTGATCCATATGTGGCTGTGTATTTCAGCCATGAAAGCCATGTTGCCCGTCATCAAAGAAAGTACAGCCACCAAGAATATTAATTGGTATATGGTTGATCCTTGAGCTGCACACAATTAACTTTATTTTAGTTTTTATGGACCATTGCAATGGTTTGTTGATCCGATGAACCTTCCATCTCTGAGGACGCTCTTTAAGTCAAGACTGGTTTTGAAATGCATTGCGGTAATCTCCAGAAAGCAGTTCCTTATGAATTTCCACTCATGAGCAAGCTTCCTCGTTAGGAGCCTTCTAACAATATTCACACGATAGACGGCAGCAGAGAGATGACAAATTGTCATGTACATATAAGCGCAATAAGGTTCGCCCTTGTGATTTTCGCCATCTTTAGTCCTGCTCGCGCCAACCCAGGGCGGCCCCAATTATCCTTGCACGCACATGTCGATGCTTGTCGTTTTTTATTTGCTTCTCCATATTAAGCATTGCGATTATAATTTTTTAAAGGCCATTTAGACAACACGGCTGAACACCTCCTCAAAAGTCGCCGGCTCCTGCGCGCCTGAAAGCACATACTTATTCGCGATCGTAATGTTTGGCACCCCTTGGACGCCTTGCAACTTTGCCTTCTCAATCTTCGCCTGGGTCTCCTTCACACCCTGGTTCGACTTCAAGAAGTCCTCGACCTCCTTGCGATCCAAACCAACCTTGACGGCCGAATCGATCAACGTCGGGATCTCGCCACACTTGTCCTCCTCAAAATAGTTCCTGAACAACTCCGTCACCATCTCGTCCTGCTTGCCGTGGCTGGTCGCAAATTCGATCAGGCGGTGGGAATCGAGCGTGTTAACGATGTTGCCGTTGTATGAGAAGTTGATACCTTCTTCCTGTCCGACTTTGATCATCCGGTCCCGGATCAAGGGTGCACGAGCCGGACCGAACTTGTTGGCGTACATCGTCATCTTTGGGATTGGAGTCTTGGAGGCTGAGGGATCCAGTTGGTATGGGTACCAGTTCACATCGAACCGAACATCCTTGTTCTCGGGCTTGGACTTGAACGCACTGATCGCTTTCTTGTTGCAGAGAATAGATACCCATTGTCAGCAGAGAACAGAAATACAGCAGAAAAAAACAAAAAACGAAAAACGAAAAACGGACTCGCCGGTCGACAGGGTTCAAATTACTCCTTACCTCCAGACGGTTCTTGCCAATATAACACCATGGGCACACTGTGTCGCTGACAATGTCGATCTTGATAGTCTTTGTGCTGCTGTTGGTTGCCATTTTGCGAAGTAGTGGGAAGGTGCGTTGTATAAAGCAGTTGGAAAAAAGTGAATAGGTTCTGATGAAAAAAGGTGAATATAAATATAAAATGTATTATTAATTTCGCTGTGATGACGAGTCACGTACGCAAATGGTTGTTCAAACCAGATTAGCGTACGCGGACAAGGCCAAGTTTGCTGTCAGATTATATTCTTCTAACTGGTTTTATCCCTTTGTCTGCAGGGCATTTTTGGAGACAATTTCATTTATGAAGGTTGATCTTTAACCTCTCTTATTCACGATATTTGCCCTCTGTTATCACTTGAGTGCAAAAGAGAGGGATCAGAATGAGGAATTTGCCCATCTTTGTTTTTTGTGGGTTCCGACAACATTGTCACTAATCCCATGCTTGAATGAGTCGGAGGCGTCTGAATTGATGAGGCATTTTTCATTGTTGCATCCACTTAATGCGAATGATGAAGGGATGGGGAAAAAAGTAGATGTCGATAACGATCTCCGTCTTTTTCATGTTAACAGGAGGGGGGGGTGGGGTCAACATCAATGGTTTTTTTTGTAAATAAGGAGAGAAAGGTGTTTTCGTACTATTCACGTATAAATTTAGGCCCGGTTTACAGTCGAATCTGGTTTTTATCATCATTCTGATAGTGAAATCGATGATAAAAGTTAATTCGAACATTTGAATTGACCCCCACAAAAAGAATACTGTAAAACGCAAAAGTATATAGTGTCCGTGACATTGACGCCAGTCACGCCTTCTCCACAAAGGACTAGGGTCTTTTATTGAGGATGTTTGTTGACATGAAGAGGCGTGTGGGTGAATGAAAGTATTTTTTTTGACTAGCATGATGAGGCGTGGCTGGCGTCAATGTCACGGACACTATATACTTTTGCGTTTTACAGTATTCTTTTTGTGGGGGTCAATTCAAATGTTCGAATTAACTTTTATCATCGATTTCACTATCAAAATGATGACAAAAACCAGATTCGACTGTACAGAGTAAGGGATAATCCCAGCTTGTTGCAGGATTGAGCTGGAGATCATGGCCCATATCGCAGACGGGCAAGGAAGGAGGGCACACATGCGAGACGCCTAGCATATCGGAATTGGAAGCCGCTACCGTCGTCGTCGTTCGTAAGCATGGAAGAACACCGGCACGGTCTCCGATAGTTCAGCTATGACCTACAACCACTTCGCGATTTTTACGAAGCCTGCTCGATGAAAAAAAAAGCTGTGGGAGCTCAAAAAAGCGAACCGGGCTGAGAAGGACCATGCCGCGCATGGGGCATTGCGAACTGTGGGCCCACAAGGCGGGATGCATACTGGGCCAACGAGACCGGCGATGTTTGTATACGGGTCAGGAAAGTTCAACACCCATACCAGGCTGGCATCGCTACACGAGAGCTTCAAGGGGCATTTTTTCCACAAGGTATGTTGTTTTAAACATATTCATTGCGATTTGCTTGTTTTCAGTCCAGTATCGATACTGATGCCATGTTTCCGCATGCCATTGCACTACATAGGCAAACAGCCTCGGATACACCGTCGTTTGTTCGGATGAGTATCTCACGTCATTGAAATGCCCGAGCTGTGTACGACAAAACAAGGACCGAAGAATGGCAAAGCCAGCAAATCGGGCGTTCGTCTGTCTCGAGCATGGGTGCCAGAGATGGCTAGACAGGGACTGAGTGGGCGCCCAGAATTTGGCTAATATTGGTCTCGAATGGATCAGTGGCCTGTCTCGTCCAGAGCTCCTCCCTCTGCCGGCCCCAGCAAGAATAAACTTTATCCTCTCTCTATGGACTTTCAAAAACCAACATTCCCGTATCCCGTCGACCAGTTTTTTAAAGACATTATATTTTACATGGCTAATGGCTATCGCTGGTAATGCTACTGGCGCTGTTGTTGCTGTTGTTGCTGTTGCTGTTGCTGTTGCTGTTGCTGTTGCTGTTGCTGTTGCAAAAACTGCTGGCGCTCTGCATTGAACAAAGACGAGTCATCACCAGTTGTCAACCCCTGCTGTGCCTGAAATTTAAAAATCCTGTCTGCATCCCCTAAAAACTGATGAACCCCCATGGGCAAAGTGCTGTCGGGACAGAGATAACTTGGGAACGATCCAGCCAGATCCAGTGTTTGGAAAGTCTCAGGCGAAGGGGTATCTTGGCTTATAATCGCAGTATCGTTCGAAAGAGTGCTCTGATGATTCTCTGGCATTCTCAAAGCTGGAGACTCCGAAGGTTGATTTGGAAACGCATCCCGACTAATTTCTGGGGAACTGATGCTGGAAGGTGACAAGGATGATTGTTGCTGATGTGGCAGTTGAGGTTGCTGCTGCTGCTGCTGCTGCTGCATGTATGACGAGGCAAAATTCAGTGCATTTTCCTGGCTGAATCCATCCTGATAACTGAACACGGATGAATTGAGTATCGACATCAATTCATTCTGCGCCTGATCAGAGTTCAGTTGCTGATAGTTATTTAGGCTTGAGAAGTTGCTCAAGAATGAGTTGGCAATCCCCGAGTCTTGCTGCTGCTGTCGAGTTTGCTGTTGGAATTGTTGTTGCTGTTGTTGTTGTTGTTGTTGTTGTTGTTGTTGTTGTTGTTGTTGTTGTTGTTGTTGTTGTTGTTGTTGCTGCTGCTGCTGTTGCTGCTGCTGTATAAACTGTCTCTGTTGAGTCAGTCGATGTTGCTCTTGAATTTGAGCTACGGTTAACTGATTCAAAGATGAAGCTGGTGGCTGTTGGCCGGTGAACTGCTGCTGATGAAGACGTTGACGTTCTTCCTGAATCGCTAAGAGTTGAGCTAGCGATACGAGTGAAACAGGGTCCTGAGTATTGCTAGAGGGCGTGAGTTGCCGTTCGGGTAGGGCGAAAGCATTCAAGTCAGGCGGAAACGCAGTCGTGCCCGCGAATGACGGCGCAGGACGAGAATAGACGTCCGAGCTGGAAGGTATGGATGCCACTAGTTCAGTCATACCCTGTGCCGATCCAGATAAGGGTGAATAAGGTAGACTTGACATGTTGGGCGAAGGAGACGACTTGAATTTGATCCTCATGTCATCCGACTGCTGATCCTCCTCTATCTTCAGAGTCTGGTGCTGGTCCTGATGCATTTGCGTTGATTGAATTCTATCATTTTGCTGCCCGAATGTCCAGGTGTTGCGTCCTGCGGCGTTTGGCTGCCCTTGCGACTGCTGACCTTGTCCACCTTGATCTGCATCTCCTGCTGATTGATGTATGAGGCCTGCACTTTGCTCATTGCGGTTCAATTCACCTCCATTTGCTTGGACATGCGAAGAGGATCCTGTCGACGAGGCCGATGCCATAAATTGCGCTCCTATTGAGCTGGATGAGGCCCCTGAATTTTGATTCGAGTGATTATTGCTCTGGTTCCCTCCATAACTCGTGCCTTTGGGCTGTCCGTTGCCTCGATTCGTGCCAGGATTTTGAGGAGTGATTCCTGTGGAAGAAGAGGTCGCGTTGCTGGCCGAAGATGACCCCGCGACTTTTGGAGAAATCTTCCTCATCTTGATTGATGCCATTCCTGAGGCAACATAGTTCATCCTGGAGCCGTATTTTTGAGACATGGGGAGAATTGGCTTGAGTGGCGGACGGCTGTCGTAATTCTGTGGGGGTGCAGAGCGCTCCCAGCGCAAATCGTCCATGGGAATATCGACAGAGTTCTTCAGAAGCGCGACCTCCTTCTCAATGTCCACAGCCGTTGACTCGCGAAGGATGACATTCAGCAGAGCGAGCGAACGCTTGAACATAATGGGCCCATTTACGCCTCGTCGGATGTCGTTCGCCTGGATTGTCGCCGCTGTGATTAAGCAGTAAACAGCAAAATAGCATCCGCGGATCGGATATGTCAAAGGGACTATGCCGTGGTTGGTGAAGAGGTCGTCCGTAATAACTGTGATGTTGGTCGCAGAGACTGAGCACGATTCCCTTGCTGCAACAGCTATTTCGTGATGTGCTATAGTTGGGTCCTCGCCATAACACCGTTGAATCATGATTGAGCAAGTGTGGTGGATCATGTGGAGCATTGCGACGAATGGCGTGTGTGCCGACATGTTGGAGGCCAGCTGAAGGCGAGGAGGAAGGTTCTGTCGCCACGAAGTCATCATGCCGTGGATTTGTTGGGCCTGCGCGACCGATTCCTCCGGTTTCGCAACCTTGGTCATAAATTTGCGAGTCAATATCAATGCCTGGTGATTGATCTTGGCCAACTTGATGTATTCAACAACGTTCATGATGTTCTCGATCTCCTGCGAGTCGTTGGGGTCCTCAGTGTCGATACAAGGGAAGTCGGCCTCCGGTTCGACCTCTCTGAAGCTCATGGATCGTCCTTGGGATATCGAAATGAACTGATCGAGCACAAAGATGGACCAGAAGAGCCTTCGTCGCACTTCATGGCTCTCGGAATCCAGCTTGACATTGACCGGCGTAGTCTTGTGGAGTTGCAGTTCCTAGTACGGGTGGTTATCATGGCATGTTCAAGGTTAGTCATTAGGAAGCCTCTTCAACAAAGTTCGGTGCCTGACTAACAAATCATATAGCCGTCCTTACCCTGGCCAGGACAATCACCATCTGCGCGTACATGTAAGTACGGAAGTAAAATCCTGTGTGCTTGACGCCCTCCTGGTACTTGATGATAAGCAAGAGTGCCTGGATTGTTGATAGTCTTGGCTTATCCAGCGTGTCATCCAGCCGGCTCAACCAGAGTTGAAAGTATCGACGACCCTCCTCCTCTCGGCCAGGTGCGTAATGCGATGCAACAGCATACATTGCGGCCAGCAGAAAGTCTGGCACTGGATCCTTAGGGTCATGCAGGCGGCGGAAAAAGCTGGGCTTGTGAAGGATCAGGACATAAGGGTGGACATGCTGAAAGTACAAATCAATCAAGTCGGACTGGATATCGACCAAGGGGACAGAGCGACTCCTAGATGACCGATGGCGAGGACTGTTGCCACAGCTGTTTCGCTTGGTTTGGGTTGCTTGCCTGCCCTCTGATGATTCATCCGGAACCGATCCAGGAACGGTCGTCACATGGGATTCCGTGGCGGAGGACTCCCCAGAGGACGGCTCCGCAGAGTCATTGTCTCCAGCGACTTGACTGAAACTGCGAAGTGTATGTGGAGCAATTCCAAACGCATCGATCTGCAGGCGATCCATAACCTGAGAGAGGTCTTCGGTGGAAGATGATCGTACACCAGTGGACGGGAAGAGGCTGGATGCGCTGTTCCTCCTGCTTGTCTTGTTGGGGTATCCGGCGAGGAAGGAGGACGAGGGTGTGGAGCTGGAGTAGAGCGACATATCAATGGGGTGCTGACCGGCGCTTTGGGCGAAGCTGAAAGAAGACGAAGAGGAGGAGGAGCAGCCTGCCATCAAGCTGAGTCGCTCTCGTTCCCGTTCTCTAGCACGCTGCTCCTTCTCCCGCTGATGGACTAGGTGGGGGTTGTTCTCCTCCATGACCTTGTCGATATCGAGCACGACGCCATTCTTTTGCGCAAAAATACAGGACGTTCCAATCCTGGCGCAGGTGGAGCACTTGTCACCCTGCCCGTCAAAGTTGCATCGAGTCTTCCTGCGGCGACATTCCTGGCATGAGATGCGTGCGATGAGTCTGGGTTTGATCTTTGTCATCTCCGTGCGCAGGCTCGGGATGCAAAAAGGGATGGGTCGATGGAATTGGCCTCAGAGCTGAGAATAAGGGCGCCGAGACACAGGCTCAAGAGACAGGGAGGAATGCTTTGTGGGGAGTGCAGTGGGAGGTATGAAGTGTGAAGCGTGAAGTGTGGGCTGGACTGGCCGTTGTGGAGAAAGAAGGGGGTGGAGGGGATATTCAGTATAAGATAGTGTTTGGAGAGAGGAAAAAGGATAAGGAAAGGGGGAAGTCTGAGGAACGCACAGGAGAGGAAAGGAAGGGAAAAAAAAAAGAAAAAAGAAAAAAGAGCGCTCCTGCACGGTGCAGGCGATATGCGGGGAAGGGGTGGGTACGGTATACGGCGCAGAAGGATAACAAGAAGAGCAAGAAGCGAAGGAGTGAAAACAAAGCAGATGGAGAAAGAAGGAAAGAAGTGTGGACCCGCCCCATGTGCGTCCAATCATTTTGGATTCGAGCCATTCATCTCGAAAACCTTGTCTCCATGCCTTGTTCTTTGTTTGGGTATATTCAATTGCCTGGGCTGCTGGGTGCACGCACCCTGGGAAGCAATTGTCCACATACGCCTCGCAGACTATCCAGCCTGGCAAGGAGCCCATCCTGGAGGCCCTTAATAGCTATCCATCCCAATATCCAGTCGTATGGACATCCCTTCCTGGACTTGTGGGTCATCCATCCACATGAATATAGATGGTAGTCATGGTGCTATATGATAATCAGGCCATAAAGCGTCTTTCGTATTTCAACGTTTCTCTGCATAGAACATCAAACATGTGTGTTTGTGTGAATGCGTGTGTGTGTGTATCCCTTCAGTCCTCTGTGGTGATCGATAGCAATAATGCGATCTTCATCTCCTCCATGCGCGTTTTGGACAATACGCGCATCCTCCTGTAAATCCTTTGTTTGCCCACATGTTTTAGCCCAAGTTTAAATAAGATACCTTGGGGGACTCAAATACGCGTACATACCGCCTGCCTTCTGACTTGGTGCCTAAGCAGGTTCTGATTCAGGTCTGGGGCCTGCGTTCGCTCGATTACCCTTAAGAAGACAGAAAAGGGAAGTTGAGAGTATGGGGATCGCTCGTATGGAGACGCGTACTCTTCAATACCTTTCTTATCACGCGTTATGCGCCACCCAATCTTGGATATACTATCCACGGTCTACTGCACAGAGCAGGCAAGGCAGCGTCAACAAGCTCATCTTGCGTAATTTTTGAACCTGCACTGAAGTTGACTGGTATGTTTCTGTGTTCGCGTTCACAATGACGGACACTGAATGGGTGGTATTGGCTTTGTTTGAAAAAGAAAAAGAGAGTTCTCAAGCGCGTCTCTATGGCATATAGTCGTAGGAATTAAAAAACGAGACATGCTCTGGAAAAAATTTGTTGTTCATACCCGGCAAGGCGCCTTGGATGCTGTCACATAGCTGTCGCCGGGGCCCCTTCAGTCGTGTCTGTTGCAGATCCGGTACCCGTAGCTCCATGGGGGAATCCTTTTAACAAGCCTTTGCCAGCTACCTTTATCTTTTCTCTTCTCTTGACCAGACCTTACCAACACCTTACACTTGTCCTTGTTTTCTTCTCCACCCCGTTACACCCTACTGCTGACTTTCATTACACATTCCTATCCTCCTTCCCAGTTACTACCATCCACCATGGGTACCACTCATCGTTCCATTGCCCACAGGATGATGACCTCTCTCCAGATGCTCTTCATGCTTACGCTACCCTTACTTGCTCTGGCACAGCAGCAAGGCCCTAACGGTACAAGTGGCGTGCTTTTTTTTTTTTTTTTTTTTTTTTTGGTCCGCAAGATATGCTGTTGAACTCTTATTGACCCGATACGCGCTCTTGATGGCCGTGGATCCGATGCATTAGGCAGCGGCGGTCAGTCGATCGAGCTGACTTGGGAGCGTATTGTCGCTGGATTCGTCATGATTCTAGTTGGTATCATCTTGACATTCCGCGGTTACCGCCACTACCACTTCACTATGTTCCTCGCTGGATTCATTACCGGAGGTAAGTCTTCAGCTCAGATACTGGCTACTGCTGCTCTCTTTTGTTTTTGTTTTCTGTGCACTGTATACTTACAGCTAATACCATTCATTGAATGGTTAAACGAACACAACTCCTCCGAAAGCCGCGATTGTGTACTCGATCTTCACGAACGTCGAACCTGACAGCGGCTGGAACCACCAACAGATCATCTACGTCTTTGGCTGCATCGGCGGCGGTATCGTCCTCGGTACGATTTGCTGGCTCTTCCGCCGCTTCCTCGTCTGGATCCTCAGCGGTCTGGCTGGTCTCATCATTGCCCTTTACGTCCTTGCCTGGAGGAGCGAAGGTCTGATCCGCAGCAAAGGAGGCCGCATCGGACTTCTGGTTGGAGCGCCCGCCCTCGGTATACTTATCGGCCTCTTCATCGGCCGCCGAGTCGTCATCCTGGCCTCTGCAATTATCGGTGCCTACATCACCGTCATCGGTATCGATCTCTTTGCCCGCACAGGATTCGCGGAATCGATCAAGCGCTTCTTTACCACGAACCCCAAGGTCGATTACAGTCTTACCACGAACATCTACATCATGCTCGGTGTTGTCGGCGGCTTGATTATCCTCGGTCTCTTGTTCCAGACATTGTCATGGAAGCATCGCCAACGTGCTCTTATGGCCCAGGGCCGATCTGTGCATAATTTCAATGATGACTGGACCCTGTTTGGCCACAAAGACCACGCCGTCCGTCCTGATCCGACCTATCCAGATGGCAACTACGCCAACAACTATAACACTGGCACGGGTTATGGCAACACCTCGAACGCGAGGGGCGTCGACGACCACACCGCCTACAATGAGAAGAGCACCTGGAACCCGTTCAAGAAGAACAAGAAGGGCGATGCCACCCCCGCCACCCCCGCCACCCCCGCCACCACCACCACCGCGGCTCCAAATGACTTTCACGACAATCGAGTCAGCTACAGCAGCAACGCTGCCTTGACCCAGAATCACTGAAAAAACCTCTGTACAGCCTGATGTCGACCATCTGGGACGATGCAATCGACGCATGTATATGTATAACTATTCTCTTCCTCAGTACTGTCTTTTCTACATCTCTTTTCAGTCATACATAATGTCTCTTGTAATCCCCATGTGCTTAATCCGCATTAAAGCGCTTACGCTGCTACAAAAGCCAGGACCTTGATGTCAATTGCTTGTTATTGTTTAAGAAAATTTATGTACAGACTAACACAAGGGACGTTAGCAAACAACGCGTCGCGGGTGCAGGTGGGGAATATGGAGGGAATAATGAGTGCAGGTGCATGGGAAGGGGTAACCGATGGTGTGGATAAAATAACTATTCGAAGGATAATATGTTTGTGTGGCGAAAGTGTGGAGAGCAGGATAGAAATTGCTGATCTAACATAACAGTGGCGGGTGGTAGGCTCTCATGGTGAATGAAACGAATACAAAAAAAAAAAAAGCTACCGTCCATATTCATCATCATACAAGGGCATTAAAAACGGAATAGCAAACAAAAAAAAAGAGATAAAAAAATGAGTGCCCGGTACTTGGCTTGAATGACGTTGGACCTATATCTCCTTCGTCCTCGTACTGAGTATGAGAGTGCACTCAGTACGAAGCATACTCCAAAATCGGGGCGCCTGGTTCAGAGATCTCCGGGATGGTGCACTTCAGGTCAAAGGCCTTGGAGAGCACAATCTTGAAGATTTTCTGGACATTGATCGAATGCGAGGTCGAGCAAAAAATCAGTGGGGCCTTCATTGCTCGAGCAAATTTCCGTGCCTGTTTACGATGCCCATGAAAAGAAGAGTCGGGGAACAGCCAGGTTAGCAAAAGAACTGTATCATGAGCAATAGAATCTTGAATTTGGTCACACAACAACAAGAGATACACATCGAAACAAAAAAAAAAAAAGAAACTTGCCTGCTTGGTGACTTCCTCCTGCTCCTCCTTTGAAAACGTTGAAAAGTAGTCGTACTTTGTACCGACAAGGAACGGGATCGCGGTCTAACCATGAGATCACAGACATAAAGAGGTGACAAGGTATGGTCCTTGCGGTTAGAATTGACAGCACTGTCGAGTACGCGCCCCGCTTGATGACAAAAAAACAAATGGATAGGAGAGCGAGAGTATAAAACGTGGCAGGTCACTGTACCTTGTTGAATCCCCGTGCCTGTCGATACCACTCCTTGATACTGTTTAGCGTGGATTTTCGCGAGAGGTCGAACATGAACAGGATTGCGACTGCGTCATTGCAAACCAGGGGCAGCATGTTGACGAACTCGCGTTGTCCTAACATCATCCACATGCCCAGCTTTATGGTTAGAGTTTTTCTTTGTTACAGTAGGACAATAGACCAAAAAGGTCAGATCCAGCTTGTTCAAAGAAAGAAAAAGGTCGAGATCGCGGAAAGTCGCGTAAGACAAGGGTGACCTTTACTACTCAAGGCATATCAACAACCTGGCAGCGGGAAAAACTACAGTGAGAAACCCACCCTCCTTATCACTGCCTGCAACAGAGCAGGGCTATACTAAACGCATTCCCACCCGATTCAACATCCCTGCCTCCTTGAGCGCCCTCACCGGCACATATTTTTCTATTTCCCAAACCCCTTAGTCTTGGGTAATGTCTAGGCATGCACATGATACTGGCAAATTGAGCTTGGGTAGAGCAATTGACCACCCCGTTCTTTAACGCTGAAAAGATGGGTGCGGTTCAAAATCCATGATCCAGAGGCATCCCTGTACTGTGTCGTGTCGCCGTTATTTCGAATCAACAACGCTCATCATGTCGTCGTTTTATAAGCTCTGGTCGTGTTTGGCTGCTTTATGTAATCTATTTCGGGTAGGCTGCTGTGGGAAGTGCAGGTACATATTGTCGTGTGTGTTTGTGGATCGAGGTGCATGTTTGTGTATGTGTATCTGTTGAATGTTCTGTCCCTGAAACTCTCTTAACCTTTTGTGTCTCTCCCTCCTTTGTTCAGAGGTCCCGTCACCGTATTCTTTCTTTCCAGCACTCCACTATATACACACGAGGCGCGTTCAGCGGAGATAGCGTGTATTTATGGTTGTGATTGTGATTGTGATTGTGTGGATTCGTTTCTTTTGTCATTGAGAAAGGGTTCGAGTGCTTTGTAAAGTAGCTTTTTTAGGGAGTGGACTTACTACAACGCGTCGAAACGCGTTGTGCGGAGAAACAAACAAATATGCAGGCATGCAAAGCGCATGCGCATACGCACACCCGCACACAGAAACATATGCTGCTGTTCGTTCATGTCTTTTATGGTGTTCTTTCTTACCTCCGAGATCCCATATACTGAAAGTGATTTCCGTGTTTCGAATTGAGATTGTCTTCTCCATAAAGTTGACTCCTGCAGGGTCGATGTACAAGAGTACAAAGAAAGCGAAAAAGAAAAAGAGTCATTAGCCGAGAAATCCATCGAGGTCGTTTCGAGATACACGAAAAGTAGTATATATTTTTTTTTCTCGTAAGAATAGCTGTAAAACTCAACGCGGAACTCCAAAAAAATAATCGAGGGGATGGTTTAGGTGGTTTCTGTAAGGGGAGAGGCATTGAATACCAAAAAAAAAAGCCATATCATATCTTAAAGCGGGGGTGAGCTGGGACTGAGGAGAAGGCTTACCAAGCGTCTGAACATAGTCCTCGTCAAACGATCCCTCAACATACTTGACCATCAAACTGGTCTTTCCTATTTGTGAGTCGCCAACCATGCCGACCTTGATCACCACGCTATTGTGCGAAGAGCCGCTATTGAGAGATTTCCATGCCAAAAAGGAAAGCTGTCAGCATTCTTCTTTTAGTAGAAAGCGAGGGAACCAAAATACGTCAAGAGAACAAGACGAAAGAAAAAAAACAGAGCTGGGAATAAAGGCTATTCGCAGTGAGTTGCTCTCTTTGTTTGTTGCACCACACCTGTTTGGCGGTGGCCGCTGTTGTAGCTCTCTCTTTTTTGATACAGTACTCCATGTCGGTCGCTAGATCGATCGACAAAAATTCTTTACCTGCTCTTCTTGGCAGACTCGGCGGTGGCAGCCATTTTGTATGTCAGTTGTAAGGTCTTCGAGTGTTATTGTTATTGATAAGATGTAGCAGATGTAGGGTCGCTGAGAATCTAGAAGGCACTTTGCAGTTTTAGGGGATTAACAAGGGTTCAGAACCGCGAGGGATGGTATGAGCAGCAGCTGAAGCGAGAGGATGAAAGAAACTGAATGAAGAGGAGAAAGTACGAAAGAGAGAGAGAGAATGTGTGGAAGTGTGCAGAAGTATGTGCATACAAGTGGTAGTGTATCTGTGGAACACAAGAAAGGGATCTGCCAATTTCTCAATTCTCCGGAGCGAGAGGTCGAAGTTGAGATCCAAGGATGGAATAGCAATTGTTGTAAAAGGAAGAAGCAAGCGGATGAAAATGCAGTGGAAGTGTCAAGAAAAAAGAATGAGGAAGGAAGAAAGGAAAGAAAGAAGAAGGAAGAAAGGAAAGAAAGAAGCGAGTGACGAGTATGATGGGATAGGATTACAAAAAAAAAAAAAAGTTGTAGCAAATAGGGGGTGGAAGGGGCATGGCTGGCTGGATGGGATGGATGGACCTTCGTACCACGACAACAACAACAACAACAAACAACTGAACATGCCTCGCCTCACTCTCACCCCGCCCACACCCTCACTTTTCGCTGCTAGTCTATCCCATGCAAATACCACGGAGTATATTTTCGTATTCATAACTATCCATGGATGTACATACAATAGGCGAACTATCACGGGTGCTTCAAGCCCCCGCCTCTCCCGCATTGGTGGTAGTAAGAAGTATCGACATCAGGTACTCGACATCATCGGGAACAAGCATAAGAACTGCATCCTGCGCTCATACATCTTTACACCTAGCGTCCTTCAGAAACACAGAAACAAAACTAACCAAGACGCACAGCAGGACAGTCTATATTCAAGATAGAAAAGAGAAGAGAGCGAGTGCTTGTTGCCTATCGTCAATGGCGAGTGACAAATACGAGCGTTCGCCATCCAATCCTTCCCTCCCTCCACGTCGACAAAGGAGACACACTGCGTTCGCCATGCAACACGTTCGTACAACATGTAACATGGAACATGGTACAATCCACATCGTCCTCACCTCGCTACGCACTCCTTCATTGTCGCTTTCGTTCTCGTTCTCGTTTTCTTCTCTGCGCAATGCACGAGATTTCCCCCTGCTTACCTGTTGTCCTTGTTGTTTGTTCTGCTTTCACCCCGCCTTGACCCATTTTTTTTTCACTCCATACCATGCGATGCATGCTATGCCTTGTGTCTGTTCAGCGGTAGACATAGTATATTCATAGACGCATTTTTTTTTTTTTTTTGACGAATGAATGGATGGGCATTGTATGTCATCACCCCTTATCCATCTGTCTCTCCTTCTCTCCCACATCTTCTCCCACTCACATCTCCCACGCCTCCCACGCGAACATTTGAAAATGAATCATGGGAGGGGATTGAACGTCGGTCCAGGGATAAGCAAGCTTCATGTGCAGACAAACCAAGTAAGCAAACCATGCAAACACGCAAACAAGTGAGGACGCAAGCATGTAGGCAGGCAGGCAAACAAGACAGACTAGTATCGTTTATTACTTTTACTTTTAGGGTATTATTATCTATTGTCTTCTTTGTTCAGCTTTGCCATGTTCTATGATTACTCATCCAGTCCGTGCTTCCTTCTCTGTTTGCCTATTTCACACCCAAAGCCTTTCGCATATCGCTAAGCTTCCTGCTCAACGCGTCCCTCTCGATCTCGCTTTCCGCGTACTTCATCTTCGTTTCCACTAGCAGCGACTCCATATAGCTGAGCTGATCCTCCAGCTGCTCGTTTTTCTTCAAGTACTCCATGTTCTTGCGGAGCACATCCTCAATCTCACCCTTGTATTGCTCCTCAACCTCCTTGGCCTGGCTGTCCACAATCTTGGTCAAATCACTGACCTTCTGGGTCAACACGTCGTTTTGATCCTGCAGTTGCGCCATCTCCATCTTGCGCGTAATCAATTCCTTGGCCAGATCGACATGCTCCTTATTCAACTCGTGGAGCGACGACTCCAAGTGCCGGACTTGAGATGACAGCTGGCGGTTGGACTCCCGAAGCGATTCCTCTGCAGCCAGTTCCGCCTGTTGCTTCTGAATGATCGCCTGATGCTTTTGTGCGTACTGAGCCAGCTTCTTGGGCGTCACCTTGATAGCATATGCATCTTGGATTAACAAACCAGACTCATTCTATAAAGGAAAGAAAAGCAAAAGTTGAGTAACCATGTCAGACCAACTGCCCTGTTTAGGCAGCGCACGATCATCGGCTCTAACAAAAACATGTCCTACCATGTAGTATTCAAAGAGCCCGTTCTTCAAAAACTCAATCAACACCTCAAAATCAAGACTGAGAATCTTATCATGGTTCGCCTTTAACAATGCGATTGAGAAACGCAGGATGGACTCAATACCCTCAACAAGGATGATGTCGAACACGCGGAAGACCAGATCCAGAGGGAACTTGTATGCAAACAGCGTCATAAACCACTGAGATGCATACATCGTCGATCGAATGCCCTGGTTGCGGAGGTGTTTGAACACGAGGGGCAAAGTCTCCTCCATGAGTTGCTCAAATTGGAATAGTCTCAATTGCAGCATAGCCATGTCAGGGGTATAATGGCCACGCATCTCATAAGTGTTCATCATCCGGACCAACATACAGAATGCTTCCTCCTCTGGCATCTAGATAAGAGTCGAGCATATGCAAGGAGGTCAAATCATGCGTTATCATCTGACAGCATGCGTTTTTGTTTTTGTTTTGTTTTCGACAACATCGTGGAAAAAAAGAGTGAAGAAAGTAGAACAAAGAACAAGCGCACCCGCGGGAATAAATAAAGCACTTCTTTCTTTCGTTCCCTTACATTTAACAACAGTGGTCCGACGACAAAGCTGAGGCCCTGGCAGTACCCAACTTCAGGATCATACAGACTATACGCCTTGACGACATTGAATAAAGCCTCCTGTCCAACACCATCCGCCTGGAAGTATTCGTGGTTTGGGAAAGTACGGCTCATATCTCGGGTAATTTGCTTCTCATGAGTACTAGTTCCCTTAAGCAACTCCGCATACGTGGCCTCGAGCTGAGGGTCCTTGGATTTCGCAAGTAGTTGCCAGATCAGTCCGCGAAGTGACGAAGGAACACCTTTCTGGATCATGACCGTGAGCTGCTTTGGGTTCTTCCTCACAACAGCATTGTAATCATGCATCAGCGCACCCCAGTAATCTAAAGTTCACAACAACAACAAAAAAAAAGATTAGCTTTCCCGTGTCTTATGATCATTTTTCTCCCTTCAGCATTATGGGCGCGACTAACTTACCCCAGTCGATATCCTCTCCTGCCGACTCCTCTTTCGCATGTACGATAGCGCGATCCATTTCAGACTCGGTAGTGACACGTCTCTTTGAGTCCTGAGCCAGCAGTTCGTTTTGCGCCTCTAGTCTCGCAAGCAGCAAGTCCATGTTTGAATCTGTCGTCACATTCGAGATCGTTGATGCCCTCTCAGAACCATTGCCTCTGTTGCTGGAGAAACGACGGTCCATGCCCATATTCACCGTGTTGGAGGCCCTTTGACTGATTTGACTGGGTGTCCTGGGCGTCGAAGGCACTGGAGGCACAGGTGGCTGACTCTGCGAGGAGAATCCGCGGCTGAATGCGCCAGAAATGGAGTTGGCAAGAGCACTGATGGAAGTGCTGCGGGCTCGGGTGTCGCTGGATGCGGGGAGTGTCGGTGTGGGCGTTGGAGGCGAAACTGCTTGAGCAGTACCCTGAGCAGGGAGCTGCACTTGCTGTGGCTGCTGAGCAGCAGGCTGTGAACGCCCAAAGAAGCTCGAGGAGAAACCAAATGCTGAGGATGTAGAGGGCGTGAGAGGAACAACTTCGCTGGCGCGTTTGTCGTTCAAAGGCTCGTCCACGAGGTTGACATCGTTCAGCTCTGCGTCCGAAAACACGGTGGCATACGAAATAGGGCGCGCCTTCTCAAGACTGGTTCCATGTTTGCTAGCAGTGTCACGCGAAATAGATGTATTGGAGAGCGATCGGTTGAAGACAGGGGCAGCAGACCTAAGATGGCTCTTAATTGTGGGCGAGTGCAGGTCAATGGAAGTACCAGAGGTGTCGCTGTCCGATCCAGAGTAACGCTTCTGTCGCTGATCGATAGAGGAGGCGGAGGACATTGACTTTTGAGAAATCGTATCGACTGCCAGAGGTGACTGAGGCGTGGGTGCATGTTCGTTGACTGGGTCAGGAACTGGTGTCACAGGTGCCTCCACAGGCGCAGCTGCAGGCACAGGCGCAGCAACAGGCACAGGCGCAGCAACAGGCACTGCTTCTTTCGTGTCAGCGGCTTCCTCCTTGATCTTCAAGGGCTTTGACACGACAGGAACAGCAGCAGAGTGCGCGTAAACAGAAGAAGCTGGTCTGGAGAGTGAGGCGATTGAGAACGAGGAGGTCGGACGAGACTTGGAAGGGATGGGTGGAGACGGCGACTTAGGGTGCACAAGTTGCTCTTCAGACTCGGACTCTGAGGGCTGATCGTACTTCAGTGGCCGATCATCGTATCCGAAAGAGTGATGCTTGCTGTGGCTCGAGACTGACTTTTCAGAGGCGACAGAAGCGCGACGATCTACAGCACCGTGGAGTATGGCGGGGTTGGGTTCAGGCTCACTCATCTCATCGTAGAACGAGGTGGGACCCTCCACGTTGAGCTTGTCGCCGTGGTGGCGCTGGCTGTGCTCATGGTCATCGAAGGACGATCGACTGTCAAAGCTGTCCGTAGAAGTTCGCTCAGGCCGATTACTGGGGTGCACATGGCTTGAATGGGCGTCGTGGCTCTGGCTCTGAGCTCGAGGGTTACCCTGGTCGTGATCATCCTCATCATAGCTGTAGTCATAAGAGCCCTTGTCATCGTCTTCCTCCTGCTGCTGCTTCTGCTGCTCCTGCTTTGGGGGGTGAGGATGGCTGTCACTCCCGGTGCTGTATCGATGTGGCTGTTGCTGCTGTTGCTGCTGTTGCTGCTGTTGCTGCTGTTGGTGGTGACTTCGAGGACGTTCCTCAAAGTCATCCTCGGACTCATCATCGTCATCCTGGCCATAGTCATATGCCTGGTATGGCTCCTCGTCGCTGTCGTTCTCCTCCCATGAGTTTATAGAGTGGCGATCAGAATCGTCCTTGTAGTTATTTTGTTCTGCCGTTGTCGCTACCGCTGCTATTGCTGCTATTGTTGTCGACGCTGTTGTCTCGTGGCCGCTGTTGAGCGAATGTCGACTCTCGGAGCTGTATCCTGCGGGGCTCCTAGAGGAGACGGGCGAGGCAGGCTGCTGGCCATATGAGTCGCGCCTTCTGGTCGATATGGGACTTTCGGGCAAAGCAACAGACGAGGGGGACACGCCCTGTTTCAGCTGGCTATGTCTATGCCTGTCGCCCTGGTAGTGGTCCGCTGCCTCTGCGCCAGCCCTGGAATAGTAGCCCGCACCATGGTCATCGTCGTCGGATGTGGCATCGTAGTTGTCGATGGGATCGTAGCCCTTGCCACCGTCATCCGATGTGAGGGAGGCTCGCTTGTTCGCCATCATCAACTTTTTTGTTTAGGTGATGGTGCCGCGCGGATCTCTTGGAAGGAGGAAGGAGGAAGGGAGAGGGAGAGGGAAAGGGAAAGAGAAAGAGAAGGGGAAGGTTGCGGGGAAAGACCAAAGACGATCGAATGAAGATAAGAATGAGGATTGTGGAGAAGGGACAAGAGAAAAGAGACGAACACAAAGGGAGAGGGAAAAAAGTGGATGAGATGGATGAAGTGGATGGCTGCCTTGTCTTTTGCTTTACCTGGGCTCCTTCTCACACCATCCCACCGTTGGTTGGTATTCCCTCAAACAAGCTCTCATGTTCTGCCTAAATTAGTTTGTTTTTTTAATCTTACAAGTGTATTTATTTAGGAGAGGACGCTTCTAGTGTAGCTGCTGCTTCACTACTACCCGCTTGAATTCGGACCACGCATTGGAGGGAACAAGGCGGGGCGAGGTAGCTCCTGAGATGGTTGCCAGGATCGGCGACAATGGTCCGTTGCTCAAACTTGCCCAGGACTCCTTCCGGCTCGCACTTGTCAAGGGTGGATGTGAGCTGATTTGGCTATCAGGCGAGGATGAGAGTGTGTCCTGTCCACTTGCAGAGTACAGGGACGAGAATGAGGAAGGAGACGATCTTCCTAAAGATCGCCAGCAATCTACAGCAAAGAGTGCATAATGGGTAGTCAAACGTCAGCTCTTTCTTTCTCTTTTTTTTTTAACACAAGAGAGAGGTATATAGCAAGAGGCATAGAAAACGGTACCTTCCATGTGGGCAGAGACTTTATCTGAGTAAGCAAAGTCCAATGCAGTCCAGCCGCCATTGTTCTTGATCGTGGCACTGCTTCCCTTCTCAATCAGTAAAGCAATTGTCTACCATAGGAGAATGGCCAAGACAGACACAGGGAATATTAGAGCTGCAAATACTTCATATGCTTCCTCCTAAAATAGGGATCATGATTCCCTTCACGCTACACCACGTTACCTGTAAATGACCATAGGCAGCGGCACTAATATGAATAAAGTATCCGCGTGGAGTACATTTGTGGATTAGCAATGCTTCTCCGGTGTCACGCAAAATAAGAAGAGTACTGTCGATGGTCATGATCACTTACTGGTGAAGCGCTGTGCTTCCTTCATCATCGCGGTGGTTCAGGTCGGCTCCGAGATGCAGGAGAATCTATTTTTGTCAACCAAAAACATGAACCATATTAGTGAATAATGTTCCTGGTACCTGAAAAAAAATAAAAAATAAAAAAAGAGCGGAAAAGTACATCACCTCGACCATGCTGACAGCGCCGTATCGGGCAGCGGCAATGAGAGGACTCCATTCCTGCTTGTTGCACATATCCACAGACCGAGGGAACTTTGTCACGTAGGCTTCAAAGATAGCCTGATGGCCATGCTCAGCAGCAACCATGAGGATGTTGTTGTTATTGCGGTCCTATTTACAGAGAAGAATATGGACAGATCTGTTAATAAGGTGCAAAAAGGTGGAGTTGAAGATGGCGATCAGGCGTCGTGATGTGTAAAAATAAAAGAAGAGAGCCGTTGACTTGGCCGAAACCCTTCTCGCGAACATAAAGACGAGCACAAGGAACCACCTATTCTTGTCTCTGATGGCTCTCTTCTTCAGGAACCCATAAACCAAAAGAAGACAGAAAGACAAATAGAGCCCTCCACGGTGTTCCTGCATCCGGTTCCTGTATATATGCAAGGTTGCTTCTATAGCCTTCGTCACTCGCACTACCATGTGTCTTTCATTTACAAGCAGGTCATGCGACATACATGTAAGTCCGTTAACATATGTAAACAACATCAGAAAGGCTGTCTTGTCATTAAAGTGCTCACTCTCGTAGTGCTTATATCCAATTTCCCCAACAATGGCTACGGCCATGTCTTCCTCTCTCATTTCAATCAACTCAAACCGGGAGAGGTGCAACAGTGCGCACATGCCATCGGCATGGTGATGATAACCATGGTTGCACGAATTTATCTTATCCCCCCTCGCTAGACCACATCTTTGCATCTGCGTCTACAAATGCATTTCACAACTCAGGTTGCACGCCTTCTTGGCCACCAACGTGGCACTACCAAGCACACTTTAGCAATTGCGTAAAAGTACAGACCATGACAGCAACACAGCAAAGAAAACACGCTAGGGATCATAATTTACCCTAGAAATCTCATCGCGGTCATGCCCCAGTCGAATTAGCGCCTCAACTACCTCGAGATGGCCATGTCGGGTGGCCATCATTAAAGGTGTGTATCCGGACGAGGGCTCGGCCTCGCACAGCTCCTCAGTGCTTTCGAATTTAGATGCGATCCTGCTGACCAGCTCGACATTGCCTTCAGCGCATGCGGACATCAGACGTTGGGATTTTTGCTCAATCATGATGCTTGTTTCAGTTTTTTGTAGTGTTCGGTGCTGGATGCTGTATGCTGGATGCTGTGTGAGCAGGAAAGGGCGGATGAAAGGTGAAGTAATTGAGAATTAGGCGACAAAGAAGAGTTGTGTGCAAGGATGAAACTGGTGCTAATAAAAGGGGACGTGAAAGGAAAGGCAATGCTTTGAAGATGGAGTGCCAATGATACTGATAGGGGGTATATTGGTAGAATTCAGGCACAAGCGAAATTAGAGTAACGTGTGATATAAGAGATGTAGTCGTATTGAAACAGATTCTTTGCAGGTGTGAGGTCGTAAGAAAGATATTAGGCGTGAGAATGCAGTACAGAGATGTGTAGAGAAATACAGAATGGACAAAACGGAAGTGAAAAAGCAATGAAGAGTAAAAGGAATGAAGGAATGAAGGAATGAAGGAATGAAGGAATGAAGGAATGAAGGAATGAGGGGATGAATGAAGAAATGAATGAACTCGAAAAAACCGAGCAGTCGGCATGGTTTTAAGCGAATGTTTTTTTTGGCGGGAGAGACGGAAACTGCAAGGGCTCTGAAGGTGTTATAAAAAAAAAACCTCTTTTTTTTTTGGCTTTAATATAACTTTGAGCATCGCATCACATCACACGAAACAAATACTCTAATATTATTTTCAGATGAGGCACCATCCTCCACAACGAATACCACCATTTGCCGCAAGTATCTCAATTGGGGAATTAAAGTAAAAGAACAAAGCCCAAGTTAACAATGAGCAAAGTTGCTCCTTCCAAATTCAGGTCGTACTCATCGTAGCCAGTCAACCCTGCTCTGCCTTTGCTGATTATTATGATTTGTTTTATTCTCTCATTTGTTTTGTGTTGTTGTCAATCTCACTCCAAAACCGCGCGACAACCAATGAAAGATATATTGCGTTGTGTCGTCTTGTGCTGTCCTGTGGCAACGCTCCCTACCGCCGCTGTGCCTGGTAGAGTCCAGTGTAGTATCCTGAAAAGTACCATGCCATGATCAAATTACTCAGCGAATCATCGTCCATTCCTGAGACCGATAACTGTCCTGGCAACGGGGGTAGAGGAAACGGCATCGTCGGTGGTGGCGGATAATGTCGTCCAGCTGGGACGGGTCCTGATCCTGGTCCGAAAGGCATCGGTGCAACACCAACTCCCCATGGTGAGGTTGCACCTGATGGACCTGGTATTGCGAAACCTCCATGTGCTGCTGCTCCAAAGGGTATATGGGGTGGATACCCTGCGTAGTATCCATGTTGAGATGCATGGTGGGGAAACATCGGCATAGCGCTAGATCCGAAGGGTGCAGATTGTGGAGCAGGTCCTGAACTAGATCCAGCAGGCGGTCTATTTTTGGCATGAGCACTAGATTTGGATGTTGTCGCGTTTGGCGTGGATGACTGTGCTCTACTGCTCCTAGGGGCTCCATACTCCAGTCCCTGCTGCTCTTGTTTTCCATCTCCTGTTTTGGCTGCCTGTGTCGCTTCGTATGAAGGGTCATAGTAGTAGCCCAGTTGTTGATAGTATGCTATCGTCGCGGCATCAACAGGGAGATAAGCAGAAAGTGTGGCCGCTTCGGCTGTAGGGGTCTCAGCTTTGGCTTTGGTCCGTTGGGTGCTGTTAGATGCGCTAGTACTGGTGCTGATATTGCTTCTCTTAGCGCCCTCTACCTGGCGACTTTTGTGATGATTGAAGTTGGGTTTGTCCGCCTTTCTAAAGCTCGGTTTCCGCTCTGTAACAGCGTCTCGTGTGGACGTCCCATTCGACTGTGTCTGGCCGTTTGATGACTCCTGTTCCGATTTGGTCTCTGCAGAATCTTCCTGTAGCATGTCCTTCTCTGCTGTTACTGGGATGCCGTTGCGGGCATTAGTTGGGCCACCGTTACCGAGCTTCATGCGTTTAAACGGCGACACAGATGGTGTTTCTAACTGCTCTGCCTTGTTCTTGCTCTTTGCCTGAGTTGATGATCTATTAGTGTAGATGTATAATATTAGAATAGATCAAGTACCAGGTTCTTTAAATATACAACAGTAAGGCAAATTACTTACGATTCTATCTTCTCTCTTGCGCCGGTCTTGCTATGATATTGCTAGAAACGGTACCAAGCCGTGTGTTAGTGCGTGGTGTTCATCCTCACTCACGATATTTAGAACAATGGACAGAGCGTTTTACCTCGTACTGCCTTACAGCCGCATCCCATGCTTCGATCAGCGCACTGTCGTCCCAAACTTCTGTGTGCGACTATTCACAGTTGTTTACGTGGAAGATGGATCAAATTAATATCGAGAGTTCCTAACGCTGCAGAGTACCCTTCAACATGCGCTTTGAGAAAGAAAGACGTACCAGTTCAACTTCCTCTCCTATTTGAACGTCGTTGCCATCCTCGTCTTCAGTCTCGTTTTCATTGTCCTGTTCCTCATACTCCTCACCTTCACCGTCTTCATTGTAGTATTCTCCTCCCCCGTTCGCATCCCACTCGAGTTGATTCTGGTCTTCCTCTGCCATTATGAATGTCTCTCGCGTCGCTGTCGATTCGGTCTGTTGTGTAAATTAGTTTCTTGAGACTACTGAAAGAAACGTTAGCATTGGCTCTGTGCAACCAAATGGGCACAGCAGGTAAGCCACTGCTGCATTGAAAAATAACAACATGGCAAGGCCAACACGCACCTCGAGCGAACAAGACATCGTTCCCAGAGTCCCTTGCTTCATCACATAAAGTCATCATGGTATGCTAGCATGCCTCAAGTCTACTTTATTGCTGACTGGTTCTATATGTCATTGATAATTCTTCAGGACCTTATTTAACGGCCGTTATATCTCTCGGAATACCTCTCCCCGACAGGGAAAGTCAAGTAAAGACAAGCGCGATGTGTATTATCGTCTGGCCAAAGAGCAGGGCTGGAGAGCTCGTAGTGCTTTCAAATTGATGCAAATCGATGAGGAATTCAACCTTCTGGAAGGTAATGCAGCGCCGTGTCGACAAAAACTTCGTAGAGGTCTGGATATTTGAAAATGGATACTGAATTTGGTTACTGTTTCTTTCATATCTCTCACAGGCGTAACCAAAGCAGTAGATCTCTGTGCTGCCCCTGGAAGTTGGTCTCAAGTTCTCAGCAAGAAACTTGTGTATGTGGACGCTTTTTGATATTGTTAGGATATTGCAACGGGCCCGGATTATTGTACAACAGTTGACGATAATAGCTGTATCCATTGCCACATATGATAGGGAGAATCAAAAAGAGGGAGATGAAGCAAAAATCGTGGCTGTGGATCTGCAGGCAATGGTGGGTTTCTAAGAGTGCTTCTCATTGGATCCGGCGGATGTCAAGTGGGTCACGATTTGTCGCATGCTGACTTCACATCGTATTCTCTCTTCGTCAAACCCGCTAGGCGCCTTTGCCAGGAGTGATTCAGTTGCAGGGCGATATCACAAAGCAATCGACTGCGGATCAAATTGTTTCATTCTTCGACGGCGAGAAGGCCGATATTGTCATTTGCGATGGTGCACCAGATGGTAAGACGATATGGGATATAGGTGTAGCAGTCTCTAACTTTCTTTCAGCATAAATTGAGCGACATCTGACTTGGATTCTCTCTTTCTGCGTAGTGACCGGACTTCACGACATGGATGAATACATTCAAGCGCAACTGTTGTTGGCAGCACTCAATATCACAACGCACGTTCTTCGACCTGGTGGATCCTTTGTGGCTAAGATCTTCAGAGGCAAGGACATCACATTGCTGTACACGCAACTCAAGGTCTTTTTCCCAAAGGTCACCTGCAGTAAACCTCGCAGCTCAAGGAACTCCAGTATCGGTAAGAGATCGGCCCTTTTAATTTTTGTTGCGGAAACAGGGATTTATGAGTGCATATTAAATCCGTGTTAACGTCTTTCTGCGCCGGTATTCTTTTAGAGGCGTTCATCGTATGTCAGGACTATACCCCACCAAAAGATTATGTGCCGAACATGGGCGACCCTTTACTGGATCTTGGTAAGTACTTATGCGAATTGCTATCACATATTATCGAGCGGAAGCAAGATTTAGGAGCTGACATTGCCACTCCCTTTTACTCCATAGCCCCAACTGATGCCCAGGGCCGCTCCAATAGGACAATTGTGCCCTTCATTGCCTGCGGGGACCTCAGGTAAGCGGAGCTGATGTCAATATGGCTGTATTTAACCTTTTCACATTCATATTTAACATCTTCTGGTGCTTTTGCATTTTTTTAGTGGTTTCGACTCGGATATGACTTATGCACTGCCCGACACAGGAAGTGAGGACTATAAAGTGCTGGCACCGGTGCAGATGCCCATCACAGCTCCTTATCTTAGTGCTATGGAGAAGAAGCGCAAAGGATTCTTCAACGAACAAATGTCAAAAAAGTAAAATAGGCACATCAATGTCAACTTCTGATCATTCACATGCAGACACTGAAATAATACATTGTCCATTCACGGGTTTCAGATAGAAGGAAGATAATGTGTGGGCGAACGAGAATTCTGTTTATATTATGAGAGTCGTGTGGTATATGTACAGTTACAATAAAAGAAACGGAGCTATGCTGTAGTTAAAAAAAAAAAAAAAAAGACGAATGCTTGGGAGCTGTGTATATGGATGTGTACGAGTACGGCGTGTGCAGATAAGTTATGGATTTTAAATAGCGTTGGAGTAGGTCCTGCCCTCCTTCTTTCCGATCCGGATATATCGCTCTTCGTCGTTCCTGGTCTGGATGAGGATCACGGCGCTGACAAAGACAAAGACGTTCACGATGGTGAAGCCAAAGAGCGAGGTGAACAACTTCCTGAGGTACAAGTCTGCAAAAGTCGACACCTTTTCTTGGCATCCGTCGAACCCCGATGGCACGGTCGCACATTGACCCGAAAGAACCACGTTTTGGTTATCGAGATAGCCACAGCATTGACCATAGCCCGTCAAAGTTGACTATTTGATTAAAAAAGCATAGCAAGAGATTGTTGTTTAGATTGCAAGTTTGTGTAATATATATGTTGCCGAGTAAGAGCGGATATATTTCCTTACCATGTCCTGGAAAGCAATCTTGAGCGAGTCGGACCAGGTCAACCATTGAGTCTGGAACAGACTACGCATGCGCAGGGTCTTGAACCAGATGACGCCTCCCAATCCTAGTTCTACAAAAATGACCGTGATCAGGAGCACGACATATGCAATCAGGAAGTCCTTGCGCTTGATGGGAGCGATACCGCCGACATAGCCGATCAGAGCCGTGCCAGCGACGATACCACCGATGACTGCACCAGCTATTTTTAACAAACAAACATGCAGGGAGATGCGAATACAAGATGCGATCAGTATGGAGTACAGTAGACCAATTGCCAGCTGGGGGAAGTATCTATCTGCAGTGTGTTCCTGCAGTGTGTGCAGGATGGGTTGAAGACCGATAGTGAGAGTGTAGACTAGACTATCTGTGCTGTGGAACAGATGGATGGATGATTGAGAGCCATAGTGCTCTCCGATGAAGGAATATAGGTGGGCACGGAATATCTGTCCCACCCGGTAGAAAGTAAATAAATATGCTCTCTGTCAGACGGAAGACTGCATGGTGCGACCGCCAGACAATTAAAACCGCGTGTGAGGGAGGAGGATAGGAAGATAGATAGCATAGGTACAGATGAATCGGTCAATATGAAAAAGGGATAGGGTAGTGGGATGGATAAAAATGGACCAATCGGCCCTTGATTTGGTGTTTCAGACAAATTAAATGGTGTTCAGACACTGAAAGATGACTGGACAGACCACTCAGGAACCATCAGCAGTGAAAAAGAGTGAAAAGTGAAAAGGAGTGAAAAGTGAAAAAGGGTGAGTGAAATGTGGAGAATGAAAGCGTACCTTCTTCGATGCTTCGCGAGATCACTGCTTCTCTAGGTGCACCAACACTAGATTGTGAAAGCCAGACCTTGGCCAAGACCAGTGCCCCAACGCCCGTTAGCATGTAGATGGTGACGAAGAAGAGGAAGTAGTATTGTTGTTTTCTAAGATTGGCCATTTTCACTCTATATGAGGATGAGAGCGTGTGTGTGTTTGTGTGTATTGTATCTGCTATGTATGTTATGCGTCGAGCTAGAAGTGATTGAAGGGATTCGAATGAGATGAAGTGCGATGAGATGAGATTCAAGGCAGTGGTGAATGCAATATAGGATGAGGAACTTCCTTCCCTCCCTATCTGGGACATCTAGTATTTATAGGAAAAAAATCAATAGAGAGGTGCGCCCAGACAAGTAAGTCTATGAAGCTGCAACTGAACCTTACACACGGAAAAAAAGGACCAACGAGAGAGAGCAAAGAGATCTCCCAATATCTGTCCCCTGTTTGGGCCGGGTGCAATTTATTGCATTTTCGATTCCAGAAGCCTACCATATATACAATACAAACACTCTCACAATTATACCTTCCAGAACACCAAATGACAAAGGAAAATAAATACAATGAGAAAGAGATTATTACAAAGAAAAGCATACATTTTCATTTAAATGTCTAATCGACAACATATACTCGACTCTTGCCAGACTACGCTTGTAGTGTTTTTTTTTGTCCAGGTGGATCGATACAAGCATCAGAACGCGGAGGAAATTGTCCATCGCTTCAGTACAAAGAAAAGATACCATCAGCACCGCGCATTTTCTTTCTTTCTGTGATTGCTCCGTGGGAGAGGGAACGAAGGAAAGAAAGGGAAACAAACATCAAAGGGGCGATAAAGAAAGCGACGACAATAATCCTTTTACCCTTTTGGCTCCCGTACTTCGTACCACTCCTCCACTCCCATACCGCCAAAAGAAACTAATTTATCCAAACGAACACCAGCCCACGTTTTGTCGACGCCTCTTCCCCATTCATTCTTCTCTCTAGTAACCCACACAATTGGATTGGGTTTTGCAATTTTTTTTTTATTTCTTGAACCCAATCCCTACCCCCCTGCCACTTTTACAATATGGCTCGAAACTAATTGCAGTATCATCTGACCGCAACAACTCATCAAATGCGGATATCCGTACCAGCAATTGGTGTATGCAGTATACAAATACCCTAAGACCATAGAATATGAATATGCGATGCAAGAGCATAAGTATTTAGTCGTGTAACATTCTGTTTCGATCATTTTTTCGATTGAAAACAGGAACTCAGTTCAAGAATGGGGCTAGCCTGCAATGGCAGCAAGGTAGCAGAGCAGGCATAGGCAAAAGCACACGTACGCTGAGTGAGCGACACCAAAAAGAAAAAAAAAAGCTTGGAATTGTAAAGGACATCTTTTATTTGCTTCCGCTCTCGACAGTTCCTCAAGGCAAAGATAATAAACGAAAAGTCCAGCACTCTCAGACTCATCCAAGAACGGGTAGTCGACTATCCTGAGAAAGCATTTCTTTTGCTTATTGCTGAGCGGGGCGGCCGCGGCCCAAGCCAGAGCGGAACTCGGGCTTGTAGTCACCTGAGGCACCCTCCTTCTTCTCACCGTCATCACGACGACGGTAGTCCTCGCGGTCACCACGGGGGCGGTAAGCACCCTCAGGACGCTCTATTGGATATTCAAGAGAAAAAAACAACGTTGTTAACATCTGGTCGTCCAGTATAATCTCCATGGAATAAAGACACAAGAGATCTGGCGTCAATCATTTGTATATCTCCCCCTCTGGCAACAATCCCTAGTCGCACTACTGGATTTTGGCTGATGGCAGTCCTTAAATTGTAATTGCTGCTCCCGCTTTGTCGAGTATGCATTGCCATAAAAAGATTGATCACCAAATGGTCGTATATCGTTCTTCAAAGTGTAGTGCGGTAAATGGTTCTTGACTAAATAATCTCTTGCAGCACAGAGGTCTGCGACCTGTCCGGCGCAAGTTTACTGTCGTTTCTCCGTGCTGGTCTCCTTGTAGTTGAACAATATTATCCTGTTTGACTGCACGCCATATATATGCTGCTCTATTCCCGTGTCGATTGTTGAATCCTGGACATATGGAAAGACACCAAAGATCAAAGGAAAATCAAGTCAGAGCATTACCAGCGCGACGGGGAGCCGAGGGACGAGCGGTCTTCTTGAAGGTGGCGGGGAAGATCTCGGAAGGCAAGTGAAGGTACTCGCGCAAGTACTCAATACCGGCATCGGTCAGAGTGTAGTAGTAGTACTGCCACGAGAACTGAGTCTTGACGTACTGCTTGGAGTCCAAGGACTGGAGAGCCTTGATGACCTGCAGGTTGGGAACATCAATCTCGTCGTGCTTGGGAGCGTTGAAGTCCTTCTTGGCGACCAAGACACCATCTGTTTTGGTTGATTGTGTCGAATCGCCGTTGTAAAAACAAAAGAACGTGCAGATCCAGAACACAGTTGTCGTTACCGAGTTAAAAGTTGTTTTGATTGAATGGTTGTATCCGGTGTTGTCGATAGCGTGAGGTGTAAGGAGTCGGTGCAAGGCGTGAGAAACGAGAGATCTGTTAGCAAGCTCGAACGCACCAGAATCAAAACTTCATGAAGATTCAGTCCGGCATAGTAACGCCTCCAATCCCAGTGTCTCTTTTCTTTGTTGCGCACCTTTGAAGAGGGCCTCGTAGATAAGCTTGCGGTTCTGCTTGGGGATAAGCATGCTGTATTATCTGGTGATGCAAAGGTGTGAAAAAGCAACAAAACAATTAGGACAAACAGCCCTCTTTGTACTGATCAGATGACGGTGTAGCCATGATGTTGTCGTCTGCATCGCCATGTCTTGCTAATTATTGTTTTGATGCTCTCCGATTCCTGACGAGAGGCGCCAGCATGATGTTGAGTTCATCCCAGATCTCTGTTCTGAGTCTCGATTGTCTCATGCCCCATCCTGAAGGTCTCTTTAAGCGTGAGTAATACATAGACGTAGGGCCATAGTTTCTAGATGGATGTCAACCAATGGTGCTTTCTGTCGATACATAGACCGATGGATAATGTCGCTGTTGATCGCATCCAGCATCCGTTGTCCAAGGTGTCCCTTGATGCGCAGTCACCGGCCCAGTGCCTTCAAAAGTTCCACTCAAAAATGCGCACCTGTAGAAAAGAGAGCGAGACAAGTGGCCCACAGACAGGCTCCGAATATGAATCGCATCGCACACAGGCCAATATACCCTTAATTAATGCCACATACCGAGCACTCTAGTATGAGTACCAGCTTCCTTTCAATCGCTGCATCGCTTCACTGCACCTCTTTTTCCACTCCACAGATCACTTTACACAACAACTTCACACCCAATGTTCCGACTCCTTCCTCTCCGCTCCAGAGCCCTTACCACAGCCATCGCAGCTTCGACAAGGAGAACGCTTTTGACTGCTGCAGCTGCAGCTCCCAGAAAGACTCTCGGCATCAACTCCGCAGCATGGTCTCTCGCACAGCGTCAACTCCCCTCCAGGGCTATCAGGGCAAACATGTCAGCCGCTCAGCAAGGTAATCCACATTCTTTTAAAGCACTTTAACCGTCTCGGTCGAATCGAGGAAGCAACAGGGAGCGTATCTACACAGCCGGTGTTTCATTTCTTACAGGAGAAACCTTTAGGAACCCATGACTGACAGCTGCCATGGCTTGATAATATATCCACTACCATTATACCATTAGTTCGAACTATGTTTATCCAGACCGACATTACACCGAACCAGGATTCTCTCAAATTTATCCCAGGAGTCGCTGTCATGCCCGATGCCTCGACAGCCGAGTTCCTAGATGCCCGTAACGCCATGGGTTCGCCTCTTGCTAAGAAATTGTTCCAGATCGACGGCGTCCGAGGCGTGTTCTTTGGCCCCGATTTTGTAACTATCACAAAGGACCAGGATGCGATTTGGCAATTGATGAAGCCCGACATCTATTCGGCGATCATGGACTTCTTTGCTTCGGGTCAGCCCATTATCTCCGAAGGCGCCGATGGCGAGAATGCAGCGCACAACGACACTATGATTCATGAGGATGACAGCGAGACCGTCCAGATGATCAAGGAGTTACTCGATACCCGCATCCGCCCATCGATCCAGGACGACGGTGGAGATATCGAGTACCGTGGGTTCGAGGATGGTATCGTCAAGCTGAAGCTTAAGGGCGCTTGCCGAACCTGCGACAGCTCCACAGTGACTCTGAAGAACGGTATCGAGAACATGTTGATGCACTATGTTCCTGAGGTTACGGCTGTGGAGCAGGTTTTTGACGCCGAAGAGGAGGTTGCCCAGCTCGAGTTTGAGAAGCTGGAGAGACGCCTTATGAATCAGTAAAATGTTATTTCCTTCGGCATTGTACTTCTTTGCCTTTTACTATATTTGCCCTTCCACCTCTCATTGTATTGTACCCGCATATGCATGCATTAAAATCGCATTGATTACAAAAAACACCCTTTTTTGCTGCGCCTTGGTTTTTACACCTGATGCACATACACCCCTCTTTTTATTGGCATTTTGCTTTGTGTTCCTGATCTACGCATAAGTTCCTTGTTCGATGTTTTGATTGAAGGATTCTTTGCCCATGTTCAGGAATGGCTTGCTTGGGCATAATCCGCCGCAGCTGATTATCCCACGTATGCCCTCAAACAGTGTCATCTATGCGATAGTGTGGAGAAGACACGTAAGAAATGGGCATGCATCACTGGTTGATGAATACAAGACCACCGACAATAACAATATATCATACCGTGGAATGCCCATGCAGTGTGCTTGGGATTTGCCCTGGCGGTTTTGACGTATGTGGCATTGTCTGGGGGCCGCTCCTTGCTAGTACAACTGGACAACATGGACTGGAGAGACAGACATATGGATGCTACTGTCTGTACGGGGCTCCAATGGTTGTACAGAACGTCCAGACAGATGTGGCCATTGCTGTAGATCTATCAAAATAAACAAGCGCAAATCAGCCCACCATTTAACTGATTTGTATAGAGAGAACGCAGTGCCAATAAAATGCCTGGCGAGTCCCATATACTTGTCCGAAATGCTCTTACATGTGGGTGAATGGGCACATTATCGCCGACAAAGAGTACCTGAGGAGATTCTAGAGGGTAGTTCGGCCCAAAGTTGAACTGGAATCACAAGAGAACAAGAGGATGAAGCACAAAGTCAAATATGGTTCTGCTTCCTTCCTCTAACACTGATGCACATAATGAAATCATTCAGCAGACTCTTCTTCGCGCCCCGAACATAATGGCGCAGCCTGCTCTGAAGCTCCTTTTGCGGCAGGACATAATCACTCACCTCAAGCTGGAACTTCTCTCCCTGGGATAGAAGGAGTATGGGTTACATGTGATCCATAGCGCAAGCAAAGGGGAATAGTTGAATGGGTCAATGGTAATGCGCGAAAGTGAATGCGCGGCGTATTTAGGTCGTGAAGTGCAGCATGATAGGCAAAAGTGGTAGTGTGAACAGTGACAAGGTACCTCGTAAAGGGTTCCTGGAGCCCCTGCAAGACCCAATTTCCAACTAGGCGAGTTTGAATATGATATAGACAAAGAGAGCAAGTGAGTCCAACAACCGAGCGGTGCAGCAGATTGTAGGGGCAAGTGCGATTTCATACTGTGAGGAAGACATACACCTTGAAGTCGTTTGCGTCAATGATATCGACTCCTGCTGGTGGGTTCATCGCCAGGTCTAATCAAAAGAGAGGAACAAGGCGGCATGCGAGTTGAGTTGGATGTACATGAGGTACGCGCTGCAGTAAAGATAGTAAACGAGAGAAGTGGGAGCGGTGTTAAGCTTACCTTTGAGCTCCTTTGCAAGACGACGGGCAAACATCGGTTTTGCCATGTTGTGTACGCTATGTTATGTTGTTTTGAGAGCCTTTTTGTTGATCTGTCGAGTATGTCCCGAGTTGAAGGAAGGAAGGAAGGAGGGAATGAGCTAGCCTGGTGGAGAGAAGGGATGCGAAGGTGGAGAAAGTCGATTGGATCGAATGGATAAGTCAAGACAAGGGTGCTTCTCATTGCAGGCGTGTGACTTGCTTCTTTTTCATCTCTCTTCGCCCACACAGGCTGAGCATGTCAAGGCCCTCGGTTGGATCGCCGCGAGAACGATCGATCTTCACCTTCATGATACTGATATTCATAAGGACAATAGCTGTACTACTGATCGACAACAAATCCTCCTGCAAGACAAAATATGATCGAACAATATCGCCGAGGCATCTGACCCCACACCGATCTGCAGACTCGATCTCCAGCTCGGCTGCTTTTTCATGCAGTACCGATAGACCGCCGAAAAAAATGTGCCTTGAAGGAAAGTTTTGAAAGGGGTCCAGCCAGGACTACTTGGGGAATAAATTTTTGGTTGTCCTCTTCTTTATTCTTGCCTTTTTATTTTTGTGCATCCAACCGTCTCATTCATCCCAAAAACCTTGGTTCAAAAATAAACTAGAAACCAGGAACTAACTCTAGAAAGCAGCTTGTTCACAACAGTCGGCGACCGTGGAACACAGCCATTCAAGATTACGCGCAATGAATCAATCATCAGAGGCCAATGGCGAAGGCAGTAGCAGCAACAGGAACGCTGCAAACGGCAATCATGGCAAGGAGAGCTCTAACGACAAGGACAGCAACAACGATGCTTCTCAGGAAAACACAGGAAAGACACAGCAGCAATTGGACGAAGAGGCCGCTGCCGAGGCAAAGAAGAAGAGGGCTGGCCCTAAGAGAAGAAAAGTGACTCACGGTAATTTTCATATTTGGCAATTCGACGCTGTGCTCACCGGTCTTTATCATTTTACTTCATGGCATAAATGGGATACTGGCGCACTTTTCACAGACCAGGACTTAAACCTGAAACGCGAGACATATCGGTCTTTATTCGATACCATGCTCCATTGGACCATACATGCTGCCCTAACACCACAGAATTTTATTTTCTTTCTGAATTGATAGCGTGTGTCTACTGCCGGCGATCCCACATGACCTGCGACGATGGTAACGAAGCAAGGGGGGTTTTTTTTGTCTTATCTGAGAGATACCGTATCAAGAAAAAGGTCTGGATTGCCATTGATGCGTATTCAATTGCCGAACCAAATAGGTCGGCCATGTCAGCGTTGTATTAAGCGAAACATTGGACATATGTGCCATGATGAACCGAAACCCTCGGTCGCTGGGTCAGCAACGGCTCAGCAATCCACCAGCGCCAGTTCTAGCAATGCAGGGACCCCAGCACCTACGGGCGGAACATCTCGATCTCCAGAAGGTATATCCCACGTCGTACTTATCTCTTTTGGATTGGCGGCGGCATAATGTATTTCAAAAGGATTGGACGCTAATATATGCTCCCTTTGTTTTATTCATTTATTTATTTGGACCGCAACCACATGGGAACATCAGCACGAAGGACCTCGCAGCAGGCACAAGGAGGGCAGCAATTCAACCAGCAGCATCAACTTACCCAGGGATTACAGCAGCAGCAGCAGCAGCAGCAGCAGTTGCAGAACAGCAATCTCAACAACATGCAACTTTACGGATTCAACAACCAACTTGCAGCGCTTCCTGTAACACCCTTGACGTTCGCCAGTGAGCACATGGGAAACGAGTTCACTGTTATCAGGTATGTTGTGTCATTGGCAGCTCTACTACATGGAAAGACTTTATGTATGAAAACTGAACGTTGCTGACCATATCCCCTTTCAATCCTGACAGCGACTTCTTAAGGAGCTTGGGAGGTGACAACCAGAATATCATCCAAGATGCGGGGATCCCTGTCAACACCACAGAAAAGTTCTTCTTGACGGCTGCTGACCCCAGCGATGGAACGAATGAGGACCGTCTAACTCAAGTGATTAATGCAAAGTTCGAAGCTGGATTCTTGAAGCCATACAACTACGTCAATGGATACACGCGCCTACAGATATACATGGATAGCAAGTAAGCAACGTTTTGATTGCAGAGTTCTGTCAGCATGGTTTTTGCCAACGACTGCTGACAATCGACATATTTCTGTCTTCGTGTTTTTTCTTTTACAGTATGTCCAATATCAGCCGACAGAGGATATTAAACGTCATGGGGACATTTCGACCAGCATTTCGAACGGTTGCTCAGACTTTGACAGATATTGATCTGGTGCTGGTTGAAGAGGCGTTCGAGCGGCTATTGCTTGTAAGTGCTTGTCCAATTGTACGCTTGATCCTGACTCCAACAAAGCGTTTACCGCAGCAACTGACCCGTAGGCCGTTGTATTTGTAGGACTACGATCGAGTTTTCAGTTCCATGGGCATCCCAGCATGTCTCTGGAGACGTACAGGAGAGATCTATAAAGGAAACAAGGAATTTGCGTCACTTGTGAACGTGCCGCTCGAGATGCTTCGTGAAGGACGCCTGTGTATATATGAATTGATGGCTGAAGAATCCGCTGTCAACTATTGGGAGGTAACACGCAAACTTTGTTCTCCATATCTAGACGTAACTAATGCGGCCACTAACGTCTCGTAATACATTTTGCTTTTATGTTACTAGAAATACGGGAACATCGCATTCGATGCGGGACAGAAGGCGGTCTTGACATCTTGTTTACTTAAAAATCCGGATCCTGAGAGCCAAAATGTCATTTCATGCTGCTTCTCATTTACGATCAGAAGAGACAAGTACAATATCCCGACGGTCATCGTAGGCAACTTCTTGCCAGTGTCTCTGGGATAGCATGGAACGCAACGACAAATTAATAGCAGCTTAGTATGCAGTGCAGCCCCTTGTCTGAAAACGTATGCTCGTTAACAGCCAAATACAGAGCTTGTATCCTCTATCTTTATTGGATGTGTAATATGGCAGCAGATCGGTCACCACAATGTTCTGCACAGCGGACAACTCGAAGAGTTTGATGTCCTAAACCACTTGTACAGACATGATGCATGGAATCGGTGCTTGCACGTCTTGCACGTCTTGTTGGGCAGCGACCGATCCTGCAGCGACACAATTGAGTAACAGATCGTGCAGTCCTCCACGCCCTCAAAGTGCAATCCAACGTTCCTTCTGAACAATGACAAGGCATCGATCAACGAGCCGTTCTGTGCAGCAATAACGCCTGCCACTGCCAACAACCACGCCCTCCATCGCGCCTCCTTCACGCCCACACGTTGTAAACCCTCGACTTCGACCTGGCGCAGGGGAAAATTAGCCGGTAGTCGAATCACAATCTCCATCGTCGCCTCGTCAATCTGGAACGATGCCGTCACCTCGGACGTAGCCTTTGAGGTCTTGATCTGGAGCTCGTTCAAATCGTCCGACACGCCTGATAACGCTGCCGCTGCTGCTGCTTGGCCTCCCTGCTTTGATGCCTGCTGAGCCTTGACGAGCGAGTTCAGTTCCCGAGTGATCAATAATGGTGAAAAGTACTTTTCGGTCAACGACTCGACTGCGATGCTCAATTGTCGAAGCTTGCACTCGGTCCACCAAATGCGGACCAAACTAGGCGCGTTTGCCAAGCAGGTGTAATAGAGATGTCCTGCCAGCAGAGGGAAACCAATCTCGGGGGAGGATAGATCAAAGCCGGCAACCTGGTACTCCGTAATATCCCAGCGACTTATATCAAATGGCTCGGCAGACTTGGCCTCATTCGAAGACAAAGAGACGTTCTGGTTACTGGAGGAACTTGAATCACCCACTAATGACGAAGCAGAATGAATGCCAAGAAGGTGGAACAGATAGGGCAGGAGCTCATTCATGGTTGAAGATGTCCTTAGCTGCTCAACCAGGAGCGACTTGACCGTATATGTCTATGATGAAGGAATAAAATAAAAAGGCAAGAAGGCATTAGTAGCCACACAACTATATCAACAAGAAAACCAATGACAATCAAGTGTTTCCGGATACCCACAGTGTTCTCAAAGATGATAAAGGCAAGCTTCCATGCCAAGAGATATCCAAGCACAGTGTGCGAGATCATCTTTTCAGACTTGGCCGCAACTCCTGCGCCGACACCATACTCCTCATCCTCCTCGTCATGATTCTGGCCAGTGAAGAGAAGCGAGAACTCCTTCTTCAAATCCGTATCATCGTCCGCATCCACATTGACATCCATGGCCGGGAATCCCTTCGGAGGGTTAGAGATGATGTTCCAGAGTGAAGCTGGGAACTTGGGTTCTGTCATCTTGTCCTCTGAGCCAGAGCTCTGGTAGTCGCTGGATCCCTCTCCTTCTGTCAGATCCATGGTCAGGTTAGTTGGGGCTTTAATCTCCATTTGAATAGACAGCGCCTGGACTTGTTCGATCAGCATGGTCTGCAACTGCTTGTAGGCTAGCATCTGCAGAGCTGTCAAGGGCTCTATCAACAAGCGACATTGTTCCGTAACAGATCCGTGAGACAGAACAAGAGTGTCCGGAGCGTGTTCACATACTCGCGACAGAGCTTCCAAGTACCGGCGAATAGGGCGGTCCATTCTCAGCGAGACCGCCTCAGGCTTTGACTCCTCACGCCCGATGAGACGCATAGTCGAAACCAAGATCCCTTCGCTGTGCTCCTCCCATGCATTCAGGATATCGTCTTCCTCCTGTGCGAGCTCAATGAGGCTCGCTGCCAAGCGACTAGTCCTCTCTAGCACAAGTGTAATGAACGGGCTCGATTCCGCTTCTCCAAGTCCAGTATATGCCGAATAAATGTATCCGAACATCATTTCCCAATGAGCTCCTGGAAGCTCCTGCACTTGATAGGCGAGGGAACCCATCAGCTTGAAAATCAGCGAATGTATGAGAAGTTCGTCCTGGTTGTCGAAACTCCGCAAGGCATCTGCATCCGAAATCCACTTGCGAATTGACTGAAGCAGGTTCATAGCTCGAAGCTGAGGCAGGTTAATATCCGATTCGCCCTCGTTTGAAGATCCCAATGCAGCGGCCAGAAGTGTTAAACGGCGTGCTGTCTCCGCATGCTGAATTGACACTTCGCTCGGCTTTGTGGGTGCGGTGACCCAATGGTTGAGCAGATTCGTAAATTCGCTGGTATTCTCAAGCCTTTTTCGCAGCGCTCTCACTAGGCCAGTGCAAACGGACAACGGAACTAGTACATAGAGAAAGGGCGCCACAAAACGTTAACATCCGGGATATTACCAAGTAAACAAAATATCGGCGGACAATGCAACACTTGGTACTTACTACTTTCGCTCTTCAGTATCTGGCACCATCCCCTGGCATTAGTAGGAGAAATATCTGTTGAATCAGACTGCGCCAGTGCCTGTACAACGTCTGCCAGGATACGCTCGTGGTATCCATCTTGTTCGTTAATGGCCTCCAGCGCAAAACATACGGCACTGCATCCAGAATCCCCCTCGTCATCGTCATCATCGTCAGGCTTGGAGGCGCTTCGGGCGTTATTGGTCAAAGCCTCAACAATCTGTGCCTCCCAACTTTCCTCCAATGCCAGTGTAATCCAGCTTGTAACCATCGCCCCTAGCTCGCGCAGCAGCGTCCTGAAAACAACAGCATTCGCGTCCGCGTGAAGATTGGGCGAGTAAAAGATACCGGCATCTGAGGATGGTCTCTGGAATGCATCAAGACATCCTTGCCTGACCTTCAACAACTCGGATAAAATCCAGGTCATCTTTTCAGGATAGGACAAAAAGAGAGAAACATTGACATCCTCCTTCTTCAAAATCTCCAATGTGAATAGCGCTAGTCGACCGTAAGCCGAAAGCCCAAAGCTATCATACCGCGCGGTAGAAGAAGATTCCTTCACATTCATGGCCCTCGAGGGCTTCTCTGCATAAAACGCCTCGACAACAGGATCCACGATAGCCAATGATGGATGGGGTCCGCTGCTTGACAGCATCTTATAGAGTGAGTCCCAATGGTCCCTGTCAAAGAAAAAGGCACTGAGCAGCTTAAATCTGTCCGACAAGTCAGTCAAATTGAGCAGATCGGCCAGCTTCAATGCTTCGTTGGCAAGGTCTTCAGGACTACATGTGAAGCACAAAATAAATGCGTTAGCCAAAAGGAGAGAGAAATATTTGCAGCGAAGCGATCCACGAGACAAACAAATCATACCTTGTGAAGCGGTACAAATCTTGAATGTTTTCCTGGATATGCTCTGTCAGGCACTCACGTAGTAGGAAGCGAACATCCTCGTATTCCTCAGACAATCTCTGTAGCTCACTCAAGTTCCTCTGGGCCTCTTCGCTCAAGTATTCCTCCGATAGCAAACTGAGGTCGAACATTGCGATGATAATTTGCTTCAAAGGTCCCTCTTCGCCGTTCTGGATCGAAAGCATGGTGATATCCCTCAACGACTCAAGGGTGATCGCAAAAATCGAAGCTACCTCCACATTTCTCTCAGTGTCGCGACCAGCTCTAGCATCTGGGAGAAACAAGTCCAACCGCTGCGAGAGTGTATCAATGATGTCAAGTCTCAGTCGCTCAGAAACCGCTGACTTTGAGCACAGCACGCTCGCAGTCAGCTTCTCTCCGGATACAGATCCCTTGTATTGTTGGTCAGTCACGACATTCGTCACAAAGCTATTGATTCTCTCGAGCATCATGTCAAATGAAGGAGGGGTAGCCATAGTGCGATGAATCATGCCTTGTAAAATGATCCTCTGTCGTTCCTGACCGCACTCCCCCTCTGTTTCTTTAAGAACCTTGTCCATAACACGCTTCCAGACTTCAATTGCAATTTCCTGCTCCTTTACATTGCCTAGATATCCTGCAAAGAGGTCCAAGAGGTGTGGCAAGGACTCGCCACTTTCAGCGACCACGTCGTTGGATGATGATTTGTCCTCGGAGGTCAGCAGCATATCGGCGAACTGGACGTTGAAAAAGTCATGCATGGCCTTTTGACTGGTAGAATTGGTGAAGACAGTCACCTCAAACTGAATCGCCAAAGAGGAAAGAAGTTGTGATGGGCCGAACGCTTGAGCTATACGATGAAGCATACAGAAAACATATAAAAATGTATTAGAATCCAAGCGCAAGAAAGGTAAAGCACGCCATATTACAAAGGATACACTTACTTTCTGAGCACTGTTTGGCGACGATCTGAACGAGTTGCTCGACAGCCTTTTCGACAAGTTCGCTGGTCGATTCGTCAACTCTTTCACGGGCGAGGGCCGAAATTTCACCCAACAGCATGATAGCCCGTCTGCCGCACTTCACGTAGCCATCCGAAGGTCCCACCGAGACGACCTCGCCCATGGCCTCCGTAATTGGCTGCCACAGATAGGAAACGGCACGCTCGCGGACAGAAGGAATGTTGAGCAGGCGAACCAAATGTACGCCTATCTTTTTGGCAATGCCTTGCTCGTCCTGAGCCAGCTTGGCCGCCGTTTTACTGTCGTCGATCAATGTCAAGTATGTCTTCACTAGGTTTACGAATGCTGTGAAAACGGCATCCTGTCCTGGCTTTGTTGACTCCAACTTCCTACATTCGGTCAGGAAAATATCGGTTAGGTGGAAGCGCCACCGACTTCAGTATCACTGAGAACAAATACCGATCAAATTCCACTCACCCAAATCGCACGGCAAAGTAGACCATGCACTCGATATAAGCCTCCAGGAATACCGCTGTCGATGAGGGCTCCTTGTCAATGTTGGGGCTTTCGAGCCCCTTCCAGAAGTTTTCGAAGAAGTCCCTAACGAATGGGAAACCAGAGCCGTTCTTTCCCAAGACAGAGTCATCGCCCCAGCTTGCGACGAGAGGAAGTACGCTGCGGTATGTGACTGTCGCAGATCCATAACCAGCTGCCCGCAAGAATCCGGAAAAGAGCGACATGGTCGGCTTCTTGTGCACAGTAATTGTCCACGATTCAGGAAACGCTTTTGTAAAAACAAGAAGAGCGTCCCAGAGGTCTCCATGAGTAGTCGAGTCCTTGTCAGAGAAGGCTGAAGGAAAGAAATGATTGCTGACGGTACTCAGCCTCTCTTTGATCAATCCAGGTGCTTTGGATGTGATGGTTCTCAACATGCTGTAGCTCGCTCTCCTGACCAATGCATTGGAATGTCCAAAGAATTGCCACAACTTGGGCTCGTCCAACAATTGTCCAATATCACCGGCACCCTTTTCTAAGGACTCGGATGACAGTGTTTCTGGTTTCCAAAAAAAAAATTAAAAAAAAGGTTTCGGTCAGCACTGAAGTCGCAATGTAACTAAAAAGAACATAATCAAGTCCACTTACCAATAATATATCCGATGGTATAGATGGAGCTGGAGGCCACTCTGGCATAGCGCGTGTCCATTTCCTCTTTAGTGTTGAACCGTGGATCACTGAGGGTTTCCGGTGTTTTGTTGAGAAGGATCTCTGAGATGTAATATATCATATCCTGAAGACAAAACGAGACAACCTGCTCGCGTTTGTTGTCCGGGAATGCACTCTAATTTGAGAACAGTTACAGTCCAAAGGAGATCAATACGCTGAAAAAAATGCGCACACTGAGGCCTGCGCTTGCTGCTGGGATCAGTCCTACCTTGAACGCCTCGTTCGCTACACGAGCAACATCTCGCGTGGGATCAAAAAATGTGCCAATCCATGCTCCAACTACATCCTTTAAATATGGTGCCAATTTCTTCTTGACACGCTTAACGAGTAGTGAATGGACATTGTTGGTCAAAAGTCGCACTCGTCGATCCACATCAGTTGTGAGTTTGATATACACCTTGATCCAGGGTCCGATGGCCTCCTGACAGGATTCTGATCCTGACTCGCCATCCTCTGGCTGAGACTTAGCCCACTTTTCCAGATCTTCAAGCGCCTTGACTTTGGTAGTCGTATCGCGCTTGGACATGAGGCGCTTAATGATCATTGAGAGCTCTCCATTCCTTATCACACTGACGACCTCGGAGTCGAGTCCACCAAAGGCTGGAGAAGAGGGAAATGCAGGGCTAGGAGACCCAGATCTGATTGGGGTCGTGCTCCGGGGAGCCGTTGAGGCGACATAGGTTGAGGAGGCCGAAAAGGCTGGGGTGGCGAATTGAGCAAATCCTCCGAGCGACGACATCGGAAGCGTTGAACCCGTCGTGCTGGCGCTTGCCAACTCTGCAGCGCGACTATAGCAAGATAAACCTGTCAGTTTAGCTACCACTGTTGTGATATATCACCCATCGCACGGACTTAAAATAGAGAGAAGTGAGTGTGTTGGCTTACCTGCTGCTGGCGGCCTTCACGTTTCCCTTGACGCGAGGCGTGGTTTTGGGTGGCATTAGGTTATGGCGTAAGGGCAGAGAATGAGAGCAAACAAGAATGAGAGAAAGAGAAGAAGCTGCTGGGCGATCTTGTCGGGAATGAGAGGAGTATATATGGGCCGTGAACAAGCACAGGAAATAGAAAGAAGGGTCCTTTGAAATAAGGACGAAAGCTGATCGCCCAATGGAGTTCTTGGAGAGACGAACACGTACAACCTGCCGCAGGCAACTGCTGCTGCGTGGACTGGTTTTTTTTTTTGTAGATGTCAAGCCACTGCTAATGTTGGCATTTTTTTTTTTTTTTTATCCACCAAGGACCGTTGAACAGGTCAAGGACAACTGATCAACTTTTAGCAAGTCGCTCATCACATTCATACCAAACAATGTCGCGACCAGAGCACCAGGCACCACCAGAAATCGTAAGCACAGCAATAACTCGTTCTCATCAACTGCATATCGACTCTGAGTTTCATTCAATTGGTGCGCTCGACACTCGACTGGCCGCCTGAGCTCTTACCGTTATCATGTCTGTGTATTGACTGAATGGCTCATAGGTCTATGGAGGAGAGGAGGCTGCGAAATATACCGGAAAGTATGTGCTATCGCATCTCTTTTTTTTCATCGCTGTTAAGCCCACGCAGGATCGCATAGCAATATGATCTGGTAGCTAACAGTCTCCCTTGCGTGGACTACATAGCTCCCGCATCGCAGCGATCCAGGCAGAGATGGCAAGTCGTGCTGTCGAACTGTTGAACCTGCCAGAGGGTTATTCTGGATACATTCTCGACGTCGGCTGTGGATCAGGACTCAGCGGAGAGGTTCTGGACGAGGAAGGCCATGTCTGGGTTGGATTTGATATTGCGCCTGCCATGTTGGAGGTTGCTCTAGACCAGGAGGCGACTGGCGATCTTTTTCTTCAGGATGCCGGGCAGGGAATGGCGTTCCGTCCTGGCACCTTTGACGGCTGTATCTCCATCTCTGTGCTGCAGTGGTTGTGCAATGCGGACAAGACTTCTCACCACCCCAAGGCTCGCTTGACTCGCTTTTTCTCGACGCTCTACTCTTCTCTGAGGCGTGGTGCTCGTGCCATTTTCCAGTTCTACCCTGAGAACGATGACCAGGTCCAATTGATCATGGGATGTGCTGTCCGCTGTGGCTTCGAAGGAGGATTGGTGGTTGACTACCCTAACTCGAAGAAGGCAAAGAAGTTCTATCTGTGCTTGTTTGCGGGTCAGGAGATCAATGGCATCAAGCAACAGCTCCCTGCTGCATTGGGAGAGGACGAGGAAGGGGAGCCTGAGGAGACCGGCGTTCAATATACCTCGAAGAAGTAAGCTATTTGTTAACCCTTCGACATAGCCGCAGGGAATGGTTGCAGCTTAAAGTTAACCGCAGGATATTAACAGCAGCATTTTATTTTGCCATTATTCTTTTTACAGAAGAAACGATTCTCGCATGCGATCCAGCAAACGCAAGCCTCTTAAGGACAAGAACTGGGTCTTGAAGAAAAAGGGACAGTTGCGTGCAAGAGGAGACAAGACAGCGAGCGATTCCAAATTTACTGCCCGCAAGCGTCGTCCAAAGTTCTAAGTCATGAACAGCGGTCGGTAGTCCCCCTTCATTTTTGCTGCATCAATCGCTCCCTAATGCTTCATATCGCATTCCCCCCGCACGCACTCATCATGTAATTTTATCACACATAAACCATAAACGAAGGCATTCTGCATCTCTACGATGCTTGTAAACCAGACATATAGTGCTGAAGGCTCCAATAGCGGGAGACTTATATTATGCATTAAGCATAGAAGGATATATGTGAGCGGCATGGTAGTGACATTCGGGAAGCAGCGTTTTCCTGAAGGTTGTTATGAGGGGCATTATCGAAGTGTTATTGAAAGATTAGCTCATTAAATCATATCAGAACGTAAAGCGAGATCACGGAGAACTTCAAAACCGGCAGTCGTCAGGGTAACGCCTGGGACCGTCCAAAGAATTCGTGCTCCAGATTTACGGGCAATGGTGCGAAGAAGTCCTGACGCGGTATTAGTCTTGGTATTGCTGCAATTGACGATCTTGTTCACTTCGTTATCATTACACGGCGACGATGTTGTCGCAGGTGGCATAGAAATAGATAATAAATTATTTGGCTTGTATGTTTGTGATAATGGGGATGTCGTTGTTATGACTGGAAGGGCCTGGATATTCGACTGCAGTAGATTGAGCGGCTGCACTGGGCCTGTAAGTACCGGCTTCGAGACGTGCTGGAGACCGATCATACTGCGATGTTTAAGGGGACCAGTCGTAGTGAGAGTGGCGTGCTGAGTTTGCTGCCACGGTAGTCCTGCCATTACCTGGCTGATCATGGTAGATGTGCTAGACATGGATGCCTTGAACTGCGCAGGCATAAATGGCGGGTATCGGAGGGTGTACGTTCCTGTCGATACCATGGTCGAAAAGGCAGATGGAAGTGTCTTTGGCGGCGAGAGTGGTGACAGGGGCGAGGTCGACATTGGCTGCTTGCGGAGGGCTGTGGCAAGGTTTGTAACCCGCATCGACGCAGCATTACCAGAAGACGGCGGCTTTGCTCTGGGGGACACGAGTGGATCCCATAGTACGACACGCGCAGTTGAAGCTGCTTCGCAGACGGCGGATGATACGATGACCGCACTCGCAACGCACAACATATACGCGTTCGGCGTCAGCTCTGTATATACAGTTGAACTACTTTGCCGTCCTATGACCGACCAGTATTCTCGGAATGCCCCCCAGCTATACTGTCGATTGTCTTCTGTGGATGAATGTAATCTATTTCCGCCAGCTTCGGATGACACTTTTGGCCGCGCCAACATTTTGAGCTGCTCATAGGTTGCAAAGTATAGCATCGTGTAAGGAAGGAACGAGGTAAACGATTTGCTGTATCCTGACCACACCCTTGAGGCACCCCCCGTCTGGCAAAGCTGTCGCGCCAGTTGACATGCATCTCTGAAGGTCAAGGGCACCTGACCTACACCTGGATGCGCTGCAAAGTTCTGTATTCTGTTCATTGGTGTCCAAATAACCGCTGCTGAAGCCTTGGCCATCATTCCGCTGAGCAGGTGGGTTTCGCAATGATGAATGTGGAGCGAATTCAGGTCGATAGAGTGAGCCAAGCTGCTGATGGCATGCTTAGTCGCATCATAAGTCGAGAGGAAGACCGCAAGCGCCGGTACTTGAAAGGCGAGTGCAAAGGAGACTCCTTTGTAAAGACCACGATACATAGAAATCGTGTCGCCTGAGAGGTGCTTTAGCGGAAATTTGCTTGCATGCCGTAGTCGTTCATGCCTTTTCTGTTGATGGCGCAGTTCTTGTCGAATATTCACTAGAAGATACTCCAATCGTGGAATCAAGCCGTGGGGACCAACTTTGACGCTTTGGATCGATAATTTGACGTTGTCCACTGCGTTGATTGAACATGCTACAGATGCGTTAGCGGCATAGAATAAATGATGCGTGGCACAGCATTTCGTGTGGTGGTACAAACGAAGCATTTGTTGTGTCGATGTTCTCTGTGCTCGTCGCAAACGTACTTACAGGGGTGGACAAGGAGCCGCGCGCAGAATGCAGCAGCAGCCGAGGACTTGAGATTGATTGAGGTGTTGCTGGGCATGACGCCAGGCTGTGGCTCGCATTGGTTGAATGCCCCTACACACTCTCTCTCCCTGATAAGTTGTCGAAGCTTTGAGCGCTCCAATACGATGGTTGCCAATGTGCCAAAAGTGTGCGATCTGTCCTAGAGTATTAAGAAAGAAAATGGTGATGAGGGTTGTGGGCGCGGTAGTAGAATAAACAAGGCCAGAATGAGAAGAGTTTGAGTATGATAGCAATTAATGAGCCCCCCCCCATCTTGAAGCAAGAGGCGAAAGAATGTGTGCGTTGGGCTGTGAATTCAAGAAGAGGAAACTAAATAGTTGAATAGGAGCGAGCTCATCCGTAGAGGCCTTGCTGGTGGCAAGGACAGGATTAAAAGACGAGTTGCGAACAAGAAGTTGATGTTGATGCCGGCCGGAAATAGGAGACGTGAGAGCCTTCCTTTGTTCAGCAGAATGAGTTGATTAGTCTCTCTCTCTCTCTCTCTCTCTCTCTCTATACCACCCCTTCAACAGACAAGTGAGGAATGAAAATAAAAAGAAAGATTTGTAAAAAAGGATAGGAGTACAAACGAAATAAGGATATCCACCGACTCTGTAGGCGAGAGCAGATCTGTCGCAAGGGATCTTCTGTGGAAAACTCTGCAAGACCAAGGGCATAGCATTCGTACCCATAGTTAGGCAGCAAGCGGAAGAGGGAGGAGTGAAAAGCCTTCTCGGCTAGGTGGAGGTAGAGGAATCAATGTCGACAAGGGGAGCCATGTGGACCTACAGACCTGCAGCAGAAATGGCCAAGGCAAAAGCACGCGGCATGGTCTGTGCGCGGACAGGAGTTGACTTAACAAGTTGGTGGCAAATGCCCAACAGACCTCAGCGACAGTACAGAAGCAGGTGGAGAAAGAAAGCGATGGTCTAGACCAGTAGCATGCCGCCCCATTTAAAGGAGGGATGTCCTTCTATGGCGTTCGGCCCTTGATTCATGCTTTCCAGTTTCCACACTGCAATTCGTATATCTTCTTAATCTACTTGCTCCATCTGTCCTTCTTCACTCCTCTGCTGCGTCCCAGCCCGCATGCACCGGAATCAGCCCATACACCAAAGATGGTAGGCACGAATAAGTATCCATGACACTCCGTCATCTCACTTCAAGGCATCAAGTACAAGGGCAGAGCGTCTGTACAAGCGAATCAAGATTTGCTTTTTTTTGTTTTTTTGTTATTGTTATTATCGCAGTAGTAGTAGTAGTAGTAGTAGTAGTAGTGGTGGTAGTAGAGGAAAGCCCTGAACGCGCCATGGCTCATGAGCCATAAGAGCTCGATCCCGGTGAAAAGCATGCATCCTTCGGTTCACATGCCGGCCACTCTATGCAATATAAAATATAAGTGCTCACAGCATGGATTTCGTAATGTGTCTCCTCCAGCGCATGCTCAAACGGCTTCGATGTATATGCGGTATATCAACTAAAGCCAAGGAGATGCTGACATTACAAAGGAAGCACATGGTGCTGTTAAGGATATCTTTATCATGTCCTGAGAGTGCACATGGTTGTGCAGATGAAGATTCCGAAAATAATGAGACACACGCACGAACACAAATGCCGAGGCAGGATCGACGTATATAGGCGAGTTGCAAAGATCTGGTCATATAGCCGAAGGAGGCTTTACGCCAGATCTCTAGTTATCATGAAGTTAGTTATAGTTGGCCCTGTGGCTCCGATGGTGTTAGCAACACTGCGGAAACATGCCAAGCAATTGAGCTGGTGCTGAAGGGCAACGTATACGCATCCTGTAGTCTGCAGAGGGTTTGCTTGCACGCGCTGGTGCTTGGGTGAGAAAGGATCGATGAACCATCACGCCCCCAATGTTTCTTTGGGGCAAATTGAACAGGGCGTGGAGCAACGAACCTTAAAAGGGAAAGCGCACAGGGGTTTGCAGCGACACACCGCACACGAGCTGTTGTCTACTGCACCGTTGATCCTCCCTCCTCGCCATTGCACCATTGCACCATTGCATCCTCATTCCACTTTCTTCTTCTTCCTCTTCTTCTTCTTCGGCCCACCTCCCCTGTCACCGTTTACTTTTCTGTACAGTACATATTTATACACGCATATACCCTACTCAGCACAAGCCCACCTCCGCACCAAACACCCCATAGCGCAGTACACTTCAACCGAGCACACCTCGTCCCTTCTGTTTTACTTGCGATTCTCCACGAATGGCAAATGGGAAGAACAGACTGTTCTGGCTCACCAGTCTAGCCATTGCCTCGATCCCTCTAGCAGTAACCTTCTTCGGAATCTACAGCGACCGCCGCTGGCTCACCATCCTCTCCTTCGTCCTCTTCATCGTATGTCTCCTCCTCTCGACCTGCACCTTCCTCTCCTGGAAGACCTTCAAGTTCTCCACACCCATCATCCTTCAGATACTCAGGGCCATCTCTGTCGCCCTCACTCCTCTGGCCCATATTCTCCGTGGGATCCCCGTAATCGGCAAGGTCGCCAATGGCTCCATCAAGCTGGTCTTCTGGTCATGGTTCATCATCCTCATGTTCTCGGACGTCCTAGTCCGCAAGCTGCTCAAGGCCTTTGTGGGGCTGCATGAGCCCAGTGCAGGACAGTACTCGACTGTCAATGCCTGTGACACTAACTTCCAACCCTGTGGAGAGTTCGGTAAGGTGCTCGACAAGGAAAAGGTCAGGCGGATTGAAGAGGGCGGACGGGACTTTGAGCGGGACCACGATTACGACGAGCGCAAAGTCGTCTTGAAACGTCGCGCCAGCGAGTCAAACAAGAGCAGCACTGCAGTCTCTGGCCACAGACGGTCTAAAGAACGCCCCAAATCACTGGATCTCAGATTGAGGACCGCAGGAAAACAAGGATCCGATCTATCCTCCATGACCGGTGCGGATTGGGCCAAGGTGCTCGAGATGGCCAACATCGACAAATCACGCTTCGCACAAGACGAAATTAGCAACGAACACGACCCTGCACAAGAGCACTCGACAACGGATCATTACGCCGCTACAGAACCTACTACGGACCGCCCTCGGTATTCCCAGCCCATCGCTACTACCCTAGCTATGGTCTCAAAACTCGTGTACGAGGACGTGCCTGTCATCAGACATGAGCTCGCTCGATCAGGATACGACATGCATTCGTTCCGAGCCATCGCATATAGGGTATGTAGTCAACAATCATTATATTGGACTCCATGGTGTTGCTTTGCTTTACTTTGCTAATAGAAGCATTCATGAGTGGTAAGGCTAACTGATGCTAACACATCCTTTTTTTCCCTTTCTGATGGGTCATGCATCGATCACAGAATACCGTTGGATTTATTGTGCAAAAGGGACGCAATATTGTTCTCGTCTTCCGCGGGACAGATCCTCTCAACCTCCAAAACGCTTGGACCGATATCCAATCTCGCCTTGTGCCCATCGAGACCCTCCAGGACCCACCTGTTCCTCTCGGTAAATGTCACCAAGGGATGTACAGCGCTCTGGGTAAGGCCGACAATTTCATGTTGCCTTCAGAGGAGCTGGCCCAGCAGCAGCGAGAGTTGAGTCAGCGACATCACCGCAGATACAGTGATACCGACATGGACGAGGACGACTACTCATTACACTTGAGCGAATTCTCGCCAGCACACAGACCACACATCAGCCCTGCGTCATCCTTCAGATCCGAGGTATCTAAGGCGAACACTCTCAACCTCGAACTTTCCAATCACTCCATCTACCAGACGATCGTCACCTCCATTCGAGCTGCCTACATGCTGATCAAGTTTTTGATCGTTGGCTTGTTCACGCACGTGGCGGATCCAGTGGATTATCGGTTCGCAGGAGAAGTCAGGGATTTGAGCGCCTTTGCTCAGGCATGTCGATGGGTCGACGGGTTGAGGTTGGAGCACGCAGAGAAGGAGTTCAAGAAGATGCAAAAACTGGATAAGACCTCAAAAGTGACGCATTATCGAGGATCGACCTCGGGATCGCAACGTCTGACCAGGAGCAATAGTTTGGGCAGCCTCTACTCGCAGGACGAGGTGGACTACCTAGGGAATTTTGATCTACAGGATGGAGGACGCAAGAGGAGACCAAGCATCACTAGTCACGAGTCGTTTAAAGATTCTGCCAGGAAACTGTCATTGACTGGAATGCGTACGATGGGTCAGGGACATCATCAGAGGAAGCTCTCGGGACAAGGCTCTTATCGCAAAGATTCCTTCCATCCTCCCGACTCTTGGATGGATATCGGCAACTTTATCCTCGACATCTATAACAATCAGTATCACAACGAGCAGGAGGGGAAGATCAAGAGGAAAAGGCTTCGATTCTACATTTGTGGCCACAGTCTCGGAGGGGCCCTGGCGACGATCTTTCTGGCAAAGATGGTCCAATGCAACTCGCCGCTTCTTGATATTTTTTCTGGACTTTACACGTAAGAACAGCAAGCGATGTGTTACTTCAAGACATGAGGTGCTGCACTGTGTGAATTGCGTTTAACAAACTATGTACTTTTGTTTGGATTTCAGATATGGACAGCCGAGAATCGGAGACCGGGATTTTAGCAATGCGTTCGGATACAAGTTGGCATGCAAAATGTTCCATCATGTTCATAACAACGATATTTTCGCCCGCATGCCATTTTGGGGCACTTATGAGACGCCTCCAGGCACTCTCGTTTTCATGGACTCTTCCCGCAACCTTACGCTATACCCGCCGGATCCAGTGACACTCATGCCTGTCCCCGTTCGGGGTATCTCTTTTATGCATCTTTCCGGTATCTTGAACGTACGGGTCATCATGAGGATGCGTAAGGAGTCTTGGCTGCGGATACTGGAGCGAATCGTTCTTCCATTCTTTTTGAACGACCATTTCCCTGGAGACTATGTTAAGGCATTGGCGGAGGGTAAGATCGAGGTAGTGGTTCAAGATACAGCAAGATTCGGCGGCGTGGACGAAGCAGAGACCGGAAGCCCTGTCCAGAGTGGCTACTTTTCGTTCTTTAACAGGAGGAAGAAGATGACGACGCCAGCAGTGGGGACTCATGGCCATGCAGTCGACAAAATGTTATCCAGGAGACCATCATACGCAGAAAGTGGCAACGGGCCGTTTATTCCCATGGAACCGCTATCTGGCGACATCGACAGTGGGTATGGAGCAGAGAATTCTATCGCGGACAAGGACTTGTCGAAGGCCCGTCGAAGGATCGTGAAATATACTTATCGCCAAGACGGTGATGATGACGAGGACTCGTATCATGGCAATGGTTCTCGTCGATCCATATACAGAGATAATGACATGGAGGGAGAGATGCGCTGGAAGCAGCTGGCATTGGAGCCCGAGCCAGAACGACAGAGGCATTCGAAGCGCCGGTCGCGCTCTTCGTCGCAATCGCGGTCGAGTAGGAACTCTATGAGGATGCAGAGGACCAGGAGAGGGAGCGTCGGTCAGAGACAACCTCGTAATCAGGTTTCGACGTTTGAGTTCTCATAGAAAGACCTCTCGAAACATTTGCTCTGTGTGAAGGTGTATAAAGAAATAATAAAGCTTGAGCAAGCTGTTTGAAGGTCAACAACAATGATAAAAGAACGTGGTCATTAAAAGATCCTTGTGATATATTGGATGGAGCTCCGAGAGATGCGCCATAATGTATGTTCAGGAGCTACGGTCAACGCGTTTGACCCACAAACGCGCCTCGCGAAACGCGGTCCTGAGCAATGAGAGCCCTCTCCTCTTCTAAGGTGACTCTCTTCTTCTAGACTATGGCGACGCGGCATATAGCCTGATCATTTATCCATCACCTCTTCCACTTGCCCTGCACCTGAACATCCTTTTCGGCACGCCTGAATCTTCGCATTTCTCCGCCCGACTCTTGGTTTCATGGCAACATTTGCAACGTGTACCGACTTGCATCGCCATGCGTCGACGCACCATGCAGGACTCGCCGCCATCTCCTTCTGCGCCAGCGACCATACCGACGATGAATTTCATGGTGTCCCGCCTGCGGCTTCATATATTTTTGGAAAGTGTCAGTTCTTGAAGGTACTACTCGATTGATAGCAATTTCTCCAACCGCAGTGCTTTCAAGGGTGCATTTCATTTGATGCCTGACGACTGAGTGGTATTTACACCTCCTTCTAACTCGCAGGGTCTCTCACATCTGAACCTGTGCGAGTACTTGGATGTCATCAAAGGGAAGCGAGGTACGAGACGACACCACCCCGGCTCACGATCCTTCATGTCTACGTGCAAATACGTTCCACTTGATGAATAACAAATTATATGTGTCCATTGAACATATGTAGATCGCATGTTTGTTGTCCAAGAGCACTATACCACTTCATTCAAGAGTATCCGCAACGAGCTTGACAGTGAAGAAAAACAAGGGGTGTCGAAAGGGTAATCCGCGATGACAATGCAGGAAAACCAAATTTGCTTCTTCAAAGGCGATCTTTCCTACTCTCTCGACTAATGCCATCGTCACTTGTTCTGTCTTTACATGTAGGCAAGATATTACACGCATCCGATCATGGGGAGCGCAGATTTTAGATGCGCTGGCGTACCTCAACGCTCATGGGATAGTGCATCGGAATCTTTCGCTCGCAAATATCTTGCTGACCGTGGATGGATCTGTCAAGCTGTGGAACTATGGACTCTACAGCATGACTAAAGGAGGTTCCTTGGTGCAGTTTTCGATCGGAAATCCACATTACCTCTCACCTATCACTCTTGGGCAGCAATTTACTTCAGGTTTACAGGATTATTCGGTACGCTCAATCATCTGTTCCATGGACATGAAGAGGGGCCATCGTACAATGCTTTGCAGAATACGGGAGCCTGAAGCAGGACCTGACTCAGACGTCTAATATTTTGAACCCAACCTCTTCCTTTAGGTCGATGTATGGTCACTAGGAGTCGTTTTGACAGAGATGTTTCTCGGGGAATCATTTTGGCGCAAGGACAGGCTAGACCTGGATGAATTGATGGCGTCACTTTTCGCCCTTCGGAAACGTTCTGTGAAGACGAAGAACTGGATTGAAGACTGCCCGGAGAGCATTGGCATCAATCCTATCGTTCTAGAATTTCTTCAAACAGGTCAGAGACCGACTCAAGCGGAGAATGAGGCTAAAGTCTCAGATAAGGAGAGCGACCTACAGGAACTAGTGGCATTTTTGAGGGAATGCTTAAAGCTGGGACAACCGACCAGCCAAGAGCCGGAACAGATGCGGAACCATGCGTTCTTCAAGCCCTACGATCTTTTGGATGACAACAGCTCATCAGGACTGAGATCAAAGCTGTGGCATCAGAAGCCATATATCCAATCTTCGTTTTTACCCGATTTCGAAGGCGAGGTTGAGCGATTACGTCAAGCAATTTCTCAAGGACAACTGCACAATGGATCAGCAGTGAGTCCGATCAAACAGGAACTCCTGCGGAAACTCCCATTACCACAGGTGTTCTATCTCTGGAAATTAGCTGGAGGCGACGTGGAAGCACAGTTCCGGAGAAATGGACGTCTTGTGGGCACGCCCGCGATCCAACTGCTCCCAAAGGTGGTAAAGGTTGCAGAGGCCAGAGATGAACGTCCACCTGCGCGGGATATTGCTGACCTGTTTTCGGATCTTCCCTGCATTTTACCGCTCGAGAATCTGGAAGCAGAGATCCTGAAATCGATCCACGAGCCCAACAAAGGCCAGTTCTCATGGGACACGGACTATTTCTTGTTCTCGGATCCGGACGAAATGAACTTTTTGCAGAGCACGATGGACGATGACAAGGACAAGGAAGCTGGCAGCGGCAAGGAGGATGCATTCTTATACCCGGATTCGATGCGCGCCCCTGCATCCAAACAGCCATTTTCAATACAGTCAGGGTTGACTGCAGGAGAAGGAGTTCTGCATCAGGGAGCGCCCTCGATAGCGCAGCAACCCATCAGGACGCGCGTCAAAGTTCCGCTATCGATTCGGGAGAAGGATTTGGGATACCAGTATCAGCGGCTGTCTATGTTCACGGATTTACTGCTCCAGTATCCAGCCTCTCGGACAGAGATCTTGCACCATTCAAAAATTGACATCCCGCCATTAATTCGCGGCAAAGTCTGGGCGGCGATCCTAGGAGTTGTAGGCGACTATCATGAGGTATATAATGGATATGATAAGCACACGGAAAAGCCAACTGACCGACAAATCGACTTGGGTATGAGAATTGCTGTTTATTGCGCGATTGTTCGATGTGGTCACTATAAGGCTATGGAATTTATGGGAATATTATGATTTTTTGTCGTAGATGTACCAAGGTGCCACCAGTACAATCAGCTCATGTTTTCTCCTGCAGGACACGAGAAGATGAAGCGGCTGCTCAAGTGCTGGGTTGAGGCGAATGAAAATCAGGTTTATTGGCAGGGTAAGTTGGCGTATTGCTGCTTTTTTATGTTGGTCACTTTCAGATCAGAAGAATTGTAGACTCATATTGCTTTTTTTTTTTTTTGCATAGGTCTGGATTCCTGCTGCGCGCCATTCTTGACGCTTAATTTCAACGATGAGGCACTGGCATTTGCTTGCATCCAGTTGTTTCTGCCAAAGTTCCTCAAAGACATGTTCCTGCACGATAATTCGCAGGTCATTCACGAGTATCTTGCAGTATTCAGGCACTTGCTGTCCTATCATGATCCGGAGCTTTCTAGCCACCTGGATCACATTCGATTTATTCCGCAACTTTATGCCATTTCTTGGTTCATGACTCTTTTTACTCGTACGTTTCGATGCCATCACGAACTCGCAAGATGTCTATTGTCGCTTACTGGCCTGCATTTATACTCAGAAATCCTCTTGTTTTCGCCTTCATTGTTATGATTTTATAGATATCTTCCCACTTGACAAGATCTACCATCTCTGGGACAAGATCCTTGTTGGTCCCTCTTCACTACCACTCTTTGCGGGTATTGCCATCTTGCAGCAGTTTCGTCAAGAACTTCTTCGTTCTGAGTTCAATGAAGCGATCGGTATATTTTCAGAGTCTTTTCCAGAGATGGATATCGAAAAGTGTATCGAGACTGCGCTGGCGATGTGCAGAATCACTCCGCCATCGACGTGTTGGCTATCGTATGATAAAGAATCAAGAGAGATGAAGAAACAAATATCCGCTGGAATCAATGGGGATATTCACCATGGATCATCGTCAGCAACACTGCCCTCGGAGCAAACTAGCCAGAGCAGCAGGGCATCGATAGATCAGGAGCCGGGAAGATTCAAGGAAATAGAAAAGCGGCTATCTGGAGGGGTAGGGGGCACACATACAACTGGGACGCTACAACATTGGTGGGAGGAGCCTCTGACGATTGAGGCCATGAATGCCGAGTTAGCGCCTAGGATCCATTGGTCAGATTTCATACGTTTGCGGTTGCAGGCCATGGTGATTGATATTCGGCAGGAGCAAGAGTTCCGGAACGGTCACTATCCGCTTTCGATCCAGATGAACCCAGGACAGCTGGACCTGCTAGTGCATATTCTGCAAAAGCTGAAGCGGAAATACTTGGTGGTCATTGCCAATAGAGGCGACTCTGGTCCTGAGGTAAGGAAGAACCAATGCAGTCTCGCCTTTTGTGTTTGCCGAATTAAAAGAACATGTACTTATTTTGCTCGTTTCTTCTTAGTTCGCGTCGGCACTCGTACGTCGTGGGTTTTCAAGGGTTGCGCTGTTAATGGGCGGTATTGATGCTTTGCGGATCGCGGAACCCAGCAATGCGACTATATTGGGCGCATCTCCCGCTTCTCCTTCGCTTTCGAGCACCAACACGAGCAACACAGCAGCGTCAGCATCGTCATCATCAACGACGACAATGATTGTCACGACGCCCACGATCTGTTCGTGTAGAGTCATCCGTCAGTTGATTACTGTGCATAGCAAGATCAAGGAAGAAGTCGTTGTGCACAAGTGCAAAACCCCGTTCACTCAAAAAAAGATGCGGTCGACCATCTTATCTTAGAACCCCCACTCGGCTCAGATAAATCAGAAAAGAACTAAATCAAATTTTATTTTTTTATTTTGCATTAATGTACTGTACAATGGTTTTTCGTGCGAGATAATCGATCTATCCTATGCAATTAGCGAAGAGAAGAAAAAATGCAAAAAGAGAAAAGAGAGTGAAAAGGATTGGGAGCGCAAAACTTTTTTTTTTACAAAGTAGTGGCAGGACCAGTGGGGACGATCGGTGTGGGGACCGAAGGGACTGCCTGGGTCTGAGCACGCTCCTTCTGCGCAATGTAGCGCGACTTGAGCTCCTCCCACAGCAGACGACGCTCAATAGCAACACCTCCAAGGACTGAGGCGTTCTCCTGAGCACGACGGATCAAGTACGGGATAACATGGTGAATGGGTCCGTAAGGGACATATTTGTAAATGCCGTATCCATGCTGACCTAGGGTGTACGAGATCTGGTCGCACATGCCCATGAGCTGACCAAATATGACCAGTCCAGAAGTCGGCGTCAACTCAAGCGCCTGCATGCGTTCACAAGTGCGGATGACCGAGTCCTTGTTATGAGAAGCAACAAACAGGACAACGGGCGAGCTCTTCAGCGACAAGGTCTTGTTCTTGCTGTCCTGGATCAATTTTTGCTTCTGCTGGGTCATCTTCTCCAGCATGAAATCCACTCCTGCGTTGTAGGAGGTATGTGTGGCCTGGATACCGTCGCAAATAGGATCCTGCAAGCCCAACTCCTGAGCCCTCCTGCGCTCGCTGACCATGTAGGCACCGCGGACGAGCTTGGCTGCCAGAACGTAGCCATTACGCTGGGCACGGGTATAATCCTGCTGAAGACGGCCCAGGGCATCCTTGAGGTACATCTGGTATGTGTTGAAGACCAGGGGTCCATCTACATGGGGCTGGTCATTGTAGTTCTCCATCAGGTGCAAAGCTACATTATCGATCGCAGCCTGGAAGTATGACTGCTCGGCATCAATCATGAGCCGGGTGTGAGTCTTCTTGGCCTGGTCGCACAGCCTCTCCATGCGGACCAACAGGCGCTTGTAGTCCTCGAGATCCTCCTTGACCAAACCGGGTACTTGTGCACCCACTGTTTCCTCGCCCATAAACAGCGCGCGGGTCTCGTCACGGTTCAACGAGACGGTCGAGGCAAAATCGACCCAATCGACCATGCCATCTTGGTCCTTGTCCGCCTCCTTGAACAGCTGCTCGATGACGACGTCCAAGGACTGACCCTTGTTCAGGCTAGGGCTCGGAAGCATCTTGACCAATTGCGTAAACTCCTCCTTGGTTACTTTGCCATCCCTATCCTTGTCCACGATCTTGAATCGACATTCGACTGCCTGCAATGTGGACGAGACCTGCTTCAGCAGAAGCGGTGAGCTCATGGCGGTTATCTTGATAGCGGTAAAGGACTTTGACAAGGTCGAAGCGGTCTCGATGCATGTGCTGATCTGCTGAGCAATGTTATCGGCGCTCTTGTTGAACCGGGCACGAATCTCACTGGGGGTCTGGTTCGCCAAATCGGACTCGTCCAAATCGACCTCGATCGAGAGATCCAAAATCGAATTGATACCGGCACTCTTGAGGGCATTCATGGTCCCGAGGCAGTCGTCAGCTGACTCGCCACTAATAAAAAAGACAGCAAGAAAGAAAGAAAGAGATAGATAGACACATGGTCAGCAACACAACACATGAATTTTACTAATCGTGCTAGCGAAGAAGAGTTGAGTTGTTTGTCTATCTATCCACCTGCTTGGGCAGAAACCCCATGATCCTAGGAGATTGTCCCGCACAGCCACTGACATACACATTGTGTACCCATACTCATCGACACACATTCCGGTTGCCAACCTTAGTCCCAAGGGACCCCTCTGACCCTGCATGTCCTCCACGGACTAACAGAAAATGAAGGGGTCTGACAGGACAAGGAGAACGGGTACAGGACGCTAAACCATTCATAGTCTGAACCCAAATGTAAAAAACTGTCGTTGGGACTTGGATCTCCGTCTGCATTCCAATGCAGTTTCCAAATTTGGTGCCGCCGTGGGTGTAAGAGCGCTTCCTGACTCATTCACCCACCCCCTCACTCGCTTGCTGTCCTCTCTCTCTCTCTCTCTCTCTCTCTCTCTCTCTCTCTCTCTCTCTCTTTCTCTCTTTCTCGCTGTCGCCCATATACAAGACACACGCGTCCATTCGGATTGCTAAGACACCCGAGCCAATAATGTTCAAATGGCGGATAAAAAGGCTCCCCACACGGTTGCAAAGGTCTCTGTCCCGCAACGATATCCCCAACAATCGATGGCGTACATCCTACATATTCTATATGGAATAGAATAGACTTACCCGCAGAACTGGGCAAAGAAGGTCTTGCGGACGACCCAGTAAACGGGTGAGGTCAAGTGCATCATTTCTGCCAAAGAAATCAGCTTCGGCGCCAGGTCGACCAGCAACCCAAACGTACAAAGCTTGTAGACCATCATCGACAACATCAAGTCCGCGGTCGACTTTTTTTCAACACCGATGCGGTTGTGCTCGTCCTTGAGGTCGGTAACGACATCGCCACCCGTGGCGCCAGGCACGGTATTGAGATAAGCACTCGATGCCTCCATCTGGGGAGCCTTGGCGAGCTGGTTCAGGACCGTGGCCGAAGTAGCGAGGGCGATAGTGCCTCCGATGGCGACCTTTTGCCAGAGGGGCATCATGGGGACCGCGGCCGTGGCAGGGAGGACATTAGGGGACGAATGAAGGGGTGAAGACGAGGAGGAAAGGAGGCGAGAGAAGGAGGAGGGAGAAGATTTTTTCGCCTGCGGCCGGCCGTGGGAGAGTAAAGTGTGATGATGCAGAGAGCGCTTGGGGAGCGCAGACGAAGAGAGGACGGACTTTGAGGCAATAGAGGAAGAAGACGGGGGCGGCAGTCGCATAGAAGTGAGGACGCGGGTAGCCATTGGTTTGCGGGGAGGCGATAGAAAGGGAGGGAAGGAACGACGTATAGGTGTGAGGTAAAGCTGAAGAAGAAGAAAATAGAAACAGGACAAGCTGTTGTTGCTCGCTCAGTCGTATTTATACTCGACCAAGGGAGCGGGCAGTGAAAAGCCAGAGACCAATCATACGCGACTTTTCGGAGAGGAAAGGGGGGATGCAGCAAGGAACACAGGGACGAGGCAGGTCGTATGTGCATGCGATGCACACCTGTGTCCCAGCACGAATGAGCCAGAGACCACATGTATCCGTTGCCCATTGCTGCCATGTCCCGACGTCCAAGGCTCCAAGGAAGACCCCCCGCCAAGCTTTATTTATTCGTTTGCCATACCATGACCCCATCTCGCATGTTTGTACACGAAGTAACAACAATCGTGGGATGATGCATCAAAGAAAGAAGGAAGCTTTTTTTTTGTGGGGTACAGAACTAAACGAGCGGTTCTGCCGTCTCCACCTCATGACATTATGACGACCAGGGTTCCACTATTTTTGCCACTAAAACACATGCACTGCAGTAATTCCCCCCCATGGACGTGTCTACGCGACAACAGCACCATTATTTCATCAGAATGTGTCTGAGACTCCTAGTCATCCACGCTAGTGCAACCCTATACGAAACAGGGCCCTTTTTTCAAGAAAAAAAAACCCGCTTTGCGGTTCTGTTCCGTTTCTCGGATCGATCCAGATTTGTACAGCCAACGAAAAGCCATTCACTCGACAGTCGAGTCATAGAGCGAACTGTTCTTTAAATTCCGCTCGATGGATGGTAAACCGCGGCACAACAAACTGCCATGCCCATCTCGTAAGAAGCTGAGATTCGTATTTGTAGATCCGCTTTTCGAGTGTGGGGTAAAAAAAAAAAAAATGGGCAGCAAGGGAACCAACTGGCGTCGCAGATGATGCCAGAACACGAGTTCCTTAATTCGACAGTAACCGTGATCTGGGTCTGATGGCTCTTTCCTTTACCTTGTGGTGGACCTGGTTCCCTGACTGTTCTGCCTTGCTGTATGTGGGTATGAAAAAAAAAGAGTAATGCACACATGTTCAGTGCGTTGGGTAAGGGTTTCCAAGCACGTTTTGCTCTCATCCAGGCCAAATGCGGAAACCTTCGCATTTTTCTTCAACGAGGACTTTGTCGCTATGTTTAGTCCGTGTGATTTTTTAATTGATTGTGGCACGTTGGACTCTGTTGAGAAATATGTCTTAATCCAAGGCAAAGCGAGGTAAGGCAAAGCATCTGCAGCTTTTGTTTGTTTTGATGCTGCACAAGATGTTGTTTACACTCAATTGCTGCTGCTGTTTTTTTTTTTTTCCCACCGCCACCATTCCCTTCACTGTCCTGCTTTTCCATTTGTGCAAAAAAAAGTTAGGTATAGAAAAATGTCATCAACAGGGCCCTGATTGGCACCATCTCTTTATTCTCTAGGCATCCGACACCCACAACAAGGCGTTCTCAAATCTCACGGTTACGCCTCGTAGCTGCAAAAGTACTCTTTACGCCGAAAGTACCTCTCGAGCGCACTCCCCTCCCCCTCCCCCTCCCCTTTTCCTTCGGATAAAATTCGTCAGCTTTACATCCACCAGAAAAAGAAAAGTCGCGCATTTTGTAAAGAGAGAGAGAGGACTATATTGGGTCACAATAGAACCACAACGCCAGGAATCAGAATTTTGGGTGTGAAAGTACATGTGCAGTACAGCGGTGACTATATGTTGATGGGTCATCGCTATTTTGAAACCCGGAAAATAAAGATCGTCGCTACTTGAAAACGCGCTTTGCCCATTTTTTTTTTTTTTTTTTTTTTTTTCGCCGTTCTGTCGTCTGCCGGTAAAGAATGCATTTTGAGGACCCGATGGCACGCTCTTTTTGAAGAAAAGGAGTATGGCGTCGATAATTCATGAATGGATGACCCCGTCGCAGCCAGATGGCATCGACAGTTTCAGTTAGACATGCCTGCATGCATGGAGCGCATATTGCTTTTAAGTCCTTTCTATGATACTTTTGTTCGTCCTATATTTTTCTTTTTTTTTTTTTAATTCTACTTTTCGATAGTTTCAACTCCAGGAATCGTTTTTTCTGTATGCATTTTCTTCCCCTCCTTTTTATTACTGATGATGTTGGATGAATCGACAATAGTAATAATATTTTTTTTTTGCTTTTTCTGCATGTATGATAATGAAAAATACTAGCAAAGACTGCCAATAAATGTGCTTGTGCCTTATCGAAGACCGTGGTAAATTCTTTCATGCTTTTGTCGGCCAGCCCGCACTATCGACCGCCGATCCCTGCAACTCCTCCCATGTTCATCGCTAAGTTTTCAGAAGGAAAAAAAAAAGACATTATCGTTAGAAACCATCGCAGAAACATCCCTGCTATGAAAAAGAGAGAGAGAGAGAGAGAAACACAAAGCAAAAGTCGTTGTTCTTTTTTTTTTTTTTTTTTTTTTCCTCTGCTGTTATACTTACTAAAATTTGAATCCAGCAACCTCTGCATCACCTCCGCCTTCCGTTCCTCTTCCGCCTTCTTCTTATCCGCATCCGATCCAGAACTCATGCCGCTCTTCCCACTCTTCACACTCGCCCCGTCCGAATGCGCTGTGATCGGGGACACACCCATGCTCGCGAATGTCGGGATTTTCTTGTGAGAATTGCTGGTCGAGCTCCCTCCAGACTTTGTGCTCGCCCCCGAATTCGACAATGCCGTCGTGTTCGCCTTGTTCTTTGATCCCGCAAACGAAAAGAACGAGGTCTTTGTCGCAGGTGCAGAGGGAGGCGTCGATGGCACGGCCGCCATAGGTGGAGGTGGCGAGACCGGCGGAGGCGTCAATGGCTCGGTGTTCCAGTGCTGTGCAGACATCCCCGGTGCACCACCTTGAATCGACCCGCGATGGCGACTCATCGGGTGCGGTAACGCTGTACCCTGTGTCGAGGGGCGGTTGTAATCCGGTGAGGGTGGCCCATTTAATGAGGTTGGTGAGAGAGGTGGAGGAGGATTGGGCTGGAAGTACGAGTGCATGTCTTGATGGTGCTGCGACAGGAAGGGTGAATGCAGTGGTTGCTGTTGTGGGTTATAGACCCCACCGTTGCTGTTATGGTGTGGATCTCCAGGATGATGATGCTGCTGCTGTCCCGGCTGATGATGCGGGTTGATTTCGTTGGAGGTCCAGTTGAGATTAATGCTCTGGCTCATGGCTTGTTGTTGCTGCAGCTTGAATTGCTGCTGCTGGAGCATCTTCTTGGCCGCAATCATGACCTTGAGCGATCGAATCTGAAGTCCTGTCTGCTGCGACAGTGCTGCGGTCTCATAGACCATTGCTGCCGTAGACATATTGAGCATTTGGTGCAGAGCGTGCGTAGCCAGATCTCGGAGTCGATCGAGGCCGTACATGTCCGCGAGGAGTAGCAGCTGTGAGAGAACTTGCGAATGATGCTGTTGTGCCGTCACCAGATGATCGGTGTAGAGGTATTGTAGGAATGCCAGTACCACGGTGTAAGGCTCTGGAAGCGACAACGTCCTCTTAGGAGACAAGGTTGGGTCGTACTCCGTCCCATCTTGTTTGCACTGCGCTGCATCCTGATCTTCCTGCTCTCTTAATAGCGCTGCGAAATAGGGCCAACGCGTTGCCAGTACGGCCGAGTTGACGGGGATGCGCTGCTGGTCCTGTGTCAGAATCTCGAAATCCGCCATCGACGGGTCGTTCAACAGGCTGAGACCAAGCTCCTGCGCTGTCTGAGTCATCGTCGTGGGTGGGTGCTGATAGATTCCAAACGCCTCCAAATCAACAATCGAGACATGATCGAAGTTCGTCTGTCGGTTCTGGTAGTCGTCTGCGAGGCTGCGTGTCCGGTTTCCAAAAACCAGGTAAGCATTCGAGTTTTCCATCAACACGCCACGATTCCAGGAGCCGGTGCTAAAGACGGTACCGGTGTCGATACGTGTCCATACAAGACTCGAGAGATTAAGCGACCAGATGCTGAATGACTGCTGATTGGGTGTGAGGTAAGTTCCTGAGAGTAAGAGATGTTGTCCAGCGATAGCGCCTGTAGGGAAGCGCAAGCCAGGCGGGAGCAGGTTGCCGGACATAGACTGCGAATGATCTTGGGTGTTGAACTGTGGTGGCGTCAGGACCTGGAGCTCACGCTTGACATCTGTAAAGTTGAAGTTGGAGTAGATGTAGACGGGATGCTCTTCCTGCTGGGCTGGAGCCGACGCCATGAACTGGGACAGTCTGTATATGGATGACCGTTGGTCGGAGGTCGAGGGAGATGAGGCGCTAAAGCCGCTTGATCCTGCTGAGAGACGCGATATCGGGCCGCCCTTTTTAGATATGCCCATGTTGGATGAACTTTTACGGAGCGATGGTGTGTAGTGCAATGAGGTATTCGACGGCGTCTTGCGCAGGTACGACGTTGGGAAACCATCGTTACTTGACAGCGTTGGTGAAAGTGTTGGCGAGAGCGTAGGCGAACTAAGGTCTCCGACTTCGCTACCAATGACAGGTATAGACGAGCCCTGACCGCTGGGGCTGACAGCGATCGAACGATAGGAGCCGCAATGCTTCTCAAAGGCCATGGAGGTGACCCATTGTAGACTATCCAGGTCGAGCACGCTGACTTCTTCAATGTACTGGTTATTGATGTCCTGGCCACCAATGATGACCAGCTTGCTGCCGGTCAAACTGCTCAGGTGTGCATATCTTGGTTTGGGTGCATGTGGTGACGACGGGATGCGAACCTGGCGCCACTGGAGGAATTCGAGATCCAGGATCTTGATATCGTCAAATACAATCAGGTCCTGGGGCAGGCCCTCTGGTGCGTTACCTGAGGGGCCCATACCGCCAAAGAAGACAATCGTGTTCTTGTAGGCATTGGCTGAATGGAAGTACCGTTCTGCAGGTGGTGCGCCCACCTCGTGCTCATCCTCTGCGCCAGGGTCGCCAATGGCTCTTGTAGGCAGGACATTGACAATGTCCGAGACATCTTGCCAATGAAAGTCGTTCAGGTGGAGGATATATAGCGAGTTGGTCATTTGGCGGGTCTGGATGAGTCGTCCACCAAACAGATACAGCTTGTCGTCGACTACTGTCATGGTTGCACCGACCAACGGAGGCGGGATATCGCCGGTCGTGATGCGCGATGTCGTTGTCAAGTCCGAGATGGACTGCAGACCCGGCGCTGGGGCTGGCATTTGAGCAACTGCGTGAATTATGTCGTGAGAAAAAAAAGGCTTCTGTGGATGCTATTGCTAGCTACCGGTGCTTTATCCAAGTCCTACTTATATGATCGAGGCAAATAAGAAGCGAGACCCTGTCGTCAAAAAGAGGTACCACTGCTTTGTACGGGCGCCGTAAGATACTAAAGGAGTCTAGATGGTTGGTATTAGCCCAGAGTGCATTTTATTAAAAACGAAGAGACGAGACCACCAGTATCGGGCGGTTTGTCAAGAGGTGGTAGAATTAATCCCGATGAGCGAACAAACGTCAAAGCGGCCACACGCGCTCAAAGGACAGAATAAACAACAGGGCCAATGATAAGAGCTCTCAAAAAGAGAAAGGAGAAGAAAACGTTAACCGTAAACCATGATAACAGACAATGACGGTCGCCTTCCAACTGAACTGCCACGAGGCAAGCATTTTCTACTATCCTCCTCAATTGCACCCGGTTCCCTCCCTGGCATAAACTGTTACTGAAGTGGAACAAATACAAGGTCCAGGGCATTGCCACCGATGTACTATAGCATATTATACTTCTCTCCGCACTATTACTCCGTAGAGCTGAAAAACGCGCTCAAGAAAGGACCTGTTACAAGATGCTTTTACGGATAAAACAGTCAAGGGACGGAAGGAGCTGAAGAGCAATGGGCAATGTATGATGGATAAAGGTGTGCACTTAATTTTTTTTTTTTTTTTTACCTTGAAAAGGCAGTGTGAGGGATACAGGGACCTAGGGACCTGAAAAAGGTTGAGCAGTACGAATGAAGAATGGAGAAAACTTTTTTTATAATTGAATGAGCAGAGGAGAGAGGGAGTGAATGGACGGACTATGAACAAATGAAGGAGAAGGGCGAATGAGGGATGTTGAGATGAAGAAGTCGGTGGTGTTTGAGGAAGAAGCATCTGGGAGGATGTCGTTTATTTTGTCGGGTAGCGAAAAAGAAGTAAAGGCACCAGGGTGAGAAGAGGTGGGAGGCGCAGGAAAGACTAATGAAAAAGGACAAAGGCCACTGGAAGACACATGTAGGGCCAGGATAGACTAAGAACCAGAATGAATGAACGAGCTCGATTGTAACACAGGCTCAAGGAGAGAAGATAGTGCAGTTGACAGCTTGTTCAAACACACCACACATTCAGTGAGCAGCACAGGAATTATTACTCACTCTCTTACAACTCGGGGCAAGCACGACTAAACATAATTATTTGATACTTGAGCTAAATACTATAAACCAACCTGCGGCTATGCCTTGATTGTTATTCTCGAAGACATTAAAGAGGTTCTGCACCTCATGGATAAGTGGGGTTGCGGACGAAATGAGACGAAGGAAGGGGAAAGGGAGAGGCGCCGATTAATGTATACTCGATTTGCATGCGCCTTGAAGTACTTTAATACTGTGTTGCATTTGTTTGTTGCATCAACAACACTCGCTCGCAATTTGCAGAGAGTTGTACAGGTTGAATCCATCCATGAATACATCCCTTATCCAACTACGGGGACACTGTCATTGGCTGCGTAAAAGAGCGCAGGCGAGTGACCTTGCATGCAAAGGTGGCCCTAAAGAACGCATGCACGTCAATGGCTATCCTGCTATATCGCTTCAATTTTATGACATCTTCAAGCCTCCATATGTCCTGCTTGGTCTAGATGTGTAACTGCGTTCAGGTACTATTTTTTTATACCTCTGCTTTGATATGACGCCCAAGGTCTTGATGACTGCAATCTTCTTCAGAATTGGTCAAGCAAACAGAAGTCGACCTATGAAACCCCTCCCAGGTTCAGGAACGAGGATCGATTGATTGTCGCAAAGACTGGCAACAAAAAACACATATGCTCGAACGAATAGAATTGCGAGCAAAAGCTGCGAATAAACATGAGCTCGGCCGTATTTTTCCAGCCATTTGATTCACCCAAAACCACCGCCGTCGTGTCCCCGTGTGCAAGAGAAATTGCCTGCAAGAGGAATGATTTTCAACACCCAAACCATTTGCTCGATAGTGAACAGCACTTCTACTCGGATTGGCCATGAAAGAGGGCGTGCATTGGCCGCAGCCAGCTATGCTTTTCCTCCATGAATGCATCCAAACTTTCAATGGCTAAATTATCAACACAACTTCTAGGCCCCAAAAGGACGGATGCTGCTCTTCCTCGCACTAGAATCAAAAGAGCGAGTTTGTCGCCCTAGCTTGCGAGATACAATTTCCCACCGTTTCTTTTGAGAATGGCGATTTAAGTTGAAAGAAAGTGGATCAAGACTCTGGATTATGCTTTGTAACAAAGTACAAATCTGCTGGGAAAGACAGCTGCTTCCTTTACAGAACATAAAACACACATCGAAAGATCGCCATCCTGTCCTGGCTCGCATTTTCTTTGATGATGAAGAGGTACTTGGTATCTGAGCAGTGAAAGAGATTTGCATGGGTAGAGCAGTGGAGGAGATTTGCATGGGTAGAGCGTTGTGCCTCGCTATTCTTGGTTTCCGTTGATGAATCCGACGTTCAGCTACTAAATAGGTGCTAGCATTACCCCTCGCTCTTAGGCCCCCTAATTCTTGGCCTGCATCTGCATAGCATTGGGCAGAGTCCCTTCCTGTGTTTAGAGATAGACAGAAATAACCTTCAGTCACGAAAAAGAATAGATAGCTCGAATAAGGATCCTGCGAAGTAAATGATGTACTCCTGCAAATGCCCACAATCAGCACTTTAGACTTGATCGAGTAGATGGAAAAGGTTAAGAGTACGAAGACGGCCATCTATGCCGCATCGAAAGAACCATAAAGAAGCAGCCGTATCCATTGCTCACACATGGCAACAACCTCATATTGAAAATTTGAGGACGCTCTTGGGCCATTACAGTGAACAAAATGAACGCGTTCCGTAAAGAAGCACGAACGATTTACATTATTATTAATTAACTAAATTATGTTTTGTGGTGGATGTCTCTATGCAAAAAACGATGCCAGACGACTAGCGTAGTAAACCAGCAGCAAAAACACGATCGCGATCTTGACTTGCGCCGGCGAACCCGTCGTTAGTGTCTTCAGTCCATGCCCCGCAGCCTTCAGCGACGCACCCACCATCTCTTCTTCCTTCGGTTTCTGCTCTCTATTCTTGATTGACACGGGCGAAGCTCTCTCATTAGAAGCAGAAGATGGAAATGAGGCGGAGAGCAAGGAGCTCGCACTTGTCAACACCAGCGCCAGCTCCATCTCATCCTCCGACAACTCATCACGAGCTTCAACAAACTCGGCCTCGTCGCTCTCATACTCCGAAGAGCTCAGTGCTTCCTCAACAACCACTGTCTGATGATGCTGTGCTGACACAATTTGGACATTATGCTCCTTGACCATGTTAGCGTTGGTGCTTCTGCCAGAGTTCTGGTTCATCATCGCAAGAGTGTCCAGTGGGCTAGACGAAGAGGACTTGTCAATCGTGTCCAACGAGAACGTCACACGGTTCTCGCGGCGCTTGACTCCACCAAGAGACAAGGACGAGGTACTGTTCTTCAGACGGCTAGTTGGTTGGAACGTCGTTGTAGACACTGATGCCGGTGTGGATACTGATGATGTTGTTGTGGGGGAAGACGCTGTTGGCGAGGGGGGGGTGGTCGCAGACGACGAGGAGTCTCGGGGAGCGAATGTGGGCATCATGGGTGAGGGCACCGGAGTCGCTGCCGGTGATGCCTGGGAACTCAGCAGCAAAGAAGTAGCTTCGTCCGCCTTTGCTTCCTTGGGTGACACTAGTGCAGTTGCTGGTGCAGGCTCCGGCTTTTCGGTGGTCGTCACCGATACTGTCTCGGTCTCAGGTGCGATCGCAATTGCGACAATACTCAGGCTGCTCTCGGGTGCAGCATCCTTGACGGGCGAAGTGGGGTTGCCTCCCGAAAGCACGGTCGTAATACTCTCCATTGGGGCCGCAAAAGGCACAGCTGAATGTGGAGGTCTCATCTCCGTTGGAGAAGCCATGAGCACTGGAGTAACAACAGGCGCATGTGGGATATGGAAGAACCCCAGCGTTGGGCTCCCCAGTGGGGACTCTGGAATAGAGATGGGCCTGGGGCTCATCTCCGTGGCGCTTGCAATGCTAGCGGACATGTTGGCGGGCAATGGTGGCGCATCGATAGGAGCGAGATATGGCGAGATCGGGATCGAGTATCTGCTCAAGGAGCTCGAACGACGTGGCAAGGGCGGGGGAGGTGTGCCTGCGGGCAGGGTCACGATACTGCGAGGTGTGCGGCCTCGAGACCGGCTTCTGTCAGAACTCTGCGAGGCCTTGGACGCAACGGATGCCTGCGAGTCTGGCCGGACCGAGGAGGATGAACTAAAGGCGTTTCCTTGTGTACTGCTTGGGGTCGCATTGCTGGCACTTCTTCTCGTACGGCCAACGATTGATTGCTTCATATCGGGATCAATATCGCTATGCCTTACGCTATCGTTCTTGGAGCGGCTATTCTCAGCAGCAGTAAGAGCAGCAGCAGCGGCCTCGGCTTCCTGCTTTTGCTCCTCCATTGGCTCGGATTTGATCAGGTTCTGCCCCTTCCTCGAAACTTGGGCGATGATGCTCTGACCTTCATGGTCCAATGTCGTCCAGACACGGACACCTCCAAAGTCAGGTGCCATCTCAACCCTGACAGAGGGATCATCGGGCTTGATGAAGAAATCGTATCCCTCCTTGTAAACCTTGCGTCCAATACGGACCTCGGTCCAGCCAGGAGCAGCCTTGTAACAGAGTTCGTAGAGGCCGACCTTGGGGTCAAAGGTGTCCAGCAATCTCGTACCAGAGATATGGGAGGCGAAGGGTGGATAGCCAGACTTGTTAATGAACTGGTTCAGTCGAGAGACAGCTGAGGTCATGCTCGCAGTCATGGACTTGACCACGGAAGATGGCAAGTTTCCTCGAATGTCAATCTGGACCACGAAAGTGACGTTCACGGAAACGGTGTTGCCTTGGCCGTCGAAAGTGGGGCGAAGCGACCAACCTGAAAGCTCGAGCATAGCACGAATGCGACCAGGATCCTCAGGGATGGTGGGATCAAGAACAGAGGTCGACACGTTGTAAAGGGCTGATGTCTGAGGATCCCTGTCAATCATGGTGACTCCCGCAAGATCGCGACCACTATAGCATATATAATTAGGACACGTTAGTAAACCTACGAGAATAGATGCTACGCGTGCAGGAAGTATAATGGCAATATTGCAACTTACGTCAAAGAACCAACGCCACGAAGAGTGACATGGAACAAATACTCGTTATGATTGAAGGTCTCTGCGATCGACATGTTCTCAAACCGCTCGTCCCAAATCTGTCGGCACCCAGACGATTCGATCACTGCATTGATTTGCTCGACAGTCCATCCACCGGTAATGGTTCCTTCACCTCGAAGCATGGGCAAACCAGCTCCAGAAATGACGCGAGAGTAGCTCTTGAAACCGTTCTCACTCGAGATGGCTCTCCAGCGATCCTCTGGACTAGATGCTAGGACCTTGAACATCGCCAGGGCCTTGCGTGCAGTCTCTGAATGTCTGTGAGGCAAGACCATCACGGGCGTAAAGAAGTTGAGCGAGGACCGGCTCGAATCAAGACTGGGTGCAGTTGAGTGACGCTTCATGGTCGTCGTCATTGTACCATTGGGTCCGGAGGGGCGAGTCAAGGACTGTAATGACACGTTAGGATTGCCGCGAATGGGCACGGCGTGGCTGTGTCGTGGTACAAAACCTGTGGAGCGACCAATCAGAGCGCTGTGGCGACGCGCCTCCATCATGGCCGAGGGAGACTTCATGGCAAAAGAGGACATGGCCAGGGAGCCCGAAGCCGGCGACGATGGCGATGATGGCGATGATGACGATGATTGCAACGATGGCGACAATTCGACAGGTTTTTGTAATATCTTTGGCATGCGCGGTACGACCTTGACTTCCGGCGTCTGTGCTGCATCGGAATCTGAGGTACCGTCCTTGTCATTGATGGATGCAGGTGGGGTGAGTGGTGGAGTGGTCGGGGAAATCATGCCTGTCGATGCTGTTGAGTCTGGTACGGAGAGCTGATTGCTGCTATCATTATTACTGCCGTTTCCGGAAAAGCTCTTCATCCTCGCCTCGGACTTTGGTGCCACTACTGGGATAGAGATACGCTTATTGTTTGTTGACTTTCTGGTATCGGGCTCATGAATGAATGTCCTGGAGGCATTGGAATGAGCACGGGCCCTCTCAAGCGATTTCTCTGGCGCACGTTCCCTCGGTCGTTCCTGGATCTGCTGCTTCAAGACGGATGGTTGCACACGAGAGTTCACGGCAGATGCGACTGAGGACTCGTCCTTCTTTTTCTGCGATCCATCAAATGCGGTGTCCTTATCAAACAGCGATAATGACTCCCCAAAAAGTGATGAGTTCTGCAAAAACGAGTTACTCTCCATGAATTCTTGGTTGAACAGCACCTTTTCTGTGGCGAAAGTGTTGCCCGTCGCTGGTGCTTTGGTCTTTACTGAACTCTGCGGCTTAGAGGATTGCTTTCTCTCCCGCCTGGAATTTGGTTCATCATCTGCGGATTCCACTGCACTATCATCCATGATATGGAGATCGTGTCTTGACTTAAAGGGACCAAGTGGGGCCAGGAATGAGGACTCTGACGGCTCATCGTCGTCCGATTCTGGTGGCAGCAGGAAAAGCTCTGGTTTGGCTGGCTCACTCAGACTGCGCTTGCGGTTGTGGGATTGCGCGCTGCTTGCGGTCAATGTGGGAGTGCTATTCTTCCTGAGGTACGTCTCGATCGTGACGATGGCCATGGCACGTTTGGCCAGGGACCGCCTTGCAATGAACTTTGGTAGCCTGCTCAAAAGGTCTGTATGGATCACATAAGTGATTTTTGTGATCGGAGGGTTTGAAGGAAGAGGCTGAATGATCCATCCAGCGAGGAAGATTGCTGCCCTGACTTTGCCCGAGACCGTAGGGACCTTGGTGGACTCGACAGAGCAGGCTGCAGAGTATATCGTTCCATCCTTCTCGGTTACTGTCCGTTCTACAAAGGCAAGGTCACGCATCCTGGAGGTTGGGGAAGGTGATTTTTTGCGGTTAGGAGGGAGGAATGGAGCAGAGAAGGGGAAGGCAAAGAGAAATTCAGAGTGCTTACTTTGCTGACAGTGTGCTCTTCATGACCATATACATGAGCATCGTTGCTTCGTCGTAGGTCTCAACACAGCTGAGTTCATCGTACCAGTCACTAAAAAAGTTAGATAGAGAATGAGGCGACGACAACGGTTAGGGTTGTTCGTTGTTCCTTTACCAGTGATCACAAGGCAAGCATCCAAAAGCAGCAGCAGCCGAAAAACGAGGGTGTCCATTGGAACCCCCATCTCATTAATTTGTGCAACATCACTGCCGACAGCGCCTTGCAGTCGTCGCGTCTCTCTCTTCCAATTAAATGTACGCGATTCATGCATAAAAAATAGGACTTACTCCCACAGCTTCCTGACACTAATAATTGCGAACACATCCTGGGCCTTGTATCCTCGGATAATGTGCTCTCCCTTAAATGCAGGATATCTACTTTCGACTTGTGAAGTGGGTATCGTTGTAGGACCTGTGGATTGAAATACAGTGCAGCCTGATTTATGCTTGTCAACCTTCTTCCATCCATTGGGCCCTGAGGCGACCTTAAGAAGCTCAATGGCCTGAACTCCTTGTTCGATATGATATTCCTTTGTCCGTTTCTGAGGGTCCGAAGTGTAGAATTGAGATCGAAGGCTCTCCATTTGGTTGTTGTAGTTGTCGGATTCGTCGCCGCTCATGGGATAGTCGATAATCTGGTTGATGTTGTTGTTGTAGGTATTATGTGTGTTGTGGCCGTTGATGATAGTAGCAATGGTATGGCTGTTGTTGTTGACGTGGAGCTGGCTTTTGTTCAGAGTCTTTTTGTGGTGCTGCTCCAGCCATTCGAAGGGCTCTTCACTGTCACTGAGGATCTCGGTGACAGGATCTTGATAACCAGCAGCTCGGACGCCCCTCGTCTTTTTCTTCTTTAGGGAAAACATGGTAGATGGAGTGTTTTGTGTACGAATGTCTTAGCGGACCGAAACGGGAGGAAGTAGAAGGTCGGGAAGAGATGGGGATGAAGAAAACGAAGTGAAGAGAGCAAAGACGGTTGGAGCGTGAGAGCAACTGTCTCTGAGTGAGCAGCAAGAAAATTCAGTGGTAGGGATAGAACTGAAGGATTGATAGACTGAATGTGTGCTCAGAATAATATTAACTCCAAGCAGAAAAATACCCCCTGTGGATTATTATTTATAACCAGTCTAGCCCAAGTCGTGCAGTGGTTTGGTTAATGAGCAACGCGATCAATTGAAAAAAAAAGAATATTGAGCGAGCAAACGGATTGGCCAGCAAAAGAGCTGTGTTGTATGTATCAAAGTAACCAACAGGGGTAAAAAAAATTCAGGGAAGGGTATAAGATAGGAGGCACTTGGTTGGATAGGTTCCAGACTGATGAGAAAAGAAAAATCAGGGCGAAGCTGAGAAAGAAGAATCCTGGTGATGATGCTGGTTGTCTTCTGGGCGCATTGTCTACTGTAGAATGATGTGCTGGGTGGGGAGTGTCTCCTGTATGGTTTCCACCGTGCACATATGTAGCTTGAAGGTGACAAACAGGGGCACGAAGATGAATGAGTGAGAGGGAGTAAGAGAAAGAGAGAGGGAGGGAGAAAGATGGCGATGCTTCGGAAGACGAATGAGGAATGGGGCGTTAGGGATGAGGTAAAGGAAAGACGAGGAGGAGACAGCTCAACCTCTGCGAAGGCAAAAGGAGAAATAAATGGACAGGATAGAAAGAGAAAGAAGACCACAGACACACAACTGTCGCGGGCGCGTACAAAGTGCAAGGGGGGAGAGAATGCTGCGCGAGAGAGAAGGGAGGAGGGAGGGAGGGAGGGAGGGAGGGAGGGAGGGAGAGAAAGCGATAGATGGGGAGAGGGGCGTAAGAAATGACGGTGGTGATGATGGTAAGATATGGAGAAGGGAAAGAAGGATGCAATGGGGGGCAGTGGGAAGGGGGCTCGTGGGCGGTGGTGTCGGCAGAGGAGAAAGATGAAAGAGACCATTGGCAACCTCATAAACAAAGGCTGCCCGGGATCCAGAAGAGGTTTGGGTTTACTTTTGGGCTTCATTCTCCTCCGGAGAAAATTATAGTTCAGCTGCAACTAAAAAACTGGAAAACAACACTAGACAGTGGTGAGTAGGAGTACTTTATGGCCCTCCTTTTTCTTCACCACCACCATCACCATCACCATTGCCATTGCCGTTGCTATTGCCTTCTGTCTCTCTTTCATCAGTACTTTGCATGTGTTGAGGGAACTCCTGGAACTCACAAAACAAAGCTATCCTACTGTAAACTATTCAAGAATAGTCGCTCACACAACAGCTGAATCGAATTTGGCGCCAAACCATGCTACAATTTACCTAATGCATTCGAAGGCATTTCGTAGCATGTATCTCTCTTACGCCAGATAGCCCCTTGTAGTACGTTCGTAAGAAAAATTACATACTCATACGTGCCCCACTGAAAATGCCCTCGTTTCCTTCCCCCCTCTCACCTCCACCCAACTCACCATCTTCAATCAGTTCTTTTGTGGTGCGCTAAACACATTCATACAGAAATGCAATTTTTATTGCTCTTTGGTTGGTGCAACAATGGATGGCCATGGTTGGACAAATAGATGGACACAAGCTGACAAAAAAACAAATCACCAGTTGTAGAGGTGTAAATCTCTTCTTTTTCTGCTGCTTATGCTGGCTGGGGTTGGATAGATGTAAACAGAGCGATGCCATGCGGACAAACAAACACCAACACTCCATAATTATGCAACATGCATTGAGATGAATACTCCCGTAAGCTGTTATGAATAGTCTACATAACCATATAGATGTAGGTTATGCAGCCCTAAACCCTAAATAAATGAGGTTGAGAGCTTGTCTTCGGTTCGTCTTTCTTGGTCGCAAAAAACCCTTGTCCATCGTGTACCTAGATTTTCATTTTTACCCTCCATGTACCAGTGTTCCATTGCCCTGGCGCCTGTCTGCCATGCATCTTTTTCCGCGATGTGACACGTATATATTGCCATTGCCAAATAACATAAAAATATGCGAGAGGGAAATGCTCCTTTGTAAGAATCATTGTGGGAATTCGGTTTCGCTTTGAGCATTATTAATATCCCTCCTTTTTTTTTGTGCGTGTGCTTGAAAGGTGGACCCTAGAATAGCGTGCTTGAGGTAATCAACTAGCGCGCCAACCCGGTTCCAGTAATTAGTGGGCCTTTGAAACAAGACGTTGTAGGTATATTCATTATGCATCTTAAAGAGCGTCGATCTCATCGATGAGGCGGACTTGGAAGGAGCCGAAGCTCATCCCATGAGGAAGTGTTGCTTGAATAGGGCGTATGTACTTCGTACGTACTTTTTATCTCCTTTCCTCCGTAGCAGCGGCAAGGAATCGACGCGACTTTACCTAACCTAAAGTACATAAATCCGAACGAAACTTCACTTTAAAGCAACCCACATTCCACAGTGGCATGTAAGTGAGCTCGGTATGTCCAGTAGGCTGTATCCGCACGCTCGATTTTATTGTAACATGATGATAATGGTAGTGAGTGGCGTAGGAAGATCTATAATAATGGCATGCTGGATCAAAAATAGTAAAACAACAAGAACAAGCAACAAGAGAAAATGAAAAAAAAAAAAAAGATCTAAGCGGCTGCGTTGCCCTTAAATCCTCTTACGGTTCTGGCGACGCAGCTTCTGTGCTGCCAGCTTGTTCTCGCGTTCCTTGACAAGGGTAACCTCTTTTTGTTTTGCTGCTAATCCGCCTTCGTATGAAGCCTTGAATGACTCCATGAACCCAGGCTGCTTCCCAGTGACTTTGGGCTTGGGATGGTTGATCAGCTGAGGAATGTTGAAGAGCTGGCGGACAGCTGGCACCTTAAAGAACATGATCTGACCCGCTGTGAATATGTTTGACGTCAACCAGTATACAAAGATAGCCTATGTGTTGACAGAGCAAAGACAGAGCAAAGACATAAACTATTAGAATCGATGAATCGCGTTTTCGGGAGCTAACATAATGATCACTGACACTCATCGACCAATGACTTACAGAGGGGAAGTTCATGGTCAAGGGGACCATGGCGACAGCCATGAAACGCATAAAATTCTTGATATTCTTGGGCTGGGCAACACCGCCGGCCTCGCTTCCCAACTCCATAATAGCCAAGAAACCCAGAGACGAGGCCACGGGCAGGGCATAAGTAGGATCAGCAATTGTCAAGTCCGTGAACCAAAGCGTGCCGCCTTCCTTGAACTGTGGCACGGGCAGATAGGCCATATCTCTGAGAGCCAAGTAGAAAGAAATCATGACGGGCGCCTGTATCAAGGGCAACATCAACGACTTCAAGGGATTGCAGTCATTTTTGGCGAAGAGTTCCTGTGTTTGGGCAGAAAAACGGGCCAATGCTGCAGTGTCGTTGCTCTCCTTGGCCAACTTCATGTTTTCGGTCAAGCGCTCCAATTGAGGCTTGACATTGTGCAAGCGGGCGGTGTTTCCTTGTAGTTTGACAATAAAGGGCACCAAGGCAGTACGGATGATGATCGTCGTTGCCACAATCGTCCCCCACCAGGGCAATCCAGTCGAAATGTGAATTGCTTCCAATACCGTCTCCAGTCCTCCGACAGGCGTAAAATGAACCAACCCCATAGCCTTGAGATCACCGTACTTCATCGCAACCTGTCCAATGGCCTCCGCGTTCTGAGCTGCAACCTCGGAGATGGCGGACGAGGTAGTGGCAGTAGTAGTGGCAACCGACCCTTCAGTAATATTCTCGATGACCTCTGCTGCCGAAGGGAAAACTGAGTCGCCGGCAGGGGCAACGACGTGAGCCTTCGAATCGTCCGATGAAGCGGCAGCAATGGCGGTGGGATCGATGAATGCTGCTTTCGAGGTCTCTGTTGACATATGACGGTAGAATCCTGCGCCCAAGGCTGGAGTCAACATCTGCTTAGTGACAGTTGAACGAACAACTCCGTGTGGTCTCACGCTGTTGGCGCGGAAGGCATACTACAGACCGAAATTCAAATAGTATCGTTACAATGGTCAGTCCCCGGACAACAATTTCGACAGCGAAACCACACGCATGCGCTAATACACGTCCCGTTGTAAAGCATATGGGCATGAGTCCATGATATCTATGTGACTTACTTGTCTGGCAACGGCCGACCTGGAAAGGCAAAGAACCAGGCACGCATAGCAACACACAGTAAATATACAGTTAGTTCCAAATTTAAAACTGGTAAGGCGCAATCAAAAAGATAACAGTTGGCCTCAAGCTTACAAGGCTGGCTGGGCACGGCTGCTGAATCGGAGCATCGTTGGCTTTGGTCGAGGAGGATGCGAGAGAGCGGAGGACGAGAAGATCAAATGGTTATTTCCGAGGTAAGGTGTACCCAAAGTGGAAATTCAGGGACTGCTCCTGTTGATTCAACGTGTTTGTAAATAATGTCTCACGTGTAGGCAGGTTTTTTTTTTTTTTTTTGTGGACCATGCATTCAGGGTACCCCAATCAACTCACAACTCTCATACTTCATCCTCACCCTCAGTCACCATACGCACCCGTCATGTCCTTCGCAGAAAAGCAGCTTGCCAAATTTGGATGGAAGAATGGTGATGGTCTCGGAAAGAACAGGGACGGAATCAAGAAGAGCATCTCTGTCGTCAAAAAGAATGACACCAAGGGTGTAAGTTACTGGTATCACTTCAGTTTTCTCGGACATTGACACAAATGGAGACCATGAAAAGCATCGTGGCAACTAATTGAATATCACATCCAATTGATATCTTTCAATTACAGTTGGGTGGCAAGCTGGACAAGTGGGATTTTGCCTGGTGGGATCATGTCTTCAATAAGTCAGCATCCAACATTCAAGTGAACAAGGACGAGTCTGGTGAAGTCAAGGTCGAGAAGCAAGGAGCATCAGGCATTCAGGTCTCTCGTATGGGCATCATCTCGACATCAAGGCCTGCAGGGCCTTCTCAAGCTACGCTGTCTTTGCCAGAAACCCCTTCACCGACCATGGGCAGCATGACCCCTCGGGACGAATACGCGGACGACGATGAGAAGCCAGCCCCAATTGCAAAATCGGGACCTTCGTGGCTGTTTGGCTTCGTCAAGGCGTCTGCTAGTAGTGCAGCAGCTGAAGATGCAAAGAGGAGAAATCAGGATTTCACGGGCAGTGCTAACAGCTTCGTGGCCAGAGCAGGCGAATACGACGCTCTGAAGGCAGCGGAGGCTGACGAATATAAAGACTATACGATCAAGGTGACCGACAAGGAGCTGTTTGCGGCCTGTGAGGGCAGAACGGCCAGGAAGGGCGCGAGAGGTGAGCAGCCTGGGAAGATTGGGCGAGTCATGAAGGAGCTGCTGCTGGACAATGGCTCTACAAAGGCCATGAGCATTTCGAGTTCGGAGGAAAAGAAAGAAAAGAAGGTCAAGTCGGTCAAGAAGGAGGCCAAGGAGAAGAAGACGAAAAAAGAGAAGAAAACGAAGAAGGATAAGGCATTGAAGAAGGAGAAGAAGGACAAAAAGGACAAGAAGATCAAGGAGAAGAAGGAAAAGAAAGAGAAGGACAAAAACGACAAGAAAGAAAAGAAAGCCGATGTCATGGAGAAGAAGAGCAAGAAGGAGAAGAAGGATAAAGGAGAGGAGAAACTCCCTAAGAAGCGCAGCGCTGAAGACGATGAATCGCGATCCGCAAAAAAGTCTAGAAAGTCCAAGGATGTGTAACGCCAAGGCCACCTGCATATTCTAGACGTCCATATGCTCGACCATAGACACACAGCCACTGTATATTATCATACCAAGCATCTCCAACACGCGAACTTATAATTTGCATTCGCAAAACTACCGTTGTTCATAATTGTTGGCTTTCTTTTTTTATTCCGCGAGCCTGGTCCTGTATACCAGCATCAAATGGAGAAACTGGAGGAGTCCATGGACAGTTTACAGAGTCTTGAGATCAATCCACCGAGTTGCACCAACGACGTAACTCCTTCTAGGATCTTCATATGTGTCAATCCAATTTCCTATGATGGGACAGAACATTCGCAGCATTAGATGCAATTCATGGTGCCACATGATAGTTTGCTCCGCAAGCATGAAGATCAAGAATATTGCTCCTACCTTGATATAGTCCAGCTTCATATATTCTGGCATACCGTCGTAAAACTTAACGACCCTGAATAGGGTCGTGATAATGTCCACTGCACTGTATCCTTGTCGCCAGAGTTGATGAATCCCTTGGAGCGCATTGTCCACGTTTACCTGGAGACAACTTGCAATAATGGCGTTCACTACGACTGGGTGAGGTTGATCACAGACCTTGAAGACGTTCTCATCATTTACGTATCCAAATCCTGACCAAGTTGACTGTAGGTTGTTGATCGCCTGACGCATATCGCCTTCGGCAGTGAAAATAAGCGCCTCAAGTCCCTCTGCGCTGTATTTCACCTAGAACAATATATTATTGATGATCATTAGGATGCGCATCATTACAGTTGCGTCGCGAAACTAATTTTGTTGCACAAAGAGATGCTTACATTCTCTGCCTCACAGACTTCCCGCAGACGCTGTAGAACTTGCCTATCCGTCAGCTTCGTGTATCGAAGCATCGCGCATCGGCTCTGAATGGGTTCAATGATTTTGCTAGATTGGTTGCATGCCAGGGCGAATCGTGTTGTGTTCGAGTAAATCTCCATCGTGCGGCGAAGTGCCTGTTGTGCTCCTGCGGTCATACTATCAGCTTCGTCCAGAATGATGATCTTGTGTCTTCCGGGTGGGAGGGTGACCTTTTTTTGTGCAAAAGTCTTGATCTTGTTTCGAACAACATCGATTCCACTGTAATTTGCAAGTAAGCATGCGCGTGAGAACATATGGGAAGTTAACGGCACTTTTAATGACATTGGCACTGATCCTGCTACACTACTCTTACCGATCGTCCGAGGCATTCAGTTCCAAAACGCCTTCTTTGAATGCAGGGCCAAGTAATTCGTGAGCCAGGCACAGCACGCTTGTAGTCTTTCCGATACCCGGTGAACCCTACATATCATTTCAAAATATATTCGGTATCAACTCACTGAAGATCCCAATTAAAATTCATGTCCCACGATTCCACTTGCTTGTCATAACTGCAGCTCGCGTAGACTACCCAGTCCAAAGAACATACTGAGATGATCATATGTGGCATGTTTCCTTTGTTGGCGATCAATTGAAGACGTTCGACAGTCTCCTCATTGCCCACGATAGCCTTGAGTAGTTGCGGCCGGTACTTCTCAACCCTGTAAACGCATGGTGTATAAACAGGCGTTCTTTGCTTAGTGTCGCACTCTTTTTTTTTTTTTTTTTTGTTGGTGTGTTCAGGTCAAATCAAAGCTGGCCAACACCGTTTACCATGGCAGCTCGTAAGAATCGACATTTCCCTTGAACTGTGCGTTGGTATTGATGACCTGCGCTGCGGAGGTGGCGGTTGCACTGCTGCTAGTCATTGTCCGTGGGTTGGTCGCTGATGAGTGGAAAGCAAAGAAACGCGATAAACTTGATCACCAGAGATCGCCACCATTTTTGTTTGCCGCGTGCATCTCCAACGCCCATTAAGGGTTCGATGGCTCCTCCTCCTGCACTTTCCCATCCAGACTACACTCTTTCATCCTCCATCCCTCCTTCATCATCCACAACTGGTTCATCGTCCCCTCATAATGTCTGTCGACCTCCAGATCTACAACGACAAGGTCGTCTGCGGTCAACACAAGAGCGAGGTGTGCTCAGAATGTAACCAGTCCTTTGCCGAGATCAACGACCTTGCCCGCCACCTTAAGTCCACCAACGGTCAAGTGCCTCAACCAGGGGCTGTCCTTCCATTACGTTCGCAGCAGATTGCAAAGATGCGTGAGGACGGCAACACTCACTTCCGAGCCCAGCGTCATCAGGAGGCCATCACAGCCTATACCAATGCTATCAACATTGCGTTTGATCGCCCTCTCTGGGAGCCGACTGGCCTTGCTCGTGAGGAACTGGCCGTCTTGTTGTGCAATCGCTCAGCAGCCTACATCGCCCGCAAGGAATGGGTGAACGCATATGTCGATGCTCAGGGTGTCATTGAGCTGAAGCGCCCATGGTCCAAAGGCCATTTCCGTCTGGGCAAGGCGCTCTTTGGCATGGGACGCGTTGAGGAGGGCGTTGAGGCCTTGAGATTGGGACTGATGTTTGATCCCGAGAGTGCAGAAATCCAGAAGGCTCTTAAGGAGGGCGAGGCCACCTTGGCTGCAGAGGAGGCCAACGATGAGTAGAGCAATCGACATGGTCAGGAAAGATCATTTGTATCATATCATAAAATAATAAACCCACTTTTTTTGCAGGCGACGAGGGACGATATAACAAGATAACAATGGCAATTGACAGACACGGGGGTTGAGAGATTAGAGAAGATATATCCATGGTTTCCTTCTGGACGAAGCAGGGGATGCTTTGAATTTTGGATAGTCCGATAGCAATAGAATATATTCACAGGAGGCCGCCTCAATCGCTCGATGACATGGCAACAATTGAGAGGACACGCATGGGGATTGGATGAGATGCGATCTAGGTGAGCCCGTTTTTGACATAGTCATTTCCCCTGCACTGGCTGGTTTGTTTTGATGCAGCTGCTGGGTTGGTGGCGACTGCCTTGCCAGGTGCGTGTCGTCTTCTCGTCTTCTTTTACGCGTAGACCAACAGCATAGCCGCTTTTCCTGCCCAAGCAGACATGCCGTTGGCGGGTCCTCTTTTGACACAGCTTAGCAAAGAGAAGACTGGCTGGGTGTGTCTAGCCCAGGACGAAACGATAACATTAACGGCGTTGCGTGTTTCTATGTTGCGATCAGTAGGAAGAGGCCATTCCTGTTAGTACAGTACATGACACGGCATCACACGCAAAACAACCAGCACAGAAAAGGATATCAATATCACGATTTCTTTTCTTTTCCCGCCTCTTCTCCGGTCATACTCTCACTTCTCTTTACTTCTCCTGCGCTCCACATTCCCATCTCGCCTGCTTTGGTATACACATCAACAACATAGATAAACACAGAGAGCTAAAATACCCATGCTGCAAGACAATCAACAACGGCCAGAGTCTGCCGCCGCGCCGCCTTCGCCTTCTACTCCGAGAACATCCTCTAGCGCCCATGTGCAGATCACCTCTAGTTTCTCGCTTGGAAGACCTGGTTCGACCCGGACATCATCTAGTCCTAGCCAAAGTCGACTGCCTCAACTTCTGCCCCAACCTACACTCCAACAACTGCAACAAAGACATGACCACCGCAAGACTCTTAGCGTGGGTTATACTCCTTTGCAATCTAACTCCGTGCTGCATCGCCAACGCGTCGATGGTGTTGAAATGGAATACGCGAGCAAAGGCCAAGACACTAGGCTTCTATCGCTCTTTCAAAAGGCCAGATCCCAGACACCGTTCAGTCGTGCAACTCCCGCGAGCTCGCCCTCACTAAGCACTGGACGCAGAGTACCTTCACCAAAACACCAATCTCCGGCGACACCGCAATCGCCCTCAAGAATCTGCAGGGGTGTTTTCAGCGAATCTGGTCAACCTATTGACTTTGTAGACTCGCGCCAGGAGCTAATCCAGTACTTGAGAGTCAAGGCTGAAGAAACCCGATTGGAGCTACTGGCGCTTGAGCAGCTGGAGCGGGATGTCATTGAGCAGGACGATAGAGGCGACAGAGATGACAGAGATGACCGAGACAACATACTACCTCCATTTTTGCTGCAGCCATCATCCATGATCTCGCCGACTGACAACATCAATCAGCGCCTTTCCTCTCGATTACCCGTTATCCATCAACGTAACGAGAACTCGAAACTTATGCAACGGGATTGCGTTACTGAATATGACCACCGTCAGTCTGTTTCCTTTCAGTATTCCCCAGCGAACCAGCTCTTGCAATATAATCAGCAACCACAGCAGAGGCCTTTTCAGCGATTGTTGATGCAGCCCCCTGCCAAACCCGCTGTCGGCTCTCAAGTATCGCTCACACAGCCTTTATCGAGAATACAACCGGAACAGGTGTCCAGACGATCGCAAGGCACCATCAACTGTGCTTTGTCACCCTCTTCGCCCTATTCATCGACCTCACCCCTCATCAGTCCACTGTCTGGCAAAGCTGTGGTGTTAGCCCGGGTCAACACGCAAGCCAGATCGGTTGCGGATTCTGCTTTCCTAGAAAGCAAACAACAGTCAAGTCGTGTTAAGGATTGGGGACCAGCTTTGAAAGTCGCTGGTTCTTACAAAGAGTTCGAAGCGCCCGATGATTATGCCAGCGATGACAGTCTGTCGCAGGCAGACTTTGATGAATATTATGAAGGCATGTGCATATAAAAACTCAACTCATGAAAAAATGCTTTTTTGTTTAACACCAAGGATCTTCGTAACTAACCTGTTGCCCACAAATAGACCTTCGAGACGTCACCTTGTCCGAAATGATGCAGAGGCATCTAGCATTGCTCAGCGATAGTGACGAACTGTACTCTGGTCATTCCTCTAACAACCAAGGTTCAAGGCAGGAGAACGATTCTGAAAGCGAGGATGGCTGGCACCAAGCAGACATGACATTCACGGACAGGACGTATCACTTCGTGTCCATGCTGGAGCACGATTACGACCATTTGAAGGTAAAGAATCAAGAAGTACCCTCATTACTGGCCGAGACCATCCCCGAGAACGACTTTGGGGACATTTCATTCAGGACCTGTGCCGAACTAGAATCCACTGCTCACGGCAACATCTCTTCCAGCATGCAGGAACGCCATCAACGGTCTTTTCAGCTACCAGCGGTAGCTCCTCAGGAGGGAGCTGTCACGAATGAGTTTTTGAAGTCGCTTCAACCTCAGCCTCTGTCCCCTGAGAATCAACGATTCACGTTTGGCAATCAACAATCGACATTCGCACCAGCAACAAACACAACCATGGCTAATACGCTGAGCGGTCATCCCTTACCACTCCCCGCGTCCATTATCACCACGCGAGGACGCTTCCAGCAGACACCCCAACAGCAACCTAAACTGGACGATCGCACGAGTGCGCAACATCAACCCCGAGCGGGCCAGGCCGTTTCGTGGTCTCCGTCAACTTCGCTGGGCGCAGCAAAATTTTCATCTCAGTCCTCATTGGCCAGCGCCTCTTGGTCGGATGTTGGAACCCCCGACTCAGTTTACTACTCTGCAAGAGAGAATTTAATGGATTCAGTTCAAGCCGAGGGCTCTCCAAAGCCCCCTTCACCGGTGATTGCATCGATGGCATTATCTCGGTACCAACCGCTGGACATGATCATCATTCGTCCTGCAAAAGCTGCTGTAAGAAGTCCTACAGATGAAGACTCTCTGTCATGGTCCTCACCGTCACCTACGTTGTCTATTGAATCCAACCGTTCAACGAGCTCATCCTGGTCCTGGTACTGGCCTTCACCCTCTTATCATTCAAGATCCAACTCTCCTACGCCATATTTTTTTGATGAACTGCGAACCAAACATGGTCAGGTGCATTCGAGCAAAAGATTAAAAGCTCGACTGCCGTTCACGCTCCAAAATGCCTCGACGCTCTCTGAGCGTGCACCGCCTCTCGGAGGCGCCCATATCAAATCCAGAAGCATGTCGTCGCTGATTAAGCACCGGAATGGTTGGCTCGGGTTCCAAGCGTTGGATGTCCGGATGGTTGCATCGGGTCGTTGCCACATTGTGGTGGTAACGCGGTCGAACCAAGTATTTTCGTGCTGGGAGAACGACGAGGAAAACAGTAACTACGCCAATGATGATAACTCTATGAAAAAGGCGGGCGTAAGCGAAATGGAGGAAACACTAGGCCGGAAGACTAAGGCCCAAATTGACCCTACCTTCCTGCCTGAACTGGTACAGATTCAGGAGGATGTGGACACACTACCTTTTAAGATTGTGAAGATTGCCTGCTCTGACAGCGCAACGTTTTTGTTGACAGAGAATGGCATTCTGTGGGGATGGGGCTCCTTTAAGGTAAGCAGTATCGCCTTCACTCTTTTTTTATTTCCCTTTCGTCTGTTGTTTTTGCTATGATTCTTATATATGTCTCGAAATGCATGTATCCTTTTGGCATGCCTTTAGGACGCGGCTGGTCGTAGGGTTGGATTGCTTAGCCAAAAATCGGCTTCCAGGCCAATCCAGATCTGTTCCCAACAGATTAAGGACATTGTCTGTGGTCGCAACCACATCCTTATCCTGAGTTTCTCGGGTGAAGTCATCTCTTGGGGCGCCAACGATCATGGTCAGCTCGGTCGGTCCATCTCATCCGTTTCTGGGACATCAACATCACAGGAACAGCAGGACTTCGACCTTTCGCCACACTTCATCGAGACCCTCCCTTGGCGTATTGTGGGAATAGGCGCAGGCAAATTGTCTTCATTTGCGTGGGATGAAGAGAAACTATATGGATGGGGGGACAATACATATGGTCAACTCGGCCGTGCCCCTGCTTCGAACGTGACTACAACACGGATCAAAGAGCAATACCCCAAGGACGCGAGCGCGAAGAGTTGCTCTGAGCAGAAGGTTATTGTAGAGTCTCCCAGGGAAATCTCGCTCCATTGGAAAGGAAAGTCGATTAGGCAGGTTCAAGGTGGTGAACGTCATACTGTGATTTTAATGATGTCGGGCCTAGTCATTGCTATGGGGAATGATGACTTTGGTCAGCTCGGCATCGCTTCGCCGCCATCCTCATCCTTATCTTTATCAAGTTTCCCCAATTCGGCTCTTACTCCTGGATCGCCTTGGCTGAGCGCCAAGGCACCTGCTTGCGAAAAAACCGAGAGTGTGGACTCCACTTTGTCAGACAAGTCGAAGACACGGCTATTTCCTGCGCTGGTGAGGATCGGTCCTGGTATGAAAGAGATCTGTTGCGGTGACTTTCATACGGTAATATGCAGTGACAGCGGGCAGATGTTTATCTGGGGACTAGGGTACGTTGGAGTCCTCGCCATCCATAATCTACGCAGCCTTGATGAGACCTTAAGCAAGACTGACATGAGATTTGGCGGAAACAAGGTTTCTGTTGCATCTGTCGTAGAGACGGCTCGTAAGGTTGTTGCTGTCTCGACCATGCGATCAGGTATCGCAATTGCACTCGTCTCCAGCAACTGAGAGTATGTGTTGCGACATAGAAATAAAAAATACTCGCAAATGTCCGTTTGCCCTTTTTTCGCATTCGGGCGCAGCTCCAAGGACATTTTGCCCAACAGTCACCAGCAAGCCACGACTCTTTTTTTTTTTTTTTAAGCAAGTAAACAAACACCCATCAATCCCATCCCTCCTTTTTAGCCCTTCGACACAGACAAATACACCGACATCGCTTCACCATGCCTACCGTTCGAAAGCGCCGCACCATCAAGACTCCCTCTCGCAAGGTGACCCGCAAGGTTGCTAACAAACACAAGAAGAAGGTCAATGTCATTGGCAACAAGATCATCCGAGACAACTGGGACAAGAAGGCCACTCTTCGTCAAAAGTACGCTCCTTCTTCCATCTGTGAACTCTAGAGCCCTGCCGGACCTTGCATCGGTTCACGGCACTTGAAAGAACTGATCTTTCCTTGCTCACTCGATTTAACCGCTCGAAATCTCTTATCTTTTGTACGATAGCTATGCTCGCTTGGGTCTGCTCCCCTCATTGAACGGCGTCACAGGAGGCACAGAGATCAAGGATGAGGAGGAACTTGCAGAGAGCGAACAAAAGTCGCTGGAGGAATTGGCAGAATCGCTGACGGAGGAACAGGGAATCATCCAGCGTGATGAACACGGCAACATTATCAATGTGATTGTTGGCAAAGCCAAGACCAAGGAGGAGATCGCAGAGATGATGGAGAGGGATATCGAGCCCGTCAAGGCCAAGACGGACGTTGTGCGTGCACTCGAGGCCCAGGCGGCCAATGTACTCAAGACGGAGAGATATCAGTCCGAGGGCGAGTTGGTCTGGGCGGCGAAATTGGTGGAGAAATATGGGGACGACTACGAAAAGATGTTCTGGGATCGCAAGTTGAACCCGAACCAGCAGACGGCTGCTCAGCTGAAGAAGAGAATCCATGCGCTCTTGGCCTGAGGTCGCCTTCCTTTTTCTTTGACGAAATTGCAGTATTACCCCGTTTCGATGCGGCCACCTTTTCAGTTTTCACTTCATGTACCATAGACCTCTTTCGTGACATTCGCATATTAAACCGTGGGTATAATAATACCCACTGTGCTCTACAGAATCTACAGACTAGCAATCGCATGCAATGGCTTGATATAGACAAAGGCGCTCCCTTTGTTCAGAGCACCGATCGGTTCATTCACTGATTGCGAGTGCACAGGTCGTACGGGTTCCTGAAGTCGACGCTCAAAACACATATCTAAGAAGATACATAGCGAACTACGTGGCCAAAAGGGGGTTTTATGCCTGCAGCTACTGCGCGCAGCAAACAAAGAATAAGGTTGTTGTGGTCATTTGATCCCTTTATGAGAAACGTTTTTCTCGAATTTACTCCTTCGCCCTCTTTGTCTCCTCCGCTCTTCCCTCCCCCCCCCAAAAAAAAACCTCGCACTTTCTTCTTACGCCACTCTACCCTTCGTTCTCTTGACTCGCCTTCGACTGTTGCTGTGTTGAACCAGGCATGCTTCGGCAGAGTACTATCGTTCCTTTCCTTCTACTCACCCTCTTGACCCTAGTGCCTCTGTTCACACTAGCACACCCGTTCTATATACCCTTCTATCGGAAACATTCTTCAGAGGAACACCTACACCAACCCCAAGAACAAACCCCTCAGCTCCCTTTTCAATCCCATCGTCATCATAATCAGCACTCATTCCAATCCTCGGGACCCGTACAGGAGGAACCGAAGAAGCATGGCGATTCCCTGGTCGCTGCAGTGGGTCAGGACCGCCCTGACGAAGTCCTAACACTTCGCCACATCCTCCACCACGGTGGACGTCGATACCCAGGACTCTTCCGCCGACTGGACCTGTCAGCGGTGGATATCCTTCTCAGCGAGCTCCTGACGGGTGAATCGCTCTCGCATCAGCTGAAGGTCAAGACGACGACGACGCTCAAACCCCGTGGCCAGGAATTCAAATCGTTCCGGAGTAAAGGGTTCAGGGCCATGGGACTCTCGGACGATCAATCATTCGGACCAGAATCTTGGACAAGAGAATTGGTCGATGCTCCGGATGTGGCGGACAAGGAGACGATTGTTCAGCTGTCAAAGATGAATTACAATTCTTACACGGAGGTCGCTAGCCCTGGATGGTACGATCTCGAGGGCAATTGGGGTGTAGTAAGTGCCTGTCCGACTATTTTTGCTTGTGGATGTACGAATATGTCATGCATGTCCTTTTTTTTTTTTTTTTTTTTTTTTTTTGTTTGGGGCACATCGACTCTTTTTGCCGCCCAATGGACAAAATGGCCCTGACATGTGGTCCAAGATAGAAGGGAATGCAGGAGCACAAAAGGGGAAGAAGCTGGTGCTAACTATTTACTTTCACATAAACATTTATCGCCTACTAGAACTCGACTTTTGGATGGGAAGAAGATGGCGTTAGGGGACATGTGTTTTTGTCCAAGGACAACTCAACACTCGTTATCGCCATCAAGGGCACTTCGGCTGCACTCCTTGGCGGCGGAGGCGGCACCGCAGCCCGAGACAAGGTCAATGTAAGTTATATATATTTATCAAAGGCGTGGAGGGAATGTTTGTTGGGTACTACAAGTTTAAAAGGCTTCAACAGGATCTGATATGACCTCTCGTGTGTGTGTGTGTGTTTTTTTAATATGTTTGTAGGACAACCTGCTTTTCTCTTGCTGCTGTGCCAAAGTTGATCGGACATGGAAGGGTGTATGCGACTGTAATACGGGCGGCTACCAGTGCGACCAGACATGCATCGAGAACAGCGTCAATTCCGACGATGTTTACTACAATATGGCCATGGTAAGCAATCAGGCTCTTGACCAAAAATAAACACTGATGTACACAGCAAGCAAGCAAACAAACAAGCAGACAACCTTCTTACCGAGTGTAAACCACTATTCAAACCCCCCTAATAGACGATTTTGTGGACAGTTCAGGACATGTATCCCAACAGTAACATCTGGCTGACAGGACACAGTTTGGGAGGCGGTATCAGCGCGCTGTTGGGATTGACGTTCGGAGTACCTACGGTGACGTTTGAGACGCCAGGGGACCGTCTGGCCGCGCAAAGACTGCATCTGCCATCACCTCCTGCGATCAACTGGGATGATTTCCCGCTATATCATGTGGGCCACACTGCAGATCCGATCTTTCAGGGTATCTGCAATGGACCGAGGAGTGCCTGCTATTATTCGGGATTTGCACTCGAGAGCAAGTGCCACACGGGTAGGACATGTGTTTACGATCCCGTGGGCGAAGATAACTGGAGGGTCGACATTCGCACACACCGACTCGCGGATACGATCGAGGGAGTTCTTAAGGTCAAGAATGTACCGGCTTGTAAACAGGAGGTTGGGTGTGTCGATTGTCAGATGTGGGAGTACTTGTAGCATATTAGAGACCATAACCGTACATAGTGCATCTTGTATTATTGTAAATGTATTTATCTTCTAGAACGGACAAGGAGCCATTTATTGTAGACATAATGACATTGGGTTTCAAGAGACGAGCTCTGCAATCATCAAAAACTCCTGTGCCCGTTGTTCCATTTCCAGCTTAGAGGAAATAGGAGGATAACACTGACTGTCGTGAAGGAATAACGAGTTGGATTGAGATACAGAGGTTTGGCGAAGGATCTGATTGCGCACGACCGCCGCAACACTTTTGGGGATGGTGTTTGGTACTGACTTGAGCGCAGCCTTGGTCAGAGCCGTGAGGATGAACCCTTGGATTAGCGGATCTGTCCATGAGAATATCAAAAGAGATAGAAAGATTTTGTGAATAAGTGACGATGCAGGCAATCCCGTGGCAGTCTCAAAGCGATTAACGACGTGCTGCCATCCGCTTACCTCGGTTGACAAGGAGACATCGGACAAGTGCTTCCACGATAGTCGACAATTTCCAATCATCGGCATCGTCCCCATATTCACCCAGCACCCAAAGTGCAAAGTACGCGAGCGTGGGCTGTGAGGTTTCTTTGTTTCGAGCGGTGAGGACACTCTCTCTGAGAGTTAGGATTTGCATCGTCTTGCGCACTGCCACCACTCGCAGATGTGTCGTATTAAACGCTGGGCTCCTTGCGCCTGAAAGAAGAGAAAAAAAAAGTACCCAGCTCGCGTTAATAAAGCGTCATTTCGCTAGCGGCATTTGGTGTGTCCAACATAGATATTAACAGACCTTGCTCAAAGACTCGCATGACCCCTTCGAGCTTCTGCATTGTCAAAACGTTCCCGCCGCGGTCCAAGAGGTCATATATCAACTCCAAGTACCACTCTTCCGATTTGCCAAATCTCTCGGATGCATCAAGGATTTGTCCCAAGATCTTCTCTCTCCGACTGGGTACATAGTCTTTCGAGGACACCAAGGACCTGTCATGTGCGCCGTCATCCCCCCTCTCTGTTTGATCCTGCTCCTGATAGAACGCATATACAAGCCGATCGATAATATTTTCAGAGTTGTCGATCGTCAACATCCTATACAAAAGGTCCAAGGCGCGTCGTTGAATGGTTGTATCCTTACTCTCCAAAGCCTGCACGACGCCCGAGAGTAAGTCTTCGTTCCACCAGGTGTCCGACCAGGCACTAGGCTGAACCTGACAGAGCATAGAGACACCCAGGTACTTGAGATTCTGATTTGAGGACGTCGCGAACTTTGGGATGATCAGGAGCGGGTTCCGGCTCACATCCTTGTATTGACAGAGTTCCAGGATGATGGCCTGATGGAAGATATTGAGTGTGCGAATCACCTCGAACAGGATAGCTATGGCACCCAGAGACGAAGTTAGCTCATCTGACTCCAAGGAACAAAGATCTCTCCGCCTTTTTCTTTGCCACCGCTACACAAGAGGGTACATAAACAACGAGAAGGTACGGAGCGTGGTATAGCGTGGCACCTAGACAAACTTCTTTCCTCTGTTTGCGAGTCAAGCGCCGGCCAATGAGCTCATTGACTGAAGATGAAATAGAACGAAAAAAAAATGCCTCAAAAGCAAAATGCTTGCTGGACTCGAATTAGTCCCTTCCACGAAGTGAAGCAAAACAACAAAAAAAAAGGGCAACAGCAGTTGTAGCTGGTAAAATATCGACATTCATGCATCTCTGCAGAAGATTATGTGATCCAGGAACAAAAAAAGTTGTCCATCGGCAGACACAACAACATAGCATTTTTCCACACCACTTCTCTTTCGATCATGCATACAAACATGCGCAAAAATTGCTTGGCTGACTTACCAAAGGCAGCGTCTACGCCCTGTCTAGCCTTATGGAATGCTGCCATGACGACTGGCGTCATTGTCTTGCTTGCACTTAGAGAGCGGCCACAAAATATCAACACAAAAAATAAAAAAAGTTAGTTTCAGAAGAGTGTTTGTGATACGACAGTCCAAACCAACTTTCAAGCGCGATCCACTCATCGCAGCTCAGTTCGAGTCTGAATAAGGTGGTGGCAATAAATGACATCTTCAAATGATCAGCAAGCATCGGCGTACCTGAGATCTTGGTGGCCGAGTCGGGCCATAATCTGAAGGCATCGGATCTGAATCCAGGGTGCTGCCGTACCATGATACGAGTACCCCTTGGGCAACTTACCGTCCACGACCTGCTGCAAGATCTTAATCAGCACTGGGATCAAACCCTTCATCTCCTTGGCATGGCCCTACGTATTGCAGCACACAAAAGTTGTAAATTGCAAATGCCCGCGTTTCAGTGCTGTGCTCCAAAAAAAAAAAAAAAAAAAAAAAAGTGAATTACCTGCACAGCTACGGCAAAGAGGCCGAGTGCTGCAGACATGACGCTCGGCTCAGAGTCGTAGAGCAACATTTTAATCTGATCGAGATAAGGCGCGATCAGGTCCGGGTCTTGTGTATAAAAATTCCTGAGGGCAATCAGTGCCCTCTTCCGAACGGACTCGCTACATTCCGGGGAAAATAAAGAAAAAGAACATCCATGGCTCGCCATTAGGTTTTTGTTACCTCACTGCCAATGAACCTTTTTTTTCCTTCGCGACGTGTATCCACGTACTGTGCATGGGACAGGGCTGTGAGGACGTGGCCGACCATAGATGGGATCACATCTGGCAATGTCATGTTGCACAGCGTCACGAGCGCCACCACCACATGGTGAAAGTTGCTGCTTATCAGGTCCTTTTTATCGAAACAACATGGCAACCAAAGCAGAAAGGTTTCCCGAGGAGGAGCAGATGTCCTGCGTTAATTCAATCGCATCTGTCACGGTTGAAGCTACATCACATTCGTGTAGCAAGTACAAAAAGAGCAAGTGTTTGTTGGGCGAAATGACAGTTGCCGCGGTCATGAAGTGAAAGGCTCGCAGTAACCGACCTTTTGCAGCGTATTCACAAGCATGATGTTGAGCTCGTTGCCTTCTTGTAAGAGCAGATAACAGGTCAAATAGCCTTTGGAACGGAGGAATGGAGTTCAACAAAGACATAGTGAGAGATTGATTCTGGCATGTCGCGTGGTAATTATGGCCTTGACACGCTGGTCACAGTACCGTATTGCACGTACCAGCGCGTTTCTCCGCTACGGTTTGGCCGCTCTGTGCGAGCTTTAGCGCGTAGATTGCACCAAACTGCACGTCTTGGCCCATCATTTCTCCGTATATGAGCCGCAGCATATTCTCTTTCATTGCAGACTAGACAAAACAAAAAGAAACTTCAGGATCAAAAACAATGAATCCAACTGAAAAGCACTGAGTCATCCTGTCTAGACATGGTATCGTGGGACAGCCAATGCCCGGTCTCTGTCCACGGACTATATGGCTGCAGGAGCGAAGTAGTATGCACTAGCATGCAGGCGCTAGTGACGCATTTGGGAACCTCGCCGCAGTGAACAGCACCGTTTTTGGGAGGCAGCGGTTTCTTTCCTACCGTTGACATGTTTGGATTGGAGATGTTTGTCCTCAGTACTGCCAAAGACTCGTCCGAAAAAGCCTTTGCGTCTTCTACCTAGAGCATGAATTAATATTGCGTAAGGTATTTGTAGCGATACGACGCGTCGTTTTCAATCGACAGCTGCGTAGATATTGATACCGTACCACACGACTTGAGTCTGCGGACTGGCTGCGTGCGAGGCTTGAGAACAGCTTTCGAGAGAACTCCATGGTGAGAATTGCGAATGATTAGCAGAGCAGGTAGAAGGGTCCTGGGGCGGTATGAAGTAAAGGAGGGGACGAATGACGGGTTGGTGATGAGTTTGCGTCCGTGGTGTTATTGCTGAGTATGGCTGATGCAGTCTTTGACGGAGGGCGAATGCCGTTGAGGATGAGGAAGGGCTCTTTTATGTTGTTTACTCCTCCACTCATAAATCTAGTGCCCAGACTTACCTTTGCTGCCAATGCAAGGTCTACGCATGCAGTGGGTAGCTTGCATATGTGGAAGTGGCTGAGGATGTCCTCCCCTACGATTGTACGGCAGTATTCAGTCCAATTCATCTGGCAGAGCAAACCATTTTGAAGGAAAAGTCAATTCAGTTCAAGTCAATGAGCTAGCAGATGTCTTTAGTCTCCCTATTTGCACTTTTTCTCTTTTGCTCCCACTGAATCCCCCCGCCCCCGCCCTCCCCCGCTTCTCTTTCTCTCTCTCTTCTCTCTCTCTCTCTCTCTCTCTCTCTCTCTCTCTCTCTCTCTCTCTCTCTCTCTCTCTCTCTCTCTCTCTCTTTTTCCGTCTCACACACTCGCTCTCTCCCTTCCCCCACTCCCACTCCCTGCTGTATATTTCCCTCCTCATCTTGCAACGTAGACGCTGGGCAACAGAGTGCGTTGGTTGTTCAGTTGAGATTCCGTTCATCATCGCTCTCCCCTCCTTCACTCCTCTCTCTCCTCCTCTTTTTACTGCCATGGCCCATCCTCTTTAAAAGCAATACAGAATACCGAAAAGAAACCTGCCCACTCTCGCTCCCTCTTTCTTCCAGCTGGGGTTGTCTCATTTGTTTGCATTCGGACATCTCCATTCGCCCTCCAAATATTCTCTCCCCCCTCCGGCCACAATTCAGCTTACTTTATTCCTTATTTTTATTGTTGTTTTTCCCTCCATTTTTTTTTTATTTTCTTCTAACGCAATGCCAGTGGTCCTGTAACATACCATCCACAGCAAGCAGCTTGATTACTCACCCATTCACTCGCCCACCCATTCACTCGCCATCTGGATCTGGATCCGGATCTTCTTGTCTGTGCTACTGAGATCCTGTGAATCCCACCAACCTTACGTTCTCCCCTCTCCTTATCAGCCCCTCCCCCTCTCCTCTCTCCCGCAGTACCTATCCTCACAACCTCACATACCTCACATACCTCAACAACATGGGCGCGTCAATACCAAGCGATCAGTCCAACGACGCCGACGAGGACACCCCTCTCGAAACCGACCCTACCGGCCGATTTCAACGACTCAACGACATCTTAGGAGAGGGCGCATACAAAAACGTCTACAGGGCCTTTGACCAGGAGGAGGGTGTAGAGGTTGCCTGGAACCAGCTCCGCATCGACCATCTCACCAAGAAGGAGGCCCAAAAGATCCTTTCTGAAATCGAAATCCTGGAATCCATCCGCAACGACCACATTATCAACTTTTACGCCTCCTGGTCCACCAAGGCCCCGAACGGCGGAGAGCGCGTGGTCTTTATCACCGAGCTTATGTCCTCGGGCACCCTGAAACAGTATCTCAAAAAGACCCTCAAGGGTTCGCTCAAACCCAAGGTCCTCAAGTCATGGTGCCGTCAAATCCTCCAGGGCCTCGTCTATCTCCACACACACAACCCGCCCATCATTCACCGTGACCTTAAATGCGACAACATCTTCATCAACGGCAACAACGGACAGCTCAAAATCGGCGACCTTGGTCTTGCAGTTGTGCGCCATCGGACCCATGTGTCCTCTGTCCTGGGTACACCCGAATTCATGGCCCCAGAACTCTATGACGAGAAGTATGACGAGAAGGTCGATATCTACGCCTTCGGCATGTGTGTTCTTGAGATGGCAAGTATATCTTTGATTGCTGGTTTATTCTTAGCAGAATGACAAATGGGCCGCGCTGGGGTGGAAATAGTCGAACGGTCGGCCTTGGCTATGTCGTACAGACGCATTCTCCCCAACGTATGACGCACAAAGACATGAAGAAAAAGAACCCCGATGCTAAACTATCTTCTGCTGCGTCTCTTTTCTTCACTGCCTTTTTTTCCTTCGCTTCACTACTCTATATATCGTTCATGTCGGTGCTCTCGATGCTCCTCCATGCTATGCCATGTCTGCCTGACTGTGCTCTCGCCAATCTTTTTTCTATTTTCCGGTTTGCTCTGCTGTGCTCTGCATCTGTCTTTTTTTTTTTTTGCTTGTTACCTTATCCAACAGGTCACAAAGGAATATCCCTACTCCGAATGTACCAACCAGGCGCAAATCTATCGCAAGGTCACAAAGGGTATCAAACCGCAGTCGCTCGATCATGTCCAGGACCCAGAGACCCGGGAATTCATCAACCGCTGCCTCGACCACGACGACCGCACGCGTCCCTCGGCCCAGGAGCTGCTCGACTCTGATTTTTTGAAGCCCTGTGCTATACTCCCGCCTCTCTGGAGCGCCTCCACAGGACTCTTTAACTACCCAAATCGATCTCTCGCCGAGGGCATGGAGATAATAGACAGTCCTGCCTCTGCGTCTGTTACCATCTCAAATCGGTCATCCCTCGCAGAACCCTACCAATCCTCAGCAACCTCGCCCTCTTCTTCGTACTCTTTACCAGCACCGTTGCCGTCAATAGTCTCCAGGACCCTTCCTTCGCCCAAGGTTACCGCTCAGCCCATCTCTATACCCGGAACAGCGTTCACAACTACTACAACAGTTGATGCAGACAACAAGACCTACCATATCCGCTCCAATCTCTTGCCGCAAACGCCGACATCGGCCGATCAGAGCCTTTCTGCCCAGCCTCAGCAATCAGAACACCACGATCAGGAGTCAGATGCTGCACCGATCCAACAGGAACGCGAAGAAGCAGCAGTAGCGGAGCCTCATACATTGCATTCGCATGCCAACTCCAAGACCTGCTCGATCCAAGTAGTTCAGTACGATGAAGAGATTGGCGATCAGTTGAACCTCAAGATGATTTGCACATGTCCTGTGGCTGGCCCTCGGGATGTGACCCTGGCGGCTGGAACACACGAAATCAAATTCCCTTTCGACTTGAACGTAGACACAGTCGAAGAGGTGGTGGCGGAGATGATTCGCGAACAGATTTTGTCTGCCGATGACCGTGAGGAAGCAACGGCCAAGATCCAGGACCTGATCGGCAATATCGTCTATGAGAGAAAGGAGCGCGCGCGAGCGGCCAGGGAACGATCGCGGGTAGCAAAATTGCCGCCACCACAGTCCCATGGCGTTGATCATACCAATCGATCCATATCGACCGGTCATAAAAATGGCCATCATCGTCAGCTCAATATTCCTTCGGTCTACGACTTGGAGCAGTACGGCACGTCTCCCACGGAATCCCTTTACGATCATTACTCCTCGGTCGGTTCAAATGCTTCCATCGGTTGGACAGGCAGTAACTCGCCCGTGGAGTCGGACCAAGGCTATGGAACAGTCGCCCCACTGCCTCCTCAGCAGCCACCCGCCATCACAGAGGTGACATTCCCTCCTCTTAATCATGCGCAACTTTCTCGCAGCAAGTCAACCGAAGCAGTTGAGCAGATATCTGGAGTGCAATCAAACAAACAACATCAAGTCAGCTATTCAGAGGTCGTGCAGCATCCGTCTGCACCTCAGCATCCACTGTCGCCCAATATGAACGGACGTGATAATATTCTTACTGCTTCACAGTCGCAGAACGCGCATGGCGTTGACCATAGACCGCCAGCACCGATGTCACCGGATGTCAGACCAGCACCCACTAATGGCACACTTGCAAAGCTCGATGTAGCAACCGGTGAGAAGAAGAAGGATCCACTGACAGAGGATGTCGGCTATACTTCTCCGTATCGACACGGTGTATCCAGTTCATCGATTGGCTACCATCGTCGATCTCCCTCCATGGATGCCTCCGTCCACATTGCATCGGCAGCTCCAGCATCGATACCGGTGCACATCAGTTCATTGGATCAAGCGGCGACATCTTCAAGCAGGTCGCAAACAGAAGTGGAGCACCATCGTTCGAGCTTTGCCTCGACGACGTCCATTGGTGTGAGCCCAGAGATCAGACCCACGCTGTCCCGCGACTCAAGTACGCCCAGTATTTCTGCTTTGAAACTCAACGGCGCCATTTCACAACCAGGCGTGCTTATCAAACCCCCAAATTCGGACTCGGGACTCTCCAGTGATGCATCCCCCATGACTGAAAATGGCATTCAGCGCTTCGCACCTGTATCCCCCTCTATTCCTCCATACACGATTCAGCACGATCATCGAGTACCGCACTCGGCTAATGTCTATCAATATGACCCTCAAAACACTCATCAATACGCATCTGTTCCTCAACAAAAACCGCTCCACCATATCGCTGCGGAGCCGATGATGACAAACGAGGTCAAGAAGGATATCGAATCATGGACAAGCAAGGTTCTTGTTCCAGAGCGGATGAACGGCGGAGCAGGCTACATGAATGGATCGAATTACTCCAGTTGCCCAGAAATGTCAGACGACGAAGATATCCTGGACGAGGACCTCAAGGTTCTCCGGGAGAGGCAGCGGCAGGAACTCGAATTGATGCGGCTTCAGCATGTGCAGCAGTGGGAAAAGATGATGAAGCTCAAAGAGCAGAAGGGGCTGCAGGAGCGGGATCGGCGCAAGAGCGATGCCAATAACGTCGCCTTTTCTTCGATTCCACCGTCTGTTCAGCAGTAATGTCATCATCTTGACTACATAATTTTGCATTTTATCTCTTTCCTTTTGCTGTAGCTGTATCAACACATTATTATTGTACCATAGATCTAGAGTCCGTTGCAATGAAGACCGCACCAGAACTCTAAATTAAAAAAAAAAAAGTTCTTTTGCTGAAGCAAGCCCTTTAGTTCCTTGACTGGCGGCGGTTCTATATGTATAGACCTACCAACCATACCTAGATTGTACATGACAAAAAACGCTCCCCCAATACGAATGCTGAGGACTCCACTGAGTTCAGATGGCAGGGCTTTACAGCGCGTTTCCATCGTTTGTTTTGAAGGTTCTACATCACTACAAAGCTATGTCACTTCTTCACCATCACTCCTGGATCTCGATCTCACTGCTGAATTAACTTTTTGCACATTGGAGCATGCCGTTGTCTTCTCAAGCATCGGTTTGCTTACACTACTCGCGAGCGTTTTTCTTAAAAACCACTTCCTCATCGAAGCCTTGGAAGCTGTGGAAGATGGCTTCGGCGACTATTAAAAAAAATTATACAAAATGGGTATTCAGAAATTTTACGTGCAACGACAGGTTTTGTTAACAATCAGACGATGGTTGGTGGGTTTATACATTGTCATATAGACAAAGGAACAGCTACTGTGGATGAAGATACTTATTCGCTTCAAGTGGCCAAGGCAATCTCCACATCAATAGGCGACGGATACTGAAAGAAAAAACGTCGTAGGTTAAATGATGTTCCTGTTGCCTCCTAGCCTTCCCACACGAAGGTGTAACAGGCTCGAATCAAGAAATTGCAGGGCTTTCGCCTTACCGACAGCACGCACATTTGAACCAGCAAGCACAAACGGATTAAAGGGAGAAAGCTGACAAAAGAGGAGCGTCGAGCCATTCTACATCGCTAAGGTTGTTGCCAAGCAGGGAGAGAAAATGGCAAAGCTGCCTTGATAGCCGAACTTTTGGAACAATGTCAGAGATGTTGTTGAACAGAAATATTGAAACTACTAGTATTCAAGACAAGCGCCTCCCTTACTTGAGCCTTAGTCTTTAGCCAATAAGGCACCTTCACAACTAAGCACTCCCTTTAACTTTTGCAACACCACGCTTTCTTCGTTGGACCGGTTGGCAGTGGAAAGAGGATGGCTGTTTTGAGCGATCCATCCCTTTCTTCCGCAGGGTCTATTCTATAATAAAAGAATTGACGCGAGCTAGCCTCAATCATAGACGGAGATATATCAGGCTATCAATCACGCCCTGTCCCCGCATCTAAAAAGATGCCTATAAAATCTGCGCAACAGAATGATCCAAGCCACATGCGGACTATATCTTGAAGGCAGGCCTGAGACAAAGTTTGTTTCCTCCTCTAAATCATTCTCATTTTTCGGTGTGTATGACTGATTGACCCACAGTGACCGACCATTTCCATCCAGCGCCTCCTCAAATCCATCCATCCATCCATTGCGATGTTGTTGGCATTACTTGGATGTCAGGATGTACATTGGATCCAATTGCTCAGTATTCTGAAGACGAGGCCACGATCACCTCACGGAGTCATCGACATCTCGTTCATTCGACGCTGTCAGCAAATCCAACTGTTTGCACGGCTCGACCCGCCATTATGTCAGCAACAGGGAGCGGTTATTCAGTGCTCCTTCATGCTAGGTGTCGCAAATGCACCAGCGCTGGCGACCCTGAAGTCGTTTTATGATGCCACTTGCACACATCCGACTCGATTGTGATCAGCCCAACAGCTTTGGATCAAGCCCTGGGCGTTTCTTCACAGTCGAAAGCAACAATGGAGAGAAATACGGATGGCGACTAGATAACGGGACTCAGCCATACACACTCATGCTGAAAAAGACAATGTCTAATATTGGTGTCACTCTCTTGCTCTCTGCTGTCAACAGGACACAATGAAGGATATCTACAAGGAAGAGATTCTCGCCATCCCCGAGGGTGTCAAGGTCGATATCAAGGCCCGCATCGTCACTATCACCGGCCCCCGCGGTGCTCTTACCAAGAACTTCCGTCACGCCGATATGGACATTGTCAAGCTGGACACTGACCGTATCCGCCTCGTCGTCTGGCACGGCAAGCGCAAGCACGTTGCTTGCCTCCGTACCATCCGCTCCTTGATCAACAACATGATCATCGGTGTTACCAAGGGCTACGAGTACAAGATGCGTTTCGTCTATGCCCATTTCCCCATCAACGTCATTATTGCCGATGATGAGAAGTCGGTCGAGATCCGCAACTTCTTAGGTCAGAAGATTGTCATGAAGGTTCCCATGTTGGAGGGCGTTACCATTTTCCACTCCAAGGACCAGAAGGATGAGATCACCTTGATTGGTAACGATCTTGCCAACGTTTCCCAGTCCGCTGCCAACATTCAGCAGGCCACCACTGTCAAGAACAAGGATATCCGTAAGTTCTTGGATGGTATCTACGTCTCTCAGAAGGGCCAGCTCAAGGGTGCCGACGACGAGTAAACTACTCTTATCTGTATCCTTTATTAAAAACCTGGAGCCAAGGATCCAAAACAATCGTTTCCTTCGATAATAAATCGCACAGCCTAGCGACCCCCATTTGCTATGGCGCATTGCGACTGGTTGTGGCGAACTAAATGTCAACGGCAGGATTGGGCACACAAGTTTTGTGAGTTGCATTTAAACTATCATGATCTCGGATTTTCTGCGATATGAAAGAAAAGAAGCTTTTGTCTTGAATGTAAACAGCTGGTGAAGTGCACGATGTGGAAGTTGAGCTGCAGATATAATGAACCAGGCTCGCAATTGAACAGATAGAATAGTAGGATAACCAGCAAGCTGGACATTTGCACTCAGGAATGTACATTAAATAAATAAAATATCGCAGACGTAAACAACCTGAATTGCAAGCCACTACACCTTTGAAGGTCTTGTTGTTCTTTTTTCTTTTTTTTTTCCTTCCTGCCCTTCACTTGGACACTCATTCGCTCGACCCTTGGTTACCCTCGTCACTGTTCCCGGCTGTGCAAGAGTCCGCCCTCATACCACTCAGGCAAACTCAACTTTTTAGTTACCACATTCATTACAGAGGCGAAAAATACTATGCCAAAGTCAACAGCCTCGCCGTCCTTCAGCTCTGGACCCTTCGTGGAGGTCTCGACCAAGCTATATATCCACCTACCCCCATGTTTCGCCACCAAACCGACCGAGGGTATCCAAGAGCAATTGAACGGCTTTCTCATGAGGTGCGCTCCTATGGCTGTCATTCAGTCGCAAGAGATAACTCTGAACCTTTTTTGGATCAATTGATCGGCATATCTGTGATCTAAGCAATCGCCTCTTCCCTACTGGCTTCCAATCGGTGCAATATTTAGATATATGCCTCAAGTCGACGGCGTGGTATTGGCTCACTCGGATTTGAAGCTGCTTCAAGAGTCAGGAAGGATCATGTACGACTCACCTTACTGCCATTTCTGGATTTCTGTCAAGCTATTGGTCTGGAAGCCCACCAAAGGAAGCAAGCTGCGTACGTTGTTTTTTTTTAAGTACCAGCTACAACTATCGTTGACTTGCACTGCCTGTTGGCTCAGCAAAGTAAGCATTGGATAACCCTTTGAGGATATTCTGATCTGACTATGAGGTCTCTGGCTTCTTATATTATTGTTTATCGATAGACGGAACCATTAACTTGCAGTCGCCTGATCACATTGGTTTGCTGCTGTATGGCACATTCAATGCCTCGATCCCATCCGAATTCATTCCGAAGGACAAGTACGAGTTTAACCCCAACAGCAGCTACAGCCGGGTGAAGCAACAGCAGCAAGACGGCGAAGAAGCAGAAGGCGAAGATTCATCATCCGGAGTGGGTGGACTTTTGAACGGCGAATGGGTCGTTAAGAGCACAGGCGAGAGCATTGGACACGAAGGCGTAATTGAATTCGAAGTATCGGAGTAAGTCGTGCGCGTACATCGATAACAGCTGGTCTCATATTGTTGTCTATCCTAAGTGCTCACCCTGGGCTGCTTGATTTTGCTGTCATGTCTTGTAGTTTGGTCAGGACAAACGATATGCTGACGGTAACAGGATCGTTGGTGAAGGTACCTGTGACAATGCGCCGTCCGTCGATGATGGTCAAGTCGACGTCGTCGTCGGACCCCGTACAAAAGAAGCGCTCCGCGCCCGAGGAGGATGAGGGGGAGGCCGTCGCATCACAGGAGGCAGATCTTAAGAGGATAAAGAAGGAAAAGAAGGAGAAGGTCAAGGATGGCGAGGACAAGACAGAAGATAGGAAGATTAAGGAAATGAAAAAAGACAGGAAGGAGAAGAAGGATAAGAAGGAGAAGAAGGAGAAGAAAGAAAAGAAGATCAAGGCTGAGGCATGATCGATCCTGACAAAGGAAAGCAAGCAGGAACTACCCAAACTATCAGGGACAACACGACACCGCATAGATTGGACTTTTTGCTGTCTCAGACAAAAAAGCACCACCCATATTACTTTGCACCCTACCTTCATGCAATTCACGCATATACATCTATTAAAACCACGTTTATCATTCATTGTCCAATCTCTACGAAGCGTATCTGTGCGTCAAACCGCGATGGCCACAGGCTAACGTGTTGACGAGACCCTTACACCTTTGCGAAAGGTGTACCATTTTCGCACTTTTTTATTTTTATTTTTATTGACGCCAGATCCCCCTAGGCGTGCAGGCGCGCTTGTATATTATCTCTACATTATACACAAGATGTCACGTGGAATACCTACTTTTCTATAGTCCTCGCTCATCGCCTCGAGAACCACCCTCCACAAACACATCGTGTCCGCTGGCGGCATCCTTCTCCTCCTCTTTCGGCGACCTTTTTGTCTTTCCAGTTCCAAAGCCTTGTCGAGTTCAGTGTCGAGGGTGGACAGCTCAGTGGCGCCTTCTTCTCTCCCGCGCCAGCATTCCTGTTTTCATTTCAAATCTGCACAACACACCATCGAGGAAGACGCGTCCAGGACGAGGAATGATTGTGCCGGCTGCGTGGATGTATCGCTCACCTCTCACTTTCTTTTTTCTTTTCGTCTTGCTGCCCATATATTGTTTCTGCTTTTGATCGCTGGATACAATACCACAGACGCTTGCGATTTTTTGGCAACTCGAGCCTGCGATCGCTTCTGAAAGCCCGTTCCAATCTACTGTTGTTTTGATTTTCTATTTTAATACAGTTTGTATCCACAAAACGCCGCCCCCTTACCACAATCATGAATACGGTGCCCAGCGACAACTCTTGCGAGTCCCAGGAACAAGGACATTCCCTTTCAGAGCCGTGCAGTACCTTTGATGTTACAGTTCCGGACAATGATGTCATGGCTGCAGGAACAGAACGCACTTCGAACACGACTATGTAGGACAAGGCATCGGTGCACCTTGAAATTATTCTCATATTGCATTGCATATTGAACGCGTCCCTGTTTCAATCAAGCTCGCATAGCGAACAAGACGTACAATCCCAGCCATTTGTCAAACGAGTGCAGGACACCCCCAACGAGCCCAGGAAGAGGGCCAGGACATTGCTGGAATTGAGGTTCGTTATCATCCCCCGCTCTTTTTTATTTCATCTACAATCGCTCTGGATATGCATTCACTCATCATATATTACTCGTATGTATTTTCTTGTCTGCATTTTTTTAATAGAAAGCAAACATCCGCCAACCACTTTTCTCAAAGCGCACGCGTCCTTCAAAGGCGCTCGAGCCCACCGTCATCAGACATGTCAAATGTGACATCAAACCATTCAACACCGACGCCCTCAAGTCCTCTGTCGTCCTTCCAGACTAGGCGTCCAACCTTCAGTATCAATCCAATTGCTATGACCATGGCAGGAAGATCGCATTCGGACCCATCTTCAACCTCATCTTTTCTCGCACGCTTGAAGGACAGCATATCCGACGAATCGGAGGGTCACACTCCCAAAGACCAGTTGATTAAGCTGATGCCACCACCCATGGCTCGGTCGCGGACATTTACCGGATCAACGAGCACTGTGCAGGTTGATCAGAGACCTTTCTTTTTAGCCCCCTCGCCGTTCTCGACATTGGATACAACTCGCAGGCTCCAGGCAGCTGCACCATCATTCAAAACTGCTCGCCCTACAACCAAAAGATTGGGCCAGGCTCAAGACCTACTACGACAAATGATCCTGGTCCGTCCATCAATGACCCGATCACGATCCCTATCATTTCAGTCCATGGACACCTCCATGAAGTCGACGAAGATATTGAGCAAAGCGAGTGATTGGCAACGAAAGAAAGCAGCGGAAACTAACAAGAACGATGGGACTAAGTCTCGCTCGACTTCTCCAGCCGTTGAATCCTGCACAGCTGCCATGGACTCTCTTTCACCGCCATCTACAAAGCCGTCTACACCTTTTACTGTCCGTATCCGGCGAAGATCTTCTATTACCAATACGACTACCAGTCTCTCCCTACCCCTTCAGGATATCACAGATTCTCTCTGTTCTGATTCAGACGATGATGATGCGGGTCGAGACGAGGATCTCAGCCCCAACTCCTCCAGTGCGCGCCCTCGCGATGTAACAGCTGCGATGGCCATGCCGGAGCCACCGAAGCGACCGATGATCCTGCGCCGTCACCAAACTATGATATCCAGCCGAAGCGAGTTTATGAGGACACTGGAAGTTGGCACACGGCAGAGATCTATTTGTCAGGTGTCTGCCATCAACAAGAAACCCATGGTGTTTGCAGCTGAGGGTTACATTCCAGACCCATTACGGGAGGACTGCCGAATTCTGCCCTGTGCTAACTTTGCGTCGAAGCCAGATGACACCACAAAGCGAATCACTCCTCAGACGGTAAGAATCGACATCCGTGTGATTATTTTGCCGTCATCTTGGTTGCCAAAGTAGGCAGGAGGACTTATATGCTCTGCGTTCTCGCTCTGTACGTATACGATATAGGTAGCGGATCTCCTGGATGGCAAGTACGAGGACCAATACGATCTACTGTACATCATCGACTGCCGATTTCCATATGAGTTTGAAGGTGGACACATCAAGTCGGCCGTCAATGTGAACACAACGGACAAATTGGAGGAACTGCTGCTTCAACCTGCTATCACTGACAAGCGCGTACTTTTGGTTTTTCACTGCGAATTTTCATGCGAGCGCGGACCACGCATGTAAGTATTAGTGATACTTTCTCTTTCATTACTAGAGTGCTCAAATGAGGTTAAGGTCTGGGTCATTGACTTTTTGTCTTCATTGCTGCTCTTATAATGCAACAGGGCACGCCATCTTCGCACTCAGGATCGAGCCGCGAACGCATCGCATTATCCAGCAGTGTTTTATCCAGAGGTGTATGTGATGCAGGGAGGCTATTCTGGATTCTTCAAGAAGAACAAATCGTACTGCTGGCCGGAAGCATATGTTGAGATGCAGGATGAAAAGCATTCGCAGGAATTTCAGCACCATATGCGGACATTTGGGCGCGAGTTTTCTCGGACAGCGTCCAAGGGGTTTCTAGGGACTGAGTCCAATACCAAGAGCTCCTGTACTGATGCGGCCATGTGTCCCTCGCCACTGAAATCGACTTTGGGACCTGCATCGACCGCACAAACGGTAACAGCAACGACAATGGCGACATCGATTGTAGCAAAAAACATGACGTCCACTAAGACTATTGCTTCTACGGCGGCTAAAGAGACGGCACGAGCTACGACAGGTGCAGTCAGCGCAACCGACAAAACAACTATCAGTTCCTCTACCGCCACTATTACTACAATTAATTCTGTTGTCAGACCGCCACAACCGCCCAACAAGGCCTTTACCAAAGTCCTCTCCTCGGTCAAGCAGGCAGTTCTATCCGGCTCAAATCCTTCTCCTTTGTCTTTGACGCTGGCCTCGAAGAGGCTGACTCTGACCCTTCCTCCTTCGAGCAACCTGTCGGTTGCCCAACAGCTGCTGCTGCGACCCCGAGTGCTCGCTACATCCTCGAGACCAGCCCTACTTAACGGTAAGGGTAGTCTCAATACCGCGTCCATCAGCAGCACTACGACCAGTATTACTACGAGCACAAGACTTCGCGCGAACCCGGACTCGAACCCCAACGCGGTCAATACAAGCCCGTTCTTTTCTGGATTCCGTCAGACGAAGCCCATCTTTGGAGGCGTCACACCTTCCCAAAACGTGGAGACTTTTCCTTCCGTGGTCAAAAAACAATAACGTATGTGCTCCCAGCAACACATACGATTCCGTAATATCCAACTCATGTATCATCTCCTGCACCTCCTCTCAAGTTTAGATTGTTATTGAAGAAAGCATTCTTTAGAATAACAGTGTCCGTTTATTTATAGTACCTGTGCCTGGGACGCTCTGTGATTTTTTAGTGTGGACTGGCAGTAACGGAGGAGCTGGTGGTGGCGGCATAATCAATGACTTTATGAATCAAGAAGTTTCTATTCACAATCATGAGTCAAAGTACAAAGTGGTTGATTAAGAATGGATCCCGGATATTCTTTTTTTTCTTTGTTCACAGCTTGCAGTTGTAGACTCTGTTTTTCTTTTTTCTTTTTTCTTTCTTTTTTTTTTTTTCGCTCTTACCGAGCACTAAAGGACTTTAGGAGCGCATCGCAATGGGAGAGATAATCGTCTGGCATGATGTCCGTGTCCAGACTTGAGACCGTCGATTGGTCCAGTAGCTCCGAATCACTAGGAAATCAAACAAAAAAGAGCTTTAATGAGTACACAATATCACAACGCGCGCAGCGGAGTGTGATACCCTGGGAGTTCGTTCATTCCTATTACCTGTCCTGGTCTCTCTCATCCACCTCTACAGCTTCTATCACTAGGGTCCAATCCTTTGCTCCCAGCACCGTTCCTGGTCCTGTCCCTGGAGTGCTTATCGGGTTGGTGACGATGGAGGAAGATTGAAGAGAGGAAGCTCCGGAGGAATCCGTCCTATGGTGCCCTGGTCTTCCTAATGGGGTAGGATTGCTCTGTCCATCGTTCTTTGTGAGTTGTTGGATTAATGCGTTGTTGTTGTTGTTGTTGTTGTTGGTGGTGAGGGTTGTGTTCGGTGAGTTGAGAGATGACGAAGATGATGAAGCTGTGGTTGTAGACGTCGTCGCTATTGTTGTTGTTGATATTGTTGTTGTCGCAAGGGCAGCTTGGAAAGGGACGAGTTTCACATCCATGACTTGGAGATCCATAAGGAAAGACTCTACATTCTTGATGGAACCGGAGCGGGGGTCGAGGTCGAGGGTGATACAGCGAGATTTGGGGATGGATTCAAGGATCTCGGTTTCGAGGGGATCGTTTTCAAAGATGTAATGGACTTGTGGGTGAAGGGTTCGTGTTTGGATAGTGCTTGTTGCTGTTGATGATGACGATGATGGCGGTGAGGACAAGGAGGCCGATTTTGTTGCTGCTGCTCCCGCTGTCGTTGATGGGGTTGCTGTATTGGTGGTGGTGCTGGAGGAAGCAACGCCGGTGAGTATGTGAGCCGTGGAGGCTGTTCTGGAGATACCTGGTGAGATTGGAGAGGAGAAGGATCCTGCTGCGCCCGTACCAACAATGGCGGCGGATAGGGGAGGTATAAAGAGCGGGGTGATGTCTGAGGGGGTAGTTCGTGGTGGTAGGGCAGCTGCGGCGGCGATCATGTCGCCTGTTGGACAGGGTTTATGGGCTCTGAGGACCACAAGCGCTGGTACGGCTGCCATGATAACAATTGATGATTGAACTGTGGTTCATAGTCCTGGTTCCTGATCCCAGTCTTGGCTCCTGGGCTTAGTACTCGATTGTGGCACTGGCTTTGGTCCTGGTTGTTGTCTCGAACGGTGTCGTGGTCTTGAGGATCGGATGGATGCAGGGTGCTCTAAAATGAAGGACACCAATGCATCCTGAAAGGAATCATCGCCTAGTTCACGGAAGGGGCGAGTATGCGTCAGCTGATCATTTTTGCCCTGCAGCAGGCTGATGTGTCGACTAAAAGCGCGTTTTTCTTTGAGGAGGATAAGATCCGCGTCAAAAAGTATCGACACTTATAAACAATAAATTTTAATTCGTGGCCGCTTTCTCTGCCTCTACTTTTGCTGGACGCGTCTTGAAGAAATAGGATGATGATGACCATCCCCTGCACTTGGTAGCATGGCCTCTTCTTTGTGTGCAGCAGTACTAACAGTCCTCAGACATAGATAAAATGGAGCTGCAAAGACTTTAATACGGCACCTCTTTTCCTCGTATCTTCGTTACTCTTTACATTGTGCATGCAGCCATGGCCTCTCTTGCACGTACGAGGAACCATTTCTCACGTGAGGGCCGCAACCGACTGAATTAAAATTTATTATTGTAAAATATAGTGGAGATCTGAGCAGCCATGGATTAAGAGCTCCCTCGCTCGATTTTTGGCAGATATCATGACCTAGAATGACTACGAAATGGATCGGAAGTTGTGTGAATGCAATCGATAGTATTGTGTAGATATCCGTGTATACACATTTGCATACAGATAGTATTCAGATACCGCTCGGGGGGCTGCTCTCGATGTTGTCATAAAGGACTTTGAACAAGCAATGGATCGGTTTCGGATGATGCTTCTTTTTCTCACAGAAGATTAAAACAAACGAAGGCTGTGGGGACTGAACAGGTACACCCAATTGGGCGTCGCATGATTATGCCAAAGCCCAACAATGGCGGCACACTCGGTCAAATTGGCACAGGGTCTTTCCGGATTGAAAGGAGTCGCCACTAATTTTCAATTGATTCATTCATCGAAAATCTCTTTCGCCCCTGAACGATACACCCATGTGCCTATTCAGCTTGCCGAGATGCTCACAAGGCCTGGTCTTGAGCAACATAAAGATTTCCGACAATACTGCCTTGTGCCAAATTCTTTCAAAGAAGTTGAAGACTTGGTTTCTGAATAACTGCTGTGGAGAGGCGAAATAGGGCGATCAAATAATCCGCAGTTTTGCTCTCACATCGGTTGTTCCCTGACGTTTATGCTGCGGCGGTGATTTGTATTCACCCCTTGGAAATAAGGTACGTGTGTGAATGCGGTCGCTATGTGAAAATCAAGCGATCGGGATCCGCAGCAAGCATGTGGTCGGAAATCCTATCGGTCCTCTTGGGAAATCGACGGATTTAGAGATTGGTCCATCCTTTTCTTCTGTTGTGCTGAGGGCTATGTCTGCAAGGAGTTCGACAAGTAATTTGCATGTAAACAATTCGCGAGGAAGGAAAAGACAAGCTCCATTAACTTCGTCTACCGAGGATAGGTTCATTGGCTGAGAGTAGGAAGGAAATAAATCAAATAAAATAGACCGTGGAAAGGTGTGAGATTGCGGGCTCCGACAGGGAACGAGTCCTGATTTGGGCAACACGCACATACGACAGCAGCCGTGTCATGGGCGAAAAGGCCCTCCTGAACGGAAGCAAAAGTATAAAGGTACTGCCAATTGCTGCCGTCTTCTTTTCTTCTTCACTCTCCACCCGTTTTTTGCTCTTTCCTCTTTCCCTTTTCACACCAAAGAAAAGAAACAGGCGGACGAAACAATAGCAACAGTTGGACTGGCTGACTGACAGGACTGCTCCAATCACCACCACCCCTCACTCTCGCTCACTCTCTACATTCCTGATCTCTTTCATTCCCCACCGCCCACTCACTCGACCCCCATTCCACAATGGTTGCCATGGCACCAGGATCGATAGCCCATCTCTGCGGAAACGACTCGATCGACGTATGTTCATCCCTTACTCTCGCCGACAATTGAGATCTCTTTCGAGTAAAAGCAATTGCTGTACCACCATCACTAACACAGCATAAAAAAAATACTGGTTCGGCGACTCAATAGACACCCTGGATTGACGACGACTTTACACCATGCTTCCACGAGAGGTAAGAACGACTTCATTCCTGATCACGATCTAGACTGGGGACTGACAAGCTCGACGCTTGGCTGAGGATGAGACAGGCCCCCATTGGGTCACATCCAACTGGTGTTACAGTTGCATCTATCTTTCCTTGCTCAATACTTAATTAATCTCGCATGGCGTTGTCGCTTTGCACTTCTACCCTCCCTCAAATGGCCGAGTTGATCCTTTGGAATAACAAGGAGGAAGGAAGAAGCATAAGCGAGATGTCTTTTGTTCGCACCACGACCGTCGCAACATTTTTTCAACTCCAGCAAAAAGAAAGTTTTTCCCACTAACAAACACAAACCATGGAGGGAAAGCAACCTTACCTCGCCAACTGACACTCATGGGGATGTCCTTTTTGCTTGTCCATTAATAGCGTTCTCGATGCAGGAATCCCGCTTTTGTTCGTCCTTTGTTCTCTGGTGGCAGTCATCGGAACTGCTGTCTATAAACACGTCCATAAGAATCACACTGGAGATCACTCTGGATACCTTCCTATCACGGCTCAGGACGAGGCACTTGTTGGATCAGAAGTAGACATTGATGAACAAGAGGACCTCGGTCAGGACGGCTCACTCCCTTCAGAATCGGCTGTTCATCTCGGTCAAGTTGCATCTGGGCGCCGCATATCTGTTCGTGATGCCATTAAGACCGTGGCAGCCCTCGCCTCCCTCGCCACGTCAATTGTATGGATGGTCAGCCGATCGCGCGAGGACAAGGACACTTATCTGTACATTGCACCTTTGGTCTCGACATGTGCCTGGGTAAGTGTTTGCAAATCATGATATCAAAAATCCAATTCCACAACACTTGATCTCTTGCTAGTGCGATCTGGCAACCAAATTCATTTTCTAAAACCAGAATTTGTGAGCGGATGAAACAAGAACACCGATACTGCCGACAGCCAACTATGGTCAATGCTAGCGCACGCCTACTCGGAGCAGAAAAGCTGGATCGGGAAAGTAGTCTACGAAAAGTGGAAAAATAGAAAAAAAAAAAAGAAACCCCCATATCGAGTTCTACTTTCCTTGGTCGGCTTCTTTACACTTGGCATCGACATTTTAAATGGACACACGATGCACAACACATCCAGGACGGGCACCCCTTTGAAGCAGAATGGTGGCGCTCTTTTTGCTGAAGCTAGTTCGAATGATCTGTTAATTTTTTCCCTCCAACCGCACGCACGTTAGGCCTATGTCTCTGTCTTGACCGTCTTCCACCTGCTGAGACCCCTCAATCCCCTGGTCTCACTCACCCCGCACTTCGCGACCTTTTTCATCGTCAATCTGCCCATTGCCCTGTTCAGGCTCCGTACCCAGATCATTCACAGGACATCGGATCTGGAGCTGGTTCTGGCCTCGATCTACTTTGCCGATGCTATCCTCCTCGCCCTTCTCGCCCTCACATCCCAAAAGTCAACCCGCGCTTTGGTCGCAAAGTCAGGGGAGCGTGTCCCCTGTCCAGAGACCTATGCATCCCTCTGGGCCCTCGCTTTGTTCTCCTGGGCAGATCCATTGATTGCTCTCGGTTTCAGGCGTGCATTGAACAAGGAGGATATTTGGGACTTCCGCCTGGGCGACTATTCATCCGCGGTGATCCACCACTTCCGTCAATCAATCCTCGCTACCCGAAAGAACTACCCGTTCATTGCGCGTCTCGTGATCAACTTCAAGAAGCGCATCACTGTGCAGGCTCTCTGGGCCGTAGTCTGGGGACTGTTGACTTTTGTCGGGCCCTTTGCTTTGGAGCGCATCCTGTTCTATGTGGACAACAAGGACACCATGGCTTCCGAATGGGGATACATTTACGTCTTTGGTATGTTTTTCGGAATGCTACTCGCCACCATTGCTCAGTCTCAGATGCTCTGGCACGGTCGCCGTATCTCGATGCAGCTTCGTTCAATTGTGGTCGGCGAGGTCTATGCGAAGGCCCTCCGTCGCAAAGATCGTGCTGGACAGACTCAAAAGGCTGCCACCAACGACTCAGACGACGAGGGCGGAGAGAACGAGATGTTTACGTATGGTGCTATTAACAACATGATCTCGAACGTAAGTCTGCATACGCGCTATTTAAGCTAGTGAAAGATGTCGATTGCAACATTGATATCTAACCAACACATCCGATGCTTTCAAACGGTATAGGACACCTCCGAAATTTCAAGCGCTAGTGCGTACCTTCAAGATATCTACATTCTGCCGCTTCAGATCGCCCTCGCCATCATGTTCTTGTACCGCATTCTTGGATGGTCTGCTCTTGCTGGTGTTATCACCATGGCCTGTTTCATTCCCTTCAATTTGTTCCTGACCAAGAGAGTCGAGATCATTCAGGATGAACTGATGAAGGCAACCGATAAGCGTGCTGAGCTCATGAACGAACTCCTGCAGGCTATTCGTATTATCAAGTTCTTCTCTTGGGAACGCAATTTTTACGGCAAGGTTGACAAGGCTCGCGAGAATGAGCTGTACAAGCTGCGTCTGCGCTTCACCTGGTGGATTTTCGGCACTGCTCTGTGGTTCGGAACACCTGTTGTGGTCACCATCACCACCTTCTTTGTCTACACCAAGCTGGCTGGCAATATCTTGACAGCCACTATTGCCTTCCCAGCCTTGGCACTCTTCAATGTCCTACGAGCACCCATGGATGCCTTCCCCGAAATGCTCTCTCTGTGCCTGCGTGCCAAGGTCTCAGCTGCCCGTATCGATCGTTTCTTGGATGAGGAGGAGGTCTTGGTCTACGCCAATGCTAATGCCAAGCCTCGCAAGAACTTGCCTACCGACCCCATCATCGGATTCAAAAACGCGACCTTTTCGTATGCCGGAAAGACGCAGCAGGATGCTGCCAATGCCGCACATGAGGTCGGCGAAACACTCAGCGGCCATCATTTTGAGCTCAAGGACTTGAACCTCGAATTTCCTGTCGGAGAACTGTCTGTGATCACTGGACCCACCGGAAGCGGCAAGACCTCGCTGTTGTTGTCACTTCTTGGAGAGATCAACCCTGTCAAGGGCCAAGCCTTTTTGCCTCGGCGTGACTCGCATGATATCAATCCTGTCACCGGACTCACGAACGGGATCGCCTATGTCGCCCAGCAGGCCTGGCTGCAAAACAACACCGTCCGCAACAACATTCTGTTCGGCTCACCCTTTGAGCAGCGCCGCTACGATCAGGTCATCGAAATGTGTGCTCTCCGACGCGACTTTGAAATTCTGGAACACGGCGACGAGACGGAGATTGGTGAGCGTGGAATCACTCTTTCGGGGGGTCAGAAACAGCGCATTGCTCTAGCCCGTGCGATCTACTCGAGAGCTGGACATATCTTGCTGGACGACTGCCTGTCGGCTGTGGATGCCCATACTGCCAAGTGGCTCTTTGCCAAGTGCCTGATGGGTCCTTTGATGCAAGGACGCACCCGGGTTCTGGTTACCCATGCCGTCTCCCTGACCCTGCGCGGTGCAGCCCATGTGGTTGTTCTCAGGAACGGTGTTGTCGTCGCTAACGGAACTCCAAACCAGGTCCTGGAAGCCGGCGTTTTTGGCGACGAGGTGACCAACGAGGAACAGATCATTGACGAACCACATCCCGACGACCGTACTGTTGCTGGAATCGAAGAGACTGAGGACGAGAATGGAACAAGCACTCCTGTTGCTTCCTCCTCCGCGGCTCTGATTGCGTCTGGAAAGAAGAACTCGAGCAGCGATGATTCCTCGACCAACTCGACCATCCCTGTCAAGGAGAAGAAGAAGCTCATGGAGGATGAAGGGAAGACTGATGGCTCTGTCTCTTGGGGCGTCTACAAGTTGTACTTTGGATCTATGGGTGGTATCCCGTACTGGATCTTTTTGCTATCATCCTTTATCTTTATGCAGATCTTCCAAGTTGCCTCCGATACCTGGCTCCGATTTTGGGCTGCCGCTTCAGAGAAGCATGATGATGAATCTGCCTACACCGCTTTGGCCTTTGCCGCTGCCTCGACTCCTTCATTCGCCTCTTCGGCCTCGAATGTTGCCACCAATGTCTCTGGATTGCTCATGTCGTTCGCTTGCCAATACCGCGGTGACCACACCTATTTTGGCGACAATCCTATTCGCGTCTGTCGTCAGGAGATCTACGACGATCGTCAACCTATGAGTCCTTTGTCCGCCATGAGCTACGAATACCCTGTGCCCACTGGATTCTCGACCTTTGATCGCAAGCCTCGCAAGGGCCAAGTGGGGGATCTCAACTTTTATCTTGGAATCTACGCTCTATTGTCGTTTATGTACATCTTTACAATCATGTGTCGTCAAGCTGTCCAGTACAAGGGCTCATTGGATGCTTCCCGCTCGATTCACCGCCGTCTCTTGTCGCAGATCCTGAACTCGCCCGTCCGCTTTTTCGATACCACACCTTTGGGTCGCATCATGAACCGCTTTACCAAGGATATCGAGACCATTGATCAGGAGGTTGCGCCAATTGCCTCCAACTTGATGTTCGACTTGCTGGGAACCCTGACTGTTGTCATGGTCATCACATATATCACGCCTCAGTTCTTGTTCCCTGCATTCCTGATCTCGATAATGTTCGTCATCATGTCCACTCTTTATCTCCGTTCGTCTCGTGAGCTGAAGCGTATCGAGTCCATCACAAAGTCGCCAATTTTCTCGCACTTTGGAGAATCTTTGTCTGGTGTGGCTACTATTCGTGCCTATGGCCAAGAGAAGCGCTTCCAGCACGAGAACCTCGAGCTGTTGGATGATCACAACCGCCCCTTCTTTTACCTCTGGGTCTGCAACCGTTGGCTCTCGATTCGCGTGGATGTGCTCAGTGCGCTCGTGTCGTTCTTTGCTGGACTTTTGATTATTATCAACCGTGATAACCTCGGTGCCCCTGCCGCTGGTCTCTCACTCTCGTACTCGCTCACGTTTACAGATCACGTCCTCTGGTTGGTCCGACTATACTCAAACAATGAGATGAACATGAACTCTGTGGAGCGTGTCCGCGAATATATGGATCTACCTCAGGAGCCTCCAGCGGTCATTGAGGACTCGCGCCCACCTCCAGGATGGCCCAACAATGGCGAGATTACAGTCGAGAACTTGGTGATGCAGTACTCTCCTGACGATCCGCCAGTTATCCGCGATGTCTCTTTTCATGTCAAGCCTAGAGAAAAGGTCGGCATCGTCGGGCGAACGGGCGCTGGTAAATCGACGCTTGCGGTGGCATTCTTCCGATTCATGGAGATGACATCCGGCAAGATCACGGTGGACGGTATTGATATCTCAACTTTGGGTGTACATGACCTGCGATCATCGCTGACGATTATTCCTCAGGATCCTGTCTTGTTTATTGGAACTATTCGCACCAATCTGGATCCCTTCAATGAACATGACGATGCTGCGCTGTGGGCAACCTTGAAGCGCGTGCACCTGATCTCGGGAGATGGCACGGAGTCGAATTCTTTTGGAAACTTGGATAGCGAAGTTCAGGAGAACGGCAATAACTTTTCGCAGGGCCAGCGCCAGCTGATCGGACTTGCCCGCGCCTTGTTGAAGCAGAGCAAGATTATTATCCTGGACGAGGCAACGGCTTCCGTTGACCACGAGACTGACGCCCGCATTCAGGCGACGATCCGTGAGGAGTTTAAGGACTCGACGTTGTTGACGATTGCGCATAGGTTGAGGACGATTATTGATTTTGACAAGGTCCTGGTGATGGACCACGGACAGGTTGTGCAGTTTGATACGCCTTGGAATTTGATCCGCAAGGACGGCATCTTCAGAGGCATGTGCCAGCGGTCGGGCGAGTTTGACCTCTTGGTGGAGATGGCGACAACCGCGGAGAGGAAAGCAAGCAGTAGCAGATCTTGAATCAACTCCGTCAACCCCTTTATTCCACTGCATGGACAGCGCCTCCCCACTCATTAACATTTTGCATAAATTCACGACCACCATTTATTTTTTGTCATTGTCACTTTTACGTTCTCAAAAGCAATAAATATATTTACAACACAGCTTGTGTTCGTGGTGATGCCGTAATTGCAGTACCAGTCTTGATTGACTCGAACACCAAAGGTCTCTGATAATTCATAGCAGATCTTATCTCCCTAGCTCACGATGTTGGCAAGATACCTGCAATGCAGTATGATCTTGCCGGTGGTTCTCTCTGGAGGCGCCCTCTAGTGCGATACACTCCTTTATCGGTCATAGAGGACCCATTCATTCATTGAGGGTTTCCTCCCGAATAGTCGTGTTTCAGACATCAAACGTGATAGCGGTGTCGATGGAGCTGTAGTACTACCATAGCAGACCTATATAGGTCCAAGTACGCACCTTGTTTTGAGCCTGACGGTTTCAGAGTTCATCTATCAAATAAAAGCTGGACAGGCAAGGTAAGAAGAGTCCGACGCTGATCCTATCATTTGAATTGAGCCACAGGACGATGTCAGGTCCGTAATCTGTCTTTTGGTTCTGATCCTTGTTGATGCCATATAATTTTTCGTCTTCTTGAACTTTTTCGTCGTCCGATTGAAGTGAATCATCCCTCTCGATGTCCGACAAGTGTGTGTACGGCGAAGCCAGGGTTCGTTTAACTGACTTTATTGGTAATCTCGGTCTTCCATCCGTACCCCCCACGAGTCCCTGCTCTCAGCTGCTAAAATTCTGGGTAGTTTCCGACATCAATCCGCGGTTGGACTTCGTACATGGTATTTTCTATTTGATCAACGCTGAGAATATGGCTATCTGCAGATGTCTGCTGGAGGCCTCTGATCCTCTTGTTCCGCACGTTGGCTTCGTTGCAAATATCACCAACTTCCTCGCGATCCTGCTATGTCTTCATATATCCTTCTCCACGCTGAATACCTTCCTCGTCCCTGTCTTCGCCTTCGGTACCTTGATCTTCTCTCAGGTAATTCTTTAGATCCCTAATCTTCAAATAAATCTGCTTTCTCCTGACACGCTCCTCTTTCAATCGAGATATCCTTTCCTGAACTAATCTTCAGCGTCGAAAGAGGCGTGCTGAGGTGATACAGAACCACTTCGGTCACATAGTCATCGCTTCCACTGGTGGCCTTAACAATCATAGTCAGGGTGAGGAATGGGTGACTGGATTCGAAACTACTCTTGATAGCATTGAACACCGGAAGGCCCGAAAGGGAGGTTTTTTTTTTTTTTTTTTTTTGGATTCTGTGAGTTATTGAGTGAAATGGCGGTTGCGGTTATTGTTATAGTCTATCGGAACGAATATGGCGGATGTGAGTCGCGCAAATGTATGCACCGGCTATATGGATGAATGTTGCTGTTGTTGTTGTTGAGGTGGTGAACACTCGTCCTTGATGGAGAGGCAAAATTGTAAATATCCGAAAAGCTGCAAAGACAAGCGCAAAAACCACTC